TTAGAAATTAAAATTTCTATTAATAACTATAATAATGTTCAACAAAGCAATGTTAATAGCATAAACAGAATTTTTTTGTGTAGTTTTGATGATAAAAATGTGTTCTAATATTACAAGATTTGATTTTAAAAATTAAATTGATACTTTATAACTGATTTAAGTTAATATACTATTAAAAATTTAAATAAAAAAAGAAATATGTAATATAATAGTAAAAATATTTGACAATAAAACATTTATTTCATTTTATCCAGTCAAATCATTGTAAACATTTAGGTGAGGTATTTGAAAATGTATATTTCAAATTCTGATAATCTAATTATAATTATTTTTTTTTTTAGCTACAGCTGATTCGTAAGAAATTTTTTTTTGGTTATGGTTGACCATAAACAGTCTTGTAAAGTACTCGTGTAAAATTATTCAAATACTTTTCATGTAATATTTTAAATACCTATTTCAGACAATTTCAATACGAATAACAGAACTGTTAAAAACCCTTTTTATAATCTTTAACACTATGCACTATTATGACTGTAATATACTAAATGACTATCCATATCAATTAACCGTTTCATAACAAAATTGGAAATTTGTTTTATTTTCATTTTCCAATTACATTTTATTTCTAATTAAGAATTATGGAAACTGAACTATTTAATTTGTTGCAGCCATTTAAGTCATGAATATACTTCAAAAACAGGTACCTATATTTGCATTTGAATACTTTTAAAAAATATATTTTACAAGACCAACCTTAAATATGATTTCAAACATTTTAATGTCAGAATATTTTTTCTGATAAAATTAATATAAAATATATTTTTTCATATTTATTTAATTTAAAATTTTCAGTAAATTAATAATCTTACAAGTTTTTTTAACATTCAATTAAATATAGCATATGATATTCATGTAGTTGATGATATAACACTAATGTTTACAAAATATACATAGATATTTAGTTATTTAATATACAATATAGCTATAACTAAATACAGATAATGATAATTTTAATAAGGTTTATGGAAAAGTGATTTAATATCAAAATTACTCACAATTGTGGGAAATTTATGGTGAGTTTCTTTAAAATGATAGTAAATAGAGAGATTAAAAGGTTTAATAAATATTTTGAAAATTCTTAACATTGATTTGGAAGTATTGAATGATGGTTTAGATACTCAATATTGAATAGTAAATATTAGTTTAAAATATCATAAGAATCATGTATAGGTTGATATTTAGAATATTTTTAAGTCCATAATCAAACTGTTATTATACCTCCTGTGATATAACTATAACTGATTAAAATGTTGTAAAAATCTAAAATTGTATGTACCTATATTAACACAAATTTCATTAAAATATATAAAAAATTATCATGTCTATAAAATGCTATATAATATAATTGTTTAATAAATGTTTTGAATAATCGAAATTCATTAAAATAATTACATTTTTTATTGGTTACAAATAAAACCTTATGAAAAAATCTTGTATCCAATTTTCAAATTTTTACTATAAAAATATTTTATGAAAATAACAACAAACTTATTGAGTACTTTCTTGACTTTTGTCATTTTAAAATTCAAACAATCATTAATTTTTTTTATTAACCAATAAGATATGTGTATGAGAAAATGATTATAAATTATTAAGTATTTTTGTTAACTAAAATTATTTTATTGAAATTTCACAAAAAAAGATAAACACTTTTTAATATCCATAGATAGTCCAAAAAAAGTAAAAATACAACAAATTTAAGTTTATATATCTATGATAATAGTTTTTTGGATAGTAACAAAAAAAAATAAAATCAATTTATATGCCACTTTTATTTATTACTTTTTGTTAGTTTTAATTCTTGAAAACTAATGGATATTTTGTAATTAATCTTCCATGTAACAAAGTGCACCAAATTGTAGTTCACCAGAATCAAATATAATTTTTTTAATCTCTTAAAAAAATTTAAATAATCTATTTGTCTTTCGTTTTCTTAATAATGAAAGATTTACACAATGACATATATGTGGAATGGGTAATGGGTGAATCGCCCCATAAATTTGATATATCCTACATGTAATATTAATATATATATATTGTATTGACTATTGCCATGGTATTTATAATTTATTATTTATTGGGTATTTTTTATCAGCGTATCCAAACAGTAATGATAAAATTATACAATATGGCACTCTTATCTTTTCGTGGCCTATAAACTATAATAATAAAATCATCTGTGTATCTGTAACATTTTATGTTGACATCACAAATATATATATTTAATATATCTGTGGTTAACATGATCATATTTTTTTTTCACGACTATTATCAAAAAAGTTCACTTCCTATGTTTATATTCTATTTCATTTGTATGAACTGTAAATTATTTGTTTAAATTTTAATTGTAAAATAAAAATTTATTGTTATTATGAAGAGAATAAATTAAAATTTTACTTCATGGGTAAATGGATATATATTAATTTTATAGATAGATTTAAGGTTGACGTAAAACAAATATAACTGATCATTACTCAATTGTTTTAGAAATTCCATTGGTTCATTATATTTAATTGGTTCTACAACAAATAATAAAAATGAACTTTAGAATCTTAATAAAAAAATGAACATTAGACAGATTTTATATCAGTTACAATATATATAAATGCTATTTGGAATTCTCTATGATAAATAAAATAAAACTATGGTTGCTAACCTGGTAACTGAATTTAAAATACAAGTTTTAAGAATAAACATAGATTAAAGGAATGAATTATAGGAATTACTATGCTCAGCATATTGAAAACAAAAACTCTCATTGATAATCAAAAAACACAAACTTGATAAAAGAATACTAAATCACAACACTAACAATACAAAATAACTTCTCAATAATAAATTATACAATATTTATGTTAAATATTAATACATTGAAATTGTCTGTACATGTAAAAGGGGTATCGTGAATTAAAAATAAAAACTACAATTTTAATAATATAAAGATTAAAATTACAGAGCTATCGATCTATTAGACTGCTATATAACCAGTTAAGAATGTATAAATAATGTAATTATACACTTAAAATTGTGTAAAAAATGATACATTCAAAATTAATTTGATATTAATAAATTTATGTAAATGGGCATCTACCACCAATAAAAAAAATATATATAATATATAGGTAATAATTATAATAATCAGGTTTGATAATGTATTATATTCCTATTTGGACATATTGGACAAAATCATAATTTTTATCATGGATAAATAAATAAACTGAATAATTTTAATTAATACTTAATACTTAAATAATAGTACTTATAAGTTCTACAGGTATAACAATTTTAAATGTCTAACTTGACTTATTAACATAGGCATAAACTGTGGGGGGCAAAGGGGGAAATTTCCCCCAAGAATAAATTAGGAGGTACAGTGCCCCCTCTGATATTTAACATACCTTGTTTTAAAATAAGTACAAAAAACCTGGTTAGAACTATTACTATAACATTTTTTTTTTTTTTTTTTAAATCTTAATTTTAAATTTTCGCTTATCTAACATAATGTTAGAAAATGAATAATTTTAAACAATAATATATAGGAAGTAAAGCGACATTTAGCTTCAGACAACCTTTTCGTTAGATATGTAATTATATTTTTGCCCCCTTATATACTAAGTAGTTTCGCCTATGCTTATTAACAAACTTAAAATATATTAAAATAGTTTTAAACTGACATTTTATATTTTAATTTTAAAAATGTATTGCAAAAATAAAGACTTAATTAGATAGAAAATATTGGATAATATTATAAATTTATAAAACTTATCCAGTAGATGGATCTGTTTAAGTCAGGCGTACATTGGGGCACAGGTGACGCAGCACAGGAAAAACTGTGTGACTTATGTGAGCGCATATTACTATGCAGTTCTGTGTCACAATTCACTTAATCATAAGCAAAATTATAGCAAAAAATTTAATTAATTGAAGTTCTGAATCAGTTTCTGATGATAAGTTTGATGAACTTTTTTTATTATATTCGTTAAGTACACATAAAAAATTATATAAAAGTAATTTTATAAAATATATTTAATTTTTTAATTTTGTCTTCATATAGTTGACATGACTAGTGTCATTTAAGACAGTGCAATTTCAGATGGCTTTAGTCACAGACTTTTCCGTAATAAAATTAAAATATAAAACAATATTGAATTAAAATTAAAAGTATTGAAATTATGTTAAGCTTGCATAGCTGGAAAATGTTCCAAATACATGTGGCACGTGAACAGTAAACAGTTCAGGTCTGTCCTGACTCTCAATATGCACTAGTACGTTCTAATAGATTACAAAAAACTATGCTGTGCTGCACCGCTATGTCTCTATGTACGCCCAACCTTATAGTTGGCACATAACTGTTAAGTGTAGGTCTGCTAGTTAAACATCAACTGATAACTATTCACTAATGACTGGTAAATATTGATAACATTAGTACACATATATAAAATTGAACAATTTAAAATCAACATTAAGTGTATTTTATTAGAACCAGTTAAAACCTTTCAAAACCATTTGTAATTTTGCAAAGTTTTATATTGTGTTATAATATTAAAAGTTACAAAGGTTTTGTACATTATGTCCAATTTGTTCACTTTTGGACAGAGTGCAGGTCAAAATCAAAAATAATGGAATAAATTATACCACTAATAATAATTAATAGACCTAAATATTTTTATAATACAAAATTAAAAAAAATAAAAAATTAAAATATTCATAATATTTAAAACTCTTGATATGTTATGAGAAGATACTTTAGATACATCTCAGCCTCTTGGGGAACAAAAAAATGCATTTCTAGTAAAATAAGTACAAAAATCAAAAATGTTAACAAATCAAGATAAACTCTTTTAAAGGATTGCAATTTGCACTAACCTTTTAAGATGTAACACGCTTACAATTTCAGTATAATAATTTTAAAGAATGGATATAATTAAAATCATATTTACCTCTCAATATCCAAGTGTTATGATATCTTGAAAAGAAAATCGATTTCAAAAAATGGCATCAACGACTTTTGTGCAACAAGTTGCATGCGTACGTACACACAAAACAAAAAATAATAATACGAATTTATAAATAGTTTAAATGAAAACACTCTTAACTTTAATAGAATACATCTTAAACTACATACGAGTAATTATGAACATGCTTAAGTGAAGGATGTCAACTGTCTGATTATTTGGTTATGTGATAATACGAAATACGATGGTACAATGCAATGAACGTTTTTGATTGGTTTTCAGCGCCTATGGTGTTTAGTGATACCAAATGAAATATTTCCATTATACATTTTTATTGTTAACACCGGTTTTGAGTACTTCAAAAATCTGAACGGAAAATATTTTATTAGATAAAGAATTAGATATAAATGAAAGGCGGCAAGTTATCAATTTCTCAATAGTTATTCCAATATAGACCAAATGTTGTAAAAAAAAAAAAACTTCAACTAATTAGACCAATACAAAAAAAGACACTCCGGTATCTAAGCGACTTTTTAAAACAGTTAATTCAAAATTGTATTTTTAGACTACTATTTTTAATGTACTGTCGAAGTAATTCTGAACAGGTTTTGAAAAATAACTTTTATTTGTATTAAATAATAAAATACATAACTACTAATATGTGTCGTAACTGGGTCCAAGTCTAATGACCCTAATCAATAGAAACATACAAAAATTCCATTCATGTATATTTTTTTTATTTTAATACTTTGTGTATAACATTAATGTAAACATTTAAAATTGTCAACTCTAATAACAATTGAAAATTTTTAATGTCCTTCGCTGTTAGGTTTTTCTGATAAATTTTTTAGTTTTTAGTCACTTGGTATAAAACAATAAATCAAAACCAGAAGTGTAATTTTTATCAAATATTATTTATCATAAATAATTATTTTTTTCATCTCATCTCCACTCTTACAGCTTACCTATTGTCTAATCTATTAGCTATTATAAAATTACAATCAACAAACCATAGTATTGGTGAAAGATTTCGAAATTGGAAAGTATTCGTAAATTATGAAATTTATCATTGTACTGCATTTTATTAAAAACAATTAACTTCAGACAGGGGCGTATTTAGACTTACTTATAGGGGAGGACTCTAATTTTTTCTTTAACTCAGGCTCAAAATTTACAAATAAAGTTCTTGGTAATATTTAAATCAAGTGAATCCTTATAGTTATATAATATATATAATTCTCCCTTGGTAAATTGCTTACATGTTTTTAGTCAGGCTTGCATTATATACCTTTTATGTGATCCATTTTAAATTGATTGCCCAATTTCACTTAATTTCACTTTATCAACCCCCACTTCGTTTTTCATATTTTTCAATAATTTCCAAATTAATGGATTCTTATGCCCAACCAAATGACTAAACCTATTTTTCCACAACCTCGCACACGTTATTGGTTTAACTGCAATTTAGTAAGGTACTTTGGTGTAATTTCCACATTGGAGGCGAGAATTGAGGAAGTCGACGAAACCTATTACTTAAATTATCATCAATTTTTATTTCACTTGTTATTTTATAGGCGCGGTATAATCATTTATTCAGATGGTACGGCATACACAAAGAATTAGATAAAATAAAAATATAATGTTTATAACGTCTATTCCGTATACTACCCATGTTGAAATCAACGGGGACTTTTTTCGGTGTACTTTTAAAACATGCTCTTAATTATATTGAAATTTTAAAATTGCATTAGCTAAGATAATTCTCCGACAAATTTCTATGCTTCGATTTTATTTGAAATATGATTCTCCATAAGAAGTTTTAAACAAATAATCGCTTTCCGATGAATATTTGAATAATAGGTCAATATTTGGAATACTGTCACCAAGAAAATTAAGGTTGGACATGATAAAAAAAACACTTAAGTTACATTCAGAAATATTCCAGAGAAAATTGAGTTACGGTATTATAACTTTTAAAGGGAATGGCGAAAATTTTAAAACGTATAACTGGTATTTACTTTGAATTCGGAAAACACGGTTACCATAGGCAGTAAAAAGCTTACGGATGCACAGTGTCGGTGATGGAGGAACACTGTTATTTACCAGTCGCGGTCGTACACTCGTACAATATTGCAGTCCACAACACCAGCGGATCAAAACTACCCTGATCCATGCACATTATTATCAATTCTCCGTTATCACTATATCATATAACATTTTTCGGTTGATGCTATTATAATTTTACTATATTATATACAAAAAATAATTATTATTGTTGTGTTACTGTTTAGTACTATTTTATATAATTATTATCTTTTTATTGTGCAATATGGATAAAAAAAACAAAACGGTGAAAACTGTTGTCATAGGGTCAGGTGGGGTAATTGTGAATAGGGGTAATTGTAAATGATTCTTGTATCTTAATAAGACAAATGAATTATAATCGTAAAACTTGTTAATATTACTGTTTAATATATTTTCTTCCACAAAATACATTTATTACAGCAGTTTAGAGATGCATCTTTAGAGTTATCAAAAACAAAAAGTTCGTTGAAAAGATGCCTTACACACATTAATTTGTGTATTTTCTCTTTCTTCTCAACTCGTTCAAAATGTAAGTAATGATTTGTTTTAAACTTCAATTACATGATTTTATCCATAAAAAGCCATTTTTCATGGTCAATATTTAGTATTTCAAGTATTAGTACACTTTTAAGCATGTTTACATTTCCCCCTGTGAATTTATACAAAGTGGGAATTGTAAATATGTAATTAGGGCAATTGTAAATTTGAAAATGAATAGGTGGTAATATGCCTAACATCTAAAACACTACCAATTGTATTTATCTTTGGGCTTCGAACCTACAAAAGAAAGAAGAAGCCACCAGTGTACACAACTATTGACCTAGAAAAAGCAGTTTTAGCAATAACTTCAGAAAATAAAACATACAAACAGGTTTCAGAAGAGTTCAAGATTCCTGCTTCTGTGATATTCAATAGAATAAGTGGTAAGTATATTTACCACTGCTCATGTACATACAACAACTCGTACAACAAAGTAAGGTGGTATATTTATTTACCATAGACCATTGACAACAAACATAAAGGTGGTATATATATTAAATATTTACCAAAGGCCAACTTTTTATATATTATTTTATACTAAATAAATAAATACCTTAACAAATTATAAATATTTATTATTTATTAAAAACAACCAAATCAACAAAATCATTAAAAATAAAATAACAAAATTAAAATTCAGACTCAAATAAAATACTTTAAAATTTAAACATAATAAAAAATAAGGTAAAACATAATAATACAACTTTGAACTAATTAACAAAATATTAATGTTTTAAAATTTAAAAAAAAAATGAAAGTTACAAGATTAAATAAAATAGTCAAACGTGAACCAATAAATGTATAAAGAAAATATAAAATACATATAAATATAAACTTAAAAGATATTCAGACTTTATGAATTCAATGTTTAGACAATAAATCATTAAAATTAACAAAGTCTTTAAATACATAACAAAATATTACAATTTTAAAATTTAAAAAAATTAAAGCTTCAAAAAAATTATATAAATATTCCAAGCACACTTTTATAACAAATAGGTGTACAAAGTATACAATAAAGTAGTAAAACTTGAACTAATAAATGAAAGAAAATAGCAAAAATGTATTATAAACTAATAAGTCAAACTTATAGTTTACTTAATGTATCAACATATTTTAATGTCCAGATTTAAAAAGTACTTTTAAGTCATACAAATTTAATGTTATTAATTAGTGTGGGTTTTTGTGAAAAGGTGCAAAACATTCTAAGCAAAGTGCAATATCATATTTTTTCCAAATAATGTTAGAACGTTTCTGTATCTCTTTTGTACTACAATATCCACACCGACGATATGTACCTTTGGTTGGTAAATGATCACCAATATTTTGAAGATAATAATGGTTTCAAATAATCAATTTTCCAGTTTTTTTTTTGTAGAATAATCACCGATTAATTGATTAGCTAATGTTGATCTAAAAGCAAGGTGTGTAAATTTTGATATTTTAGGGTCATGGAGATTACTTGTTGTTCGATAGAGTATAAACGAATTTACTATAGAAGCATCTAGAAGATAATAAAATATTTTTAGCCACCATCTTCTAAACTTCCATACCACATTGTAGTATGAATGAAAATGATTAAAGTGATTGACACCGCCCATGTACTTATTATAGTTTACAATAGCCATTGGAGCTTTTATTACTTGTTTATCTCTTCTATTATCCCTTCTAGAAACAGAACCAATACAATTGCCATTATGCATGTTACTTATTACATTTACACACTTTTATCCTCTATCTTTCCAATTTACTTATAGTTATTTCATTAGAACTAACTATATCAAACTATCCTTATTTTAGTTCTTTATCATCTTTTAGAACACAAGATGGAAAATATTTTTTATTTAATTTGATAGTACCACGTGCAAAATTATTTTTTTTAATCATACCATTCACCATGAAAATATTACTGAAAAACCCATCGAAATAAAAACAATATCCTTTATTGTCATAAAGATTAGCTAAATGTGTCACAACTTTTTCTCCAAGACCAATTTCTGGATCTCCTTGCTTACCAGTGGCGTACCGATAAAGTGGCATGACGTGCAATGGGCCACGGGCCACGACTCTAGAGGGCCCATCAAGAATAATTATAGCAAATTCAAAAACAAATCACCATTATAGTTATATACAGGGCTCGGGAATTAAAGCATTTGCTTATTTTTATGGATTGACTTAAAATGTAGCAGAGTGCTATTGAAGTGTATATCAAGTTATAACACGTACAATTATGAAATTTAAAAGTGCCTTTTTTTGCTTTTTTCAGCATTTTTTCAAAAGAATATTTATTTCCAGTTTTTCTGATTATTTTTGCTTATTTAACCAGTTTTTTTAAATGTTTTTATAGTTTTCTCCAGCAAAGTCGTTTTTGATAGAATTAAAAATAAAAATAATTCTTCTTATGTACGTTGTCACTTAGTTTTTCGCCGCCCGAAGCATTGTTGTAGGGTTAACAAAGATATTCCAACGCTGAAAATAGAACCAAGTGTCAAACGTCAGAATGATCAAAAACAGAAAGAACAGTTTACATTTTATTTTTCAGAAAAAACCCTTAGAAAATCTATAAAATCCATAAAGTCTTGAAAGTGAAGGTTTATTTTAATTTGATTTGATTTTTTTAGTTATAATTTTATAGTTTTTTTTTTTTTTTTTGAATTAATATTTTTGCTTGATTTTAAAATTTTTAAATGCTTATTTTATTGCTTATAACTATGTTTTTAAGCGCTTATTTTAATGATTTTAAGTGCGTTAAGTCCCAAGCACTGGTTATATATAGCTGGTCGTTATTATGCAGTTTTTGGGCTTAAAATTAGATTTGTTGAAACTCAAAAAGCATAACAAAATGTATACTTTGCAGCTCGAAGTTAGATGTACGAAATGAAGCAGAAGGGATTAAAAAACAAATTGAAAATTATAATTTTATTTGCACTTTAGTTTTTAATGTAAAAATTTTAAAATTATAAAAATAATATTACACTAAACATGTTTTTAATCGATTGTAACTTTAAAGAGCAGAATTTTGTAGGTGGTTATTTTTTGTAGGCAATTCATCATAACTCCTTTTTCCAAATTTGTAAAACTAAGAGCCAGTTCTATTATTTAGCCACGGGCATTAAAAGTTCTAATTACGCCACTGTTGCTTACCTTGATATACTTTAAACCAGTGTTTCCCAAACTTTTTCGACTCACGGCGCCCATATTGATTTAAGGTTTTTTCAGGGCGCTGCTCTCCAAGTCATAGCATGACTAATCATAAAGAAAACGTTAGACCCAATAGTATTTCATGACGGCGCGGCGCCCTTATACATACATCGTGGACACTTTGGACACTTCGCACACTTTGGGAACATATGCTTCAAACTGTAGTAAGTATCCAGTCTTAGAGCATGCAGCTGCCCAAATTTTTATTCCCCTTTTGATTGGCTTAAGTGGCATATATTGTTTAAGTGTGGTTCTTCCCTTGAAAGCAACCATACTTTCATCTATAGCAATATTTCTTGATGGGTTGAAATTTGAAAAAAACTTTTCATTTAGTTTGTTGATCAATGGTCACACTTAGTATAGTTTATCATAATTAACATGTCCTCGTTAGGCATAGCCAAATTATTATTTAAATGAAGATATCTTAACAAACATAGAAATCTTTTTAATGGCATAACAGATGATATCCTTGAAAATTGGTATCAGAAGACCAGTAAGAACGAATAGTAGGTAATTTATGAAATCCCATTATGATCAGACAGCCAAAAAATGCTTTTAATTCTTCAACTGAAGTAACAAAATGTTGATTACATCGAGCAGCATATAATTCAGATTGAGTCTTGAAAGTATATAAAATATTATCATCAAAAAACAATTTGAAAATATCAATTGGACTATTTATAACAACAGGTACATTAGGTCCAAAAGGTTGTGTGAATTTAAATCTCCTAAATGTTTTTGATCTATTACCTTGTTTTTTCCATTTGAAAGTCAATATTGGTTGAGGAATTCTTCTTTTTTTGGCAATGGGTGAATTGTTGCTTATTGACGGTATGTTAGGAAAAATGCCCGAAGAAACATTATTTAAATTTATTTCAGTAAATACATCATTATTTTCAATTATTTCTACAGGCATATTCATAATGTTAAAATCATTAGCTAACACATTGAGAGTAGATGGTGTTGGTATGATAATATATATATATATCTAATACTGGTGATGGTGTGTTAGTATACATATCTAATACTGGTGTCACTGGTAAATTATTTTCATCTGATTCATATGACATGGAATCAGATTTGCTGGATAATTGTGATAAAGTACTTCTTGTAATTTTGTGCTGTGGACTAATAATTAATAATTCGTCTTCATAATCTGAATCACCGCCAATATCCGAATATTCAGCTTGCCCATCAGTGATTGAAAACAAATAGTCCTTTATATTATCTTCGTCCATACTAAAATCATAAAAATAAATTACTTATCTATTTTGATGTAAATACCATTTATTATTTATTTGAAATAGGTACCTGTTTACTAATAAAGCAATATTAATATAAATTTAAAACATACTTTTATGCTTGGTTGAACGTTAAAAAATCAGTTCATTTTCACATTTCACGATCCTATCATATTTGAATTGGAATATTATTTTTTCGAAAAGGAGCGAAAAATAATTGATAACTTCATATTGTGTTAAATTTTCCCGTGATTTAGAATATACAATTATCGTCGGTGTGGCTACACTGGTTACTTGAATAATGTTAAGAACAATTTTGCGGGACCAACATGTGAGTAGTGGTAAATATACTTACCTCCTTTTTTCCAAAAGTTATATCCACTGATCAATGATGTCTTAGTTGAACATTTTCATAATAATATAATTTATATACCAATTTTACTATATAAATACATATTTAAAATAATTTTCCTGAATTTCGGGAGGGGTTTGATTATTCGAGCCACAACTCACCTATAGCTAAAATATTGTCGGGCCGCAACTAACCTACGGCTAAAATATTATCGGTCCGGAATTCACCGGTCTCCAACACCGGAAACGACACGCCGCACAGTGGTCTGAAGTGTATATTTAGCTTACATAAAATACTAATTTTAAAGTATGATAAAATATTATCTAAATAATAAATTTGCACTATATGTTACCCGTATAAGTTTATACAATTTATAATTTGATAAAATATTGTCATGTACATTACCGGTGGTGATTTACGAGGGGGGGCCCAGGGTATTGGACCCCCCCCAAAACCTCTCAAAAAAATAAAATAAAGTAAATAAAATAAATAAATATTAATTATGTATAAACTGTGGACCCCCCCCCCTGAAAAAATTGAAAATACGCCACTGCACATTACTTAAGTCAATTTATTTATAAAATTATACAAATATTTGTCTGTATTATTTGTCACTATCGAACATTCATTTATTTTATGTTCGACTGTGGTTGAAAGTATACCAATCATTTTAAAATTATTTTGCAATAGACATTGTATAGAATGGAAACTGTAGATGGAGGTAAACATAAATAAAATTATTTCAATATCAATATTCAAATCGATACCTAAGAGCACACATGTGCTATGTCCAAATGTCCGACTTTTAAGGTTATTTAATTGATTTTGATAGCATAAGTATCTAAAACCGCCTTTTTTAATTCAAATACTTCATAATTAATATTTTATTTTAGATAATTATTATAAAAAAAGGAATATTTGTTCTAGTTTTATAGTTATTCAAACAACTAAACTTCTTTAGTGATTTGCCAAAAATTAGAAAAATGGACATGGAACATGTGTGCTCTAAGGTATCGAAATGAACATTTATATTCTAAAACTTAAAATATTAATAAAAAAAAGGTTTTGTACATTAAAAATACTTTAACATAAAAGTAACAAATAGTAACACTTGTACCAAATATTTTTCATTTAATATATACAGTAATCAATCAATTCTAATAACTTTCGCTTGTCTTTAACTGCCCATCTGGGTTTTATTTGATTTTTAGTATGTTCTAGTAGTGGTATGCAAACAATCAATTTTACATATGAAGATCTGTTTAATATGGTACGAGAAATAAGCACATTAAATCCTCATTCTATTAGGTCAAGGACATTTTTATTTAGTAAAATTTGTGAAAAATATAATGGGCAACAATAGGATTTAAAATACGAAGACTGAATTTCGGCATTAATACGTTCTTATGCAGTAGATTTAAATTGAAAATGATCTCAATGCAATAGAACGACTTAAATTATTATGAAAAAATATTCCATTTGGATCTAAAGATAATTTATTCTACCTACTTATGAGTCTCAAATATGTAGTAATCATGCTGGGCGCACGAAAAAAGATTTCAATTCTTGTTCTGAAAGAGTAAAAAAAACAAAAGTACAGGATATTGTAAAAACTTTTACTTCTCCGGAATTAAAATATGCTGTGACATCTAAATTGTTTAAATCTGGAAATAGAAGTGCAGCATTAATTAAAAAAGAGATTACATCAACTACTAAACGTGCTAAGAAAATTCGAAATTCATTACAAAGTAATAATATATCTATTTTCGTTCATTACACAGCTAATGAAGCCATAACATTTCTTATTGGTAATCGCCTAACAAAAAAACAATATTTTAGCATTAGAATTGGTTCTAAAAATCGGAAGTCTAATATTTATCCACCATATGAAAAAGTTCTTATTGCTAAAAAACAATTTTATCTGAAAAATATTACCATACAGAAAACAGCGCAGAAATACTTCTCCAGGATTTGTTGAATCACATTGTTGAACGGCTTTTTAAAATACCAACATTAAATGATATTAATATAATAATAGGCGAATATGAATTGTTGTGTAAATGGGGATGTGATGGGAGTAGTGGCCAGGCTCACTATAGGATTAATTTTTCTACATCACAATCAGTAACAGACAGTGATCTGTTTATTTTCTCATTCGTACCACTGCAAATAAATTGTACTGCTAATGATCAAAAAAACATTATATGGCAAATTAAGATTTATCAAAATTAAAATGTCTACACCCAGTGCCGTATAGATATAATGTTTGTGTTATAATAATAATATCATTGGCTTGCCATACTCTATAATGTTTGGTATCCAAGTTATCCAATTATATACCCACCAACCCATCCCCGACGAGACCACAAGTAATTGCAACCCTTGGTAACCTGTCTGTGTGCCACTGGTTATAACTATAATAAATATAGTTATAATGCAAAAAATAATTTTATGTAAGCTAAATATACATTTCAAACCACTGTGCGCCGGGCCGCAACTCACCCACACCCAAAAATCCAAACCAAAATATCCAAATTTATCTGTTTTTCCGAAAATTAGTACATTACACTAAACTTCCTAATACAACTAGCTCAAATATAAAATTATTTAATTATAAAAAAAACCTAAATTATCTGAAAATATTAGCTTAAATATTAAATTATAAAAATTAGCTCATAAAATTAAGTCAACCTATATACGCTATATATTACTAAAAGTATAATAAATTAAGTGAATCGTTATAATATCACAAAATACAGGGTGATTTTTTTATCGTGAACCAGTTAATATCTCGGGAAATAAGGAATTTTAAAATGATTTTTTTTTTTAAATTTCTAGGTTTTACTATTTTACACTGTGTTACAATTTTGATAATTTTAACTTCCTCCCTTATTTGATAAAACATTATCAACTTTTGATTTTCAAATGGCAATACCTATTTTCAATAGCGAAAGTTTATAAACATACTGAAAAAAATAATTTTAACGTTTACAGAATTTAATTTCAGTAATCCATTTGCGACCATTTAAATATTCGTTCAATTTAATGAGCAATTTATCAAACCCAACAGTAAAAACCAGAAGTCAAAACGGAATGATACCTCAATTTAACAATACCCATAACGGTCATAATCGATAATAACTGTGATATTATTGCTACTAACAAGTCAATTAAATAATTTGATACTAATATTTGGAAAAACAGATAAATTTGGATATTTTGACCAATTACTGTTTAGGTAAGTATATGATATGCCCATGCAGTCTGATTTTAAAAAGTTCAAAAAGTTATCATATAACAATAATCTATAATACATAGTTTAATTTGAGTACAATTTATTAATAGAAGTTCCTCAAATTCCATAATGACAAGGCTCACATTAGGTTAAAACTAAAAATAAAGAATGACTCCTTAAGGAGGTTCAACATTTATTATTTAACTCAATTTTGTTGTAAAATTGCATCGTTTAATAATCATATTTTATTGAAATTTATTTTGTGTCATATCAGTTTGTACGCGAGATTTCTCTCACTGAGATGAACCCAGATTAATAAAAGTATTTGATCCATCGATAGGAAATGTTCTCCAATCGAATTGACAAAAATTCGAAAAGTTAAATTAATAAATGTAAAAATATTGTATTATATTCAAATGTATTCTATGTTTACCTAATTGTTTGTTTTTACACAAGTCTTAAAACTCATTTTATGGTTTAGAAATAAATTGCGTTATGTTACATATGCCCTCCCTCATAATTACGCTACTGCTAATATTAATGATCTGATGACCTGATGTATACAACTTAAACAATTATTATGTTATTATCTTATGCATGTAAATATTCCTTTAAACAGTGGTGACGTGGCGGCAGTAAAATATTTCGCGCTGCCACTGCCTTTAAATAATTTATAACTTAAACATGTTTTAAATTATGGCAAAGTTAGTATTGATAATCTGTAGTTATAATCGATAAGCGATAGTTAGGTTTTATATTTTATTTACTATATAAGGATTTTTGTAATTTTACGTTGGTTACGTCGGCTGGGTAAAAAAAACTTTTTTTAATTATTATTATAATTAAAGACTGGATTTAATTGCATTAAAAATGTCTTAAAATTGCACTAAAAAGATGCCAAAATTGCAATGAAAATGTATCAAAATAGCAGTATAAATATGTTAAAATTGAAATGAAATACATTAAAATTACATAGTAAAATTATATCAAATATATAATCATTAATTACTTACTTAAATAATATTATGGACATGAATATAATATTTACAAAATATATCATTTTTCTGAATTAAAATTTATAATATATATCTCTAAATTGTGTTCTTGAAAATTGCATCGTCTGTTACTTAAATTATGTTTATATAATGAAAAAGTATGTTCAACGTCGACACTTGTTATCAATGCATATTTGAAATAGTTTAAAAAATTGGGTTTATAAAAATATTAAATAATATCTAAATAAACATTTTAATTTCCTGTCATAATCTCAGAGTAAGTTTTAATAGCTTTATACCCTTCATTTTTTCTAAGATATATTTTAATTTATCTTTAACTATTTTTCCATTGGGACCGGGAATATTTATAGAAATATTTTTATTTAGTTAGTATTTGTTTAGTATTTATTTATTTATTTATGTAGTATTTATACTAATATGTTTAAACTATTAAGTAATTGACTATTTGATTCTTCTAAACTTGTGAGTTTTATGGATAACTCAGAAAAATATAATAAAAATCCTAAACTATATTTAACTACATGTAAAAATTTACATCGTAGTTATATTTTTTTTTGTAAAATCACTTTGGAAATAATAATTTGTATATTTTATCACGTAAAGTATATAAAAATTGCAATAATTGCAAAATCGTAGAAAATTGCAAAAAATTGCATTATTAAATTCAATAGGAAGACTGTAATTAATCTGAGTCGTAAACATATTTGATCAGATTCGATTTATTGGGTATCAATAAAAAGTTGCAATATCAATTAAATCCGCTCTTTAATCATAATACAAGAAATTTATTTTTCTAAGGCTGGCACAACCGATCTCTCGAAATTCAATTTTGGTGATAACTCGTTGTTATCAAAATCGGGAGAAGTTTACCAGCCACTTATGGGAGTCAGGGGACAGATATTATTTAATAATTGCTATTCACAAGTATTCACAGCCTGCTTGTAGAATAATAATAATAGTTGGAAAAATTCTGTGACGCTACAAGCTACTATGAAACGAGCATGGCGGGATGAAGATGATGAAACAGATTCAAGGTATGAAAGATAAATACCAAATATATTTTTAAAAGAAAATACTCTGTGATCATTATGAGCTGTTATTTTGAACATTATTTATTGATAACATGTATAACTTTCAAATGTTTTTTTTTTCAATTATGATTTGATTATCTAGCAAACAATATAAAAAGCTCTTGCATCAGAAATATGTTGGAATTGTTGGTAAACCAAAATGGGCTAAAATTACTGCAAAAGATTCTGAAAAAGTATTATCCAATAATGACGAAGACTTAGATTTACTAAAAGTATATATTAATAAAAAATACTTTCTAAATTATTGTATTTTAACATGAACACATGTATTTTGTTTGAAATTATTCCAGTACAGTGGAAATTTGGCTCGAACAAAAAAAGGTGTCAACTTGGCTAAAGGTTTGATTGGTATAAAAAAATTACACAATTTAAATTTGTCCACGTCGACATGTGGTAAAATTGTTAAAACTGTAGAATTCCACCCTACATCAAGTTTGGCGTTAATTGCTGGAATCTCAGGAAGAGCTTCAATAGTTCAAGTATAAATTTATACACAAATTAAAATCTATATAACATTTAATTAGTGTAATTTAAAAATACTTACAGGTTGACGGATTTAACAATGAAAAAACTACAATCTATTAAGTTCCAAAAGTTTGCTATTGATTGTGCTCATTTTACTGTTGATGGTAAACAGTTTATTGCGGGTTCAAGGACTCAAAGAAATTTTTATTGTTACGATTTATTGGAAGGGAAATCAATGTTCATTCCTGTTCACCATAGTATTGGACAAACTAAAATGGATGTAAGTTCATAGTTTTCTTTTGTCACTTTGGATTTTTTATCTAATTGAATTTTGGTAGAATTTTTGCATGTCGCCTGATGGAAAACTAATAGCTTCTAGCGGCAAGTATGGAGAAATTCATCTGTTTACTGCTAAAAGCAAAGAATGGATTACTACATTAAAGATGAATGGCACAGTTAATGCTCTAACATTTAATAGTGATGGAAAGAGAATGTATTCCTTTGGAGGTAATATTTTATATGTTGTTTGTTTTATACTTAACTTTACGAATTATTATATGCAAGAAAATGATCTTTGATAGAGAATATTCTTAACCATACCTACAAAGTATATCATGATTTGTCAGTAAAAAAATGTATTTTTGTATTCTAGAAAATGGTGAAATTTATGAATGGGATATGAACAGTCGACTGTGTATAAAAAAGTTTATGGACGATGGCTGTCTCCAAGGCTCTAGTTTAGCTGTATCAGGTGATGATCAGTATCTGGCAGCTGGTTCATCGTCAGGTGTAGTCAACTTATATAAATTACCGTGTGATGTAAATCCAAAACCTGAGAAAACCATCTTGAACTTAGTGACAACAGTTACAAAATTAAGCTTCAACAAAAGTTCAGATATTCTAGCAATGGCTTCTAACCAGAAAAAATGATGCTGTTAAATTGGTAAATACTTACAGCTTTCCTATGAATATATTACAATTCAATTCTATATGAATTCAAACTTTTTTTTTTTCTAGTTACATGTGCCATCCAAAACAGTATTCTCTAATTTTCCTACAACATCTGATAATGTTGGAAAAGTGAATTGTATAGATTTCTCTCCAAATGGTGGATATCTAGGATTATCCAATAATAAAGCTGAAGCTCTTTTGTACAGGTAATTTAAGTTATTACAAATGTGTGCTTGTAATACATATTATGATATCCTAGAAAACTAAAAATTCCAGTATTTATATGATTTTAATTATCATTATAATATTATAGAATGAAAATCATATTAATTACTTAATATAAATTGTTATTTTATAACATTAGTCTTACCATCTAAGAATAAAAATTAAATAATTCATATCAATTTGATACTGACTGAACACATTTATTTCTGTTACAGGTTGACACATTTCCAAAACTACTAAAATTACCTAGTTTAAGCAATTATAAAAAAAAAATTTCATCGGTTATTTAATATAATAAAATGATCACAGTTACTTTTTAACGTTTGTTTCTATGCATAATACAATTATGTAAAAAAAAAAAAAATTAATAAAACAATATTGATGGTTAAGTGACACTTTAGATAAAATAAAAGAAATGTTAAGTAGTGAGCCTGTTTTACAGTATTATGATTGTAAGCTACCCTTAATATTATCTGTAGATGCATCAAAGGATGGGTTAGGTGCTGTACTATTACAAAATAATTTATCTATTATTTATGCATCAAAGTCACTAACTGATACACAGAAAAAATATGCTCAAATTGAGAAGGAAGCTCTAAGGATTGCATTTGGGTGTCGTAGATTTCATCAATATATCTATGGTAGAAAAGTATATGTAGAAACTGATCATCGCCCTTTATAGTTTATATTTAAAAAACCCCTAGCATTGTGCCCGTTGAGGTTACAAAGCATTTTAATAAAATTACAACAATATGAATTAATTGTAAAATACAAACCTGGTAAAGAACTATTGATAGTTGATACATTAAGTAGAATAAAGTCTAATGGTGACAGTATATTTGATGATTGGGAGAAAAGAGAAGTTGAAATAACAATAGAGGAAGTAAATAAATATTCACTAATAAGTGAAAGTAAACGTGAAGAATTTAAACTGGCTACAGAATCTGATAAAGAACTGAACACATTAAAAAATTATGTTATTGAAGGCTGGCCAGAAAGAAGAGAACAATTGAATGAAGAAATTAAAAAGTATTGGGATTCTAAAGAATTAATAACAGTACATGAAGGTGTGCTATATAAATCTAATAGGATAATTGTACCAAATAGTTTTGAAAAAAGAAATGTTAGAAAAGATTCATTTTAATTACATGGGAATTGAGAAGTGTAGATATAGAGCAAGAACTTGTTTATATTGAGTTGGAATGAATAAAGACATAGAAGAAGTGGTAAATAGGTGTCAAATTTGTTTAAAATATAGAAAAACTAACACAAAAGAGCCACTTGAGTGTTCTGATGTACCAGAGAAACCATGGCAGGTGGTAGGAACAGATCTGTTCTATTTTCAAGGAAAAAACTATGTTATGTTAGTGGATTATTTCTCTAAATTCGTAGAATTTGTAATGATACCTAAGTTAACTAGTCTAAACACTATTAATGCCATTAAAAGTAATTTTTCTAGGCATGGTATCCCTGAAATTATTAGATCCGATGGGGGTACTCAGTTTACATCAGAAGAGTTTCAACATTTTTTAAAAGAATGGCATATAGAACACATAGTGTCAAGTCCTACAAATGCACAATCAAATGGAATGGTAGAAAGACATATTCAAACAGTAAAAAAAAAATGTTGATCAAAGGTGATGAGGATAACAAAGATATATATATTACTTGAGTATAGAAATACACCTATAAGTAAAGATTTAGAATCTCCAGCAGAAATATTAATGGGTAGGAAAATTAAGGGATTGTTACCTATAGAAGAGGAAAAAGTGAAATATGTTGGAGTCTGAGAAAAATTGATAGAATTACAAATTAAACAAAAACAGTATTATGATAAAAGCACTAAAGAATTAAAAGAGTTAAAAGAAGGAGATAAGGTTTACCTGCAAAAAGAAAGAAAAGGGAAACAGTGGAAACCAGGAGTTATAAAAAATAAGGTAAAGACAGAAGATCATACATAGTAAAATTGGATGATGGGAGAGAATTGTGGAGAAATAGGAGACTATTACATAAAACACCAGAAGTACAGAGCATAAATGCAGAAAAAAATGTTATAGATAAAGAAGTTAGTAATCGCTCTAAAAGGATACCAGGAAGGTATAAGGATTTTAAAATGTAGTGAAAAAAAAAAATGTATTATTATTTTTTAAATGTTATTAATTATATAAGGATAAAAATCATGTTTGTTATCAATATAACTAGTTAAGATTTGATGTATAGTAATTAACCTAATATTGTACAACTTGTTTTATGTTTTTATAGGATATTTTGTAATTTGTTATGTTATATTTCTATTATGTTATCGAATTGAATTGTATACTTAAATTATAAGAAATAGAAAAAAAAGGGAAGATGTAATGTTAATACTGATAAGTGATAACTGATATTATATACTAATGTATTTTTTAAGGTTAATTTATATATAGAGTACCTAGTAACTGTATATTTAATGGTATTTTTTAATATGTATTAGTTGTAATTAATAAATGATTAATTAATAAATAAATAAAGTAATACACCGACACTCGCAGAAATTCTAGAGAAAGAGCTTAATATGAAGAATTAAAAAATATTCTTACTTCAGAAAAATTTGTGTATAATCTTGGTATATTATATGATTCATTAATAGAACTATCTGATTTATCCAAACAATTACAAAAAAAAGATATGACATTACCTGTTGCTCATAGAACTATTCAATATTCAATTAGAGTTCTAGAATCGATGGCGAATATTCCCGGTCCCAAAAGTCAAGAGGTAATATCTGCTTATGAAATAAACAAATTTAAAGCAATACCACTCTATTCTAAATCGTCAATAGTAAAAATACAAATAGCACAATTTTTCATTAGCTTAAGTAATTATATGAAAGAAAGACTCATGACCATTCAAGCTAGCAATGTTTCGTCATGTGAAATTTATAATGAATTTCAAATAAATTTTAAAAACTTAATTGAAGACTTTGAAGTGTTTTCACCAGAAAATTGGTCTGACAATATGGACATTCAATATGGAGATACAAATATTTGTCGCTTGTCACAATTGTTTCAAATTGACCAAGTTTTAGCTGTTCGGGGTTTTCGTGAATACAAAGAAAACAAAATACTAAACAGTGACATAAAACCACTTTTAACTATAATTAATTCAGTTCGTGTTCGACTCCCGTCAGAGCAAAACGTATGTTTTCCGTATCGCTCCCGTATTTTTAGCTTCGATAGCGTAAAGACGAGTCTCCCATAGCAGCCTGCAGGTATTATGATTATTACTTTTCCTATATCACACAACGTCCAAATTTAATTATCACGACATCGCACTAGATAACGGCCGCCGCCGCACGCAGCCAATGCCTGCCAAGGTCACTTGCTTGCTTATCAAATCTATTTCTAATGAGTCCGAAATTATCTCTGTTAATTATCTCCAAAGTCCATACACCTTCACAGTCCGACGATAAATCACCGTCGGTATGCACCAACAATGAACCTAATTAACAAATAGTACACAACAACCGCAACCGATCACCACAACAAAATTCCCCTCCCACTAAAAAAAAAAAACAAACTCTAATATTTTTTTTGCATCCAAAAACCGCTACGCACCGCTCTCGTCGTCTACAAAGACAAATGAAAATGAAAATGATCCTCAACATATGGAAATCTCATCTGAACAGCCCACCGAAATCAATAATGATACGAATACTATCAAAATAAATCTTTCACCCCCTATCTTCGTTGAAGCGAACTTAAATTTCAATACCTTATGTCTCAATCTTAAGGAATTGACCGACACCTCCAGTTTTGTTTGCAAAAGAACCACAAAAGGTGTTAAAATATAAACATTTAGCTCCGATTCCTACAGATCAATAATCAAATTTCTTAAAGAGGAAGCTGTCTCCTTCCACTCTTATCAATCGAAAGAAAACAAACCGTTCAGAATCGTTAACCGTAATCTTTATCCTTCTACCGAAAAAAACCATATCTCCAAGGAACTATCGGAACTTGGGATTCAAGTTAAAAATATAACAAACATACTCGATAAATCCACAAAAACTCCGTTGCCCCAATTCTTAGTCGACCTAGAACAATCCGAGTCAAATCAAGACATCTTTAAAGTAACACTTCCCTATTACTTCAAAGTCAAAGTCGAGACTCCCCATATCAAAAAAGAAATCCCCTAATGCCAGTCTTACGGCCACACTCGCAGTTATTGTTTTCATAACCCAAGATGTGTCCGGTGTGGTAACAACCACGAATCAACTCAATGTCAAAAAGACCGCACTGAACCAGCCATACTAAACAATATAAACGAACTACATTTATCATTAACTGAAAATCAAGTCGACATAGCCATAATTTCAGAAACACATCTTACAAATAAATCGACCCTAAAAATATAATGAGAGCAAACCACCCAGACGGCACCGCTCATGGTGGGGCAGCGTTAATCATCTCTAATAAAATAGCGCACACTTCTTCTCTACCATGTACATCACTCGATATGCAAGTAATTGACATTTCTCTGATTATTAACTCTATTCCGGTTTCCATTGCATCTGCTTATCTCCCCCAAGGCCGAAAATTCCCTGATAATGAAATCTTATTATATCTAACCGAGATTAATCATTCATTCCTACTTGGAGCCAATTTTAACGCTAAACACCATTGTTGGGGCTGCTCAACAATCAACACTCGAGGCCGCTCTCTACAGAATCTCATCATAACCAAAAACGCCAAAGTTCTTGCACTACGCGCACCAACCTACTGGCCTTCTCACCAACACCGCAACCCTGATTTTCTCGACTTCTTCATCTCTTACCTCCCTAATCATCTTCAGACAAAGCTAACCAACCTAAACGATCCAGCATCGGACCACACTCCAATATTGATTCAAATAAATTCCCCAATTTCATCGTACAACAATAATAATTCTTCCAAAATAATCTGGCTAAGGGTTTCGTACCATTATGACTTGCAACACTAATCTCAACATCAAGCTAAAATCCCACGCAGACATTGACATTGCCATAAGCACTTTTACAGAAACTATTTTCAATGCAAAAAAATGCTTACTCTCCATTACACGGATCGAAGTCTGACCATCTTATCACACCGGAAATCAGACAACTTATAACTGAAAAACGCAGAGCCCGCAATCCCTGGCAACATTCCCACTACCCTGAGGACAGGCATAATTATAACTCACTATCAAATGAACTTAAATCTGTCCTCAAGACTCACAAAAAAGAACTTTATAAATCTCACCTTGCTTCTCTTTTTCCAAACAATGGCACACTCTGGAAAAAAATCAAATCTCTTCTACAACATAAGGAAACACTTCCATCACTACTCCGAGATGACAACTCATTAGCAGTCGACGATCAAGATAAAGCCGATCTATTAGCTTCTCACCTCGTTGACTCATTCAAACCACACTCTTCTCTTCCTAGTCAAAATCACATTGACTTAGTTTAAACATACCTCATCTCTCCATTACCAATGGCCCTACCAGCCAAACACACAACTCCTGCTTAAGTCTCCAACATTATCAAAAACCTGAAAAACAACAAGTCACCCGGACACGATAAAATCTCAAATAAAATCATCAAAAACCTCCCTTCTAAATCAATTATTTGACTGACTTATATATTCAATGCCCCACTTCGTCTATCTTATTTCCTCCCTACTTGGAAGAATTCAATCATCATAGCAATATTGAAGCCTGGAAAATCTTCTAGCAGCCCTTCCTCATACAGACCAATCAGTCTCCTGATGGCATTTGGTAAAATGTTTGAAAAAATAATACTAAAAAGGCTTATGCCAATAGTTCAAAATGAAAATATTCTGCCTGACATTCAGTTTGGCTTCCGTTCTAAACACTCCACCACCCATCAACTTCACCGCGTAACAGATTTTTTTCCCTCGGCACTCGAATCAAAAAAATACTGTTCAGGAGTTTTTCTAGACGTTGCGAAGGCTTTTGATACCGTTTGGCACCGTGAACTATTGTTTAAACTTAAAAAAATATTCCCAGTCCCCTACAATCTACTCTTAAAGTCATACCTCGAAAACAGATCGTTCAGAGTCAGAACAAACACCAGACTATCAACTCATCATGAAGTTCAAGCTGGCGTTCCGCAAGGCAGCGACATCGCCTCATTTCTCTACATTTTTTACACTGTTGATATCCTAGTTAGTCAGTTCACTCTCATTGGAACTTACGCTGATGACAGCCATACTTGCCTCAAGTGTTGACCCTATCCTTGCCAGCCATCAAATCCAAACACACCTAAACATCCTTATGCCTTGGTTCAATAAATAGGGAATTATAATCAACCAAACCAAGTCTTCGCATATAACCTTTTCCTTACGACCACATGACTGTCCGCCGATCATCATGAATAATTGCACTATTCTTCATTGCACGAGTGTCAAATATCTCGGTCTCACATTCGACAGAAAACTTACATGGGGTCCTCATCTCAAGGACAAACGAAAACAATTAAATAGTAGACTTCACCTACTTAGACCCTAACTAAGATCAAACATCAACATTCAAAACAAAATCCTTATATACAAATGACTTCTCCGACCCCTATGGACCGATGGCATTATACTATGGGGCCCAACCAAAAAATCAAATGCAAAAACGATCCAAGCATTCCAATCAATTTTTCTGCGTATCATTGCCAAAGCTCCTTGGTACGTAACGAACAAATTACTCCACGATGACCTCCAAATCAAAACCGTCCACGACACAGCCACCATTTTCTATAATAGATTTCATGAGAAACTCCTCATGAACCACAACCACCTCATCTCTCAACTGGCCTCAAACACACTTCCAGACAACCCCGCAAGACGTCTCCAACGCAACTGGTGCAGAGATCTGCTTATCCTTTAAAATACATTTATATAAGTCATAAAAATTTTTGTTTTCTTTTTTTTTCTATTAATTCTTTGTAAAAGGTGACTCGACTGCGAGTCTTCCTTCATGTCACTCAAAGTCATTTTATATTATTCTTATATCATATTTACTTATTGTATATAATGTACAGATTGTAAATTTTCAATAAATGCCATTTAATTTAAAAAAAAAAAAAAAAAACTATAATTAATTCAATAGCAATTTCATCATCAGAATGTGAGCGTACGTTAAGTTTGATGAATTTAATTGTGTCTCCTATAAGAAATATATTAACGTCTAATCATATTTCTTCACTAATATTTATTCATTGTGTTGGACCACCTTTAGATAATTTTAATCCTAAGCTCTTTGTTGAATCATGGATTGGAAAGAGAAAACGTTCTGCTTCTGAATCTATATGTTTAAAAAGAAACAAAAAAGACTTAAACAAAGAATCTCATTCGTATTATCCCATATGAAAATGTCTTAATGCTTAATTTTCTATAACTTTAGTTAGTACAGGAGGTAGATAAAATATTTATTATGTTTACATTATAATATTGAAATATTCTTAAAATATAATTTATGTTACTGTTGATAATATTGATTTCATCGTGTTATTTTTATTATTGTCCATGTCAAATTTAATTTCTTGTACTTCATTTAATTTACAAACATTTAAAAATATTATTTATTTTTTATAATTTATAAATATCATAACACGAATAACATTTTTGAGGTAAGTAATATTTAATAAAACAGTTGAAAAATATAATTTGTAATTTAGTTGATGTCACTAAATGTTAAACAGTATTTTTTAAACAAAAACTAACTAACTAAATGCGGGACGCACCTCTGAAAAACAGGACAATTTCCTCTAATGGGGGACATCTGGTCACACAAGTCATACTGGATTAACTGAAGAACAGAGACAAAGAATGACGGAACCGTATGTTGGCTGAGGAAAGGAGACAAGCTAAGATTAAAGTTCGTCAAGAACAGGAACTAAATGCGTCTCTTAATGCTAATCCTGCTGTTAATAATTCGTATTAATTTAAATAATTTCGTATCTTTATATTCATTATTAAAATTTTTATCAAATTGATTTCATGTTCTTTCTAATTTTAGAACATTTTATTTTGTATGATTTATCAATTAAGAAATAATAAATTTTTATTTTTTAATATTTTAATTTTCAGATATTTATGTTTTTCCCTCTTAAATAAAATATAAATAATAAAAGTAAAGTTTTTACACGTACAAATAGAATTGCATTGGGCAAAATAGTATACTGTAGAAACCAAAATTGTATGAAACAGTAAATAATATTGTCCAATTGGCATTTACAATGAAATTCTCATATATGTTTGTCATATTAACAGATTTATTGTTTAAGACGGTTATAATTCTTTTTAATAAAATAAAGACAATTTTTTTAAGTTTAAATTGAAATTTTATAATTTAATGAGATGGTTATTGTTTGTTTAACATTTCAAATGTTTGTCTATTCGTAGATCAAAATTGAAAACATATGACATTAAATTATTTTCTAGTGATATCAAGTAATTATCAAAAATTATTATGAATAATAAACATACACATTCAGAATATTTTATTTATATACATAGTTACTTAAAGTATGATCAACAGTTGGAGTTGATGTTACGGGAAATATATCTGGAGTGTTGGCAATTCGATCAAATATATCTTCCTTAGGAGGAGGTAATTCAGCTTCATTATAGTCCTCTGATTGTGTTACAAAATCACCATCATCCAAATCCAATCTAATTCGCTTCAATATCACCTTCATTTCATTTTTCTTGCCTAATTTCTCCAACTTATCAATAGTGTCATCAAATGTATACCTGGGAAACAGTCTATGTGTCCATTGTTCAAGGCGATTCATGACAACGTTAAGATCTTCAGATTCATATCCTTTACCTTTCAACTGAATACCCTCAAACCACGTAGGAAGCACTGATAAACCACGGGGGCCTTTCAATCTGAAAACAATAATAAACAATACAAATTCAAAAATTATTTTATCATATTAATTAATTAATATTGAAGGTTTGACATAGAAAAATAATAAATTTGAAATGTTTTCCCAATTTTTTTGTTGGAACTTTTTTAATTTTCTTAACTTTTCTGATAATTGAAAACGTAATATAAATAGGATATTTTTAAATTTAATAAATATACCTCCATTGGATTTTTTACATTAATACTTGTGATTGAAATGGAAGCATTCATTTTAATACATAATAAATTTGAGTAACAGTAATTCTGTCCATGTACTATGAACACAAATTAAACCAAACTTACCAAAAAAAGTCAGAATAAGACAAAACCTTTGCTTAAGGGAGATGCAGGTATTGCTACCTATCGGGTAACACAGCCCACTCCAATATTTTGATAACTGATAAAGAATTTAAGTGGATATGAATTAGTGTTGCCAGATCTATAATAACTGCGGTAATATGATAAGGAATAATAATAGAAATATGATTAAAATGTCCGTATCGGATGTGTAATTACTGTACTCACCTATATTTTTTTCACCAAGAAACAAAAACATTTATATAATAACATTAGTTCATAAAAATTTTCCAATATTTATTTTTGTAAATTGTCCAAATTACCTTGAATGTCTGTTTCTTTGGTAATTTTTTGTTTTTCATAAATACTTTTAGTCATTGAGCTTATTGCTCTAGTTGGTTCAAATTTTACTCAACTAGTTCTTTGGTTCATGTGTTCACTTGCTAAGACCAAACTGTTAACTGTTTCAGTACTTAGTTTATTTTTAACTTTGGTTTTTATTAAATTAATTTATGAAAACACCCTCTCGCTATCAAGTGAAGAGTGAGATAAGCTTAGTACTTTTAATATAAAACTAGCAAAATTTTTAAATGGTTTTTATTTTTTTTACTTTTTTTTTATAGGTAGTAATTGGAAACAATTCAAATTATCGTATCTTGCATCATCGTTTTTATTCATCCTCCCACATACTGTACACATTATAGAATTACCATATGTCCCCGAACGCGTCCGTACGTCTGGCAACACTGATGTTATTACTTAATTTGTAACTGGAGCTAGAATATATCTCTTCTGTATATATAAAACAGTAAGCTGATTGACTGCTATCAACGCACAGCTCAAACCATTGGACGGATCTGGCTGAAATTTGGCATACAGATAGCTATTATGATGTAGACGTGCGCTAAGAAAGGATTTTTCGAAATTTTGAATTTAAAGGGTTGAAATCGGTTTAATATTTTTTGACCAGGTCGATAACTGCGCTACTGAAAATGAATTATCTGTAAATATAAAAGCTGATTGACTGCTATCAACGCACAGCTCAAACCATTGGACGGATCTGGCTGAAATTTGGCATACAGATAGCTATTATGATGTAGACGTGCGCTAAGAAGGTTACATACATTTATATACTTAAACCCGGCAACGACGGGTAATTCAGCTAGTAATATATAAAATTATAGTATCAAAAAACCATGTTTACAGTAATATTTCACTTATAATATTCTACCTAATGGAAAATACGATCCAGATTTACACAATAGACTTATAAAATGATTTTGAGAAAAAATGGAGCTACAACTTTTAGCCTCTTAGCCATCGATATGTATTAGTACGTTTGCAACTTATTACTGCTACTTTTGTTAGTTATTTTCAATCAAGTTCTTACAAAGAAAATCACTCCTTTTAAATTATTTAGAGCATGAAGCAGATACTGTCCAACCGTTGGTACCCTTGATAGCGAGCCGAACGGTTGGACCGTGCCGTCGTCCGACCACATGGTTACTTTTTAACGTTCATTCCGCTACTACGCGACGTGCGTGCATCGGTCACTTAATTTATCACTCAATCGCGCCCTCTATCACGGCTCATGACACGTAATGTTAGTAATATAGGCAAGGCTGGTCTATGAAAAAATCTTATCAATCGGTAGGTTAGTAGTTATATTATTATATTATACATATACATAATAAATTTAATTTTAATATTTCTTAAAAATAAACCAATTAATTATTATAAATCGTTTGTTGTATGTTCAAACATCTTGCTTCTATGGCCAAGAGTGCCTTATTGACAGTCATTGTCCGTCAAAGAAAATCATAAGATCTAAGTTTTATTTTAACCTGTATTGGGGTGACAACCGTACTTAAGGATTACCTTGATACATCATCATATCTTCAAAAATAAATAATAATAAAATTTGAATTAAATGTTTTTAAAAATAACTTACTTTATTTACTCATGAATGTTTCTCAGCTCAAAAACTGTATAAGCCTACTTTTGTGGAAGAAATAAAAATATTTTTGGGAATATACAATATATATATATTAGTGTTCTTAATACCATAGTACCCGGGTATCTTTTTTCTACGGGTATTACAAAATGTTCGGATACCCATTAGTAGGGCACGGATGTTGTAGTAGTAAAAAACTAGTAAAATTAATTGCAGTATTGCACTAAAAAATACCAAAAAATTCCATTTAAAATATTAAAAATTGCACTAAAAAATAACAACGTTTCGTTACAATTTATAGACGTTTTATTTTAATTCTACCGAAAAAATATTTTTTACATTTTATGATAATAATTAATAAATTATTAATTGGAGACCCAACTTTTATTTCCCTTTATATTGTCTCCTATTTTATTTAAAGTATCGGAGTACACTTCATTTACGTAATTTTTGGGTAACGTAGATTCATTTGGAATGTCTCTTCGTATACGTTTCCAAAAATAAAGAAAATTCTGGGTTATTGATTTTATGCAACGTAATATTGGCAGATAATATGGTCTTACCCAAGTCTTTAGAAAATAATGATTTTTTTTGTAAATGTTGTTGCCTGAAGTTGTGATATAGACGTTTTGATGGTATTTTGTCAATTAACCGACCGTCGAAGCTTTGCAATTTCAATATAGTGTGTACCTCCGTTCAGCATTTACTTTTGTTTCGCACAATTTACAGAAAAGTACGGATTCATCACATGAAAACACATTCTCGCCATATTCTAATACGTATTTTTTTAAAACAGTGGAAATTGTTGGCTTAATTTTCGGCATATTTACAGAAAAATAACAGAACACGATAGCTTAAAATTCACGGTGTGACTGAAGAACCGATTATAACTGTCAAACTTAGTCACATTTCACAAATTATTTTTGTATTGTATTGAATACCAACTGACTTAATATTATCGAAATAAAGATAAGATACCATTATTACTAAATATTATACTACTTATTAAATTTTATAGCTGAAGATATTAAAGTATAATTGTATTTAAACAATTGTCGAGTTTCGATTACAACTAAAATAGTTCTATAAATGAGTAAATTCAACAAAATTGCACTAAAATTCCACAAATTGCAAAAAATTGCACTTAAAACTTTTATATTTGAATTCGTACTTACATAAAACGTATTTAAAACTTACTTAGCAATAAATTGGAAAGGTAGAAGAAAAGTTGCAAATGCAACAATATCCGTGCCCTACCCATTAGGCCGTGTTCTCACCAAAAGAAAATGTCAACGGCAATACAATAGCAATGCGACTGTAATTTCAGTTGAGTTACCCTTACGTTATCATAAAAAAAACTAAAAATAAACTTAATTTACCTTTAACTTATACCTACCAATTGCATATTAATTATTATTATTTTAATTTGATTTATTTAAGTATTATATGATGTATTTAATATTATAAGTATGTCGAATACATCGAATACTCGTATGTAATAGATAAATTAGTTATTATATCGTAATAAAAAGGACATCAATAATTTACTAGAATTATTTTTTTAATTGAAATTTCATTCCACTTCCTTTTATATCTTGTCGGGTATAATTATATGATTTTATTTCATAAAGACATATAAGACTTTCTATAAGTTGTATAAAAGTCACATTTTTTTTTTGTTCGTTTGCCATTTTAAATAAATAATTAAAAAATATAATATTTTATCTTATTAAAATAAACTATGACACAATAACCACGAGCAACTGGTGGAAAGAGACTGACATGTCGAGATGCTTAAAAATAGTTTTTAATCAGTTGAGTTGCTTTACAGTTGCTACTGGTAAAAACATGTCGCGTCGCGTCGAAGTTGCATTACCATCGACAGTTGCTTTTAGTGAGAACACGGCCTTATGGTTTGTGTACTCGTTACTTCACCAATAGGCTACAGTAATATTAAAAATGTGTACAAAAGATGATGACCAGCTGTCTGATAACAATGTAATATTGTCGCATATATATATATATATATGATTACCAGTAGGTACTTATTATCTGAGTAGCTATATACATACAAGGTATAATTAAAGCCACTTAGCCGTTACCTACAAGATTTTAATATAGGATTTAGAATAGCTTTTAACATGGTATTAAACATTTTATATTTGAACAAAGTTTTTATTTAATTAAAAGAGGAAATATTTCTTATTTTTATAGTTGTATAATTATAATACAATACTAATTTCGTCCTAGCAGCTAGACCTTAGCTTGACCATATACGTGTATTATAAGCTTTCAGGTACCCGACATTTTGGGTAATGGGTACCCACTACCCAAAAACATTGGTTACCTACAAAATTGGGTATTATCCGGATATAATGGTACCCAGGTACCCCAGGTATTACCCACAATAAAACAAAGTAAAAATATATATGAACATATTAACTGTTAAAGAAAAAAAAAATGAAAACAAAAAGCTACCATCTATTTAAGATACCTTATTAACATTTACCGCCCTGTGCTGGAAAGAGTTATACTCTTGATAGTTGGTCCTACCTAATTACTGTCCTAATAAAGTTATAGTTCTTTTGGATTTAATTAACCGTCCAGATAATTACCAAGAAAATATAAATAAGAAAAAGCAATTTAATCATTAAAATTTTTGCACCTACTAACAATTGCTTAAAGAGAAATAATATTCACCTTTCAGGATTTAGCTTTGGTTGCGGTTTCTTCACACGAATCTTTACGGGGACTATTCTCTTTTCATCATTTTCTTCCTTATTTTCCTCCTCTTGTTCCGGATTTTCATCGTTATCCTCGTCCAGATGCCGTTCCACCATGTTGTCTAAATCGTCACCATAGAACTCCTCCATCATCAATCAGAAAACGTTTCTTCCGATCGGGTAACGATTGGATTCTCTGCGTCGTCTCGGACTTCCAATAGACGGTTTGTTTGGTCGTCACTGCAGCAACCACGATCCTCTTCGTTCAACCGGTTCAAATAGGCGCACAACAAATATTTATTCAGGCGATCAGTCAAAGTGGGCGAACGATTTTGATTATCGGCTTGTTCTTCGGATCGATCACCGGGACGTCCGGGCATGACAAAGTGGAGGCAAAAAAAAAAAAAAAATAACTGATAGCCGACAGAAAATGGAATGCGTGCCAAGAAAAACTACAATGAGCGCGAAAGTTTTGTCCAAAACTTATGATAAATATGGCGCTTATCATAATAATTGTTGCTACTAAATATCAAGTAGATAACGGCTACATCGAACGAGCCGTAAGGATCACGATCATTGGGATCTGTTGTAATGGTAAAAATGTAACTATTCGATTTCTTAAACATTAAAATGACCATAAACGATCAATCTAAATCAATTTGACAATCGTGTGGTCAGAAAACTGATGGATAAACACTTGGTAAAGTCTAAACAGTGTTAATTAAATGAAAATATGGAAACATCGAAACGTGATAGTAAACAACATCGATAGTTTGACGCCATTGTTATCAATCGAAAACTTATCATACTGTGCACATGTTCAAATCAGCGTTCATCACTGTGGTTGCTAAAAAGAGTACTGGAATCACCAATCTCAAAGGAAAATAATTTAAGATGACTGACTAAATTATAGGGATGGGAATTCCAACTCATTCTGCTTTACTGAAACTTTCAACTCAGTTCAGTGTAATGAGTTGAATCAATGAGTCGACTCTCAACTCTTCATTCAACTCTTTGTTTGAATCAAATTACCACTACTCTGATCAACTCTTCTAATCAAGACTCGACTCTTGATCCGACTCACAAATCACAGTCCATATTCGTGAATAGCTTATCGCATATGAAATTAATTATGACTATAAGAATACGTTACGAATTTTTCTCAGAAAGTTGGAAATCTATTAATTCCTTCGATCGTGATTGGTTGGAATTCTTATTAAATCCCGCCGTCTCTTTTCGCTTTTGATCTTGAATGTTTCCCGTAGACTTTTGTTCCGTCTTTCCATTTCAGCGGTTCGTTTGATTTTCCGACTGACCGTTTTCCCGATGCGGCCGGATGAAAATTCAAAATGTCTGACCATTAAGCATCAGCCCAATCGGAACGATTGGTACCTATTGCTCTCGCGCCGCCAAGACGTTTCGCTCACTCGTGACGTCACCGATTGGCGATCGTGATATGAGTCTGACAGTATCAGCACAGTATATACAATATATATTTAATCAACGGTATTAGCCGTTACACTTGGACGAAAGGAAATTAAAACTTTTATGATATTATGAAAATAAGAAGAACCAGTAAGTTTTACCTTTTTGGTAAATTATTTTTTTTATACCATATATTGCTTAAATATGTTTTTAATATTTGTTAAATAATTATAAATTTGTTTTTTAAATATGTTAAATACATTCAATTTGATTTATTATTCCAAATAGGGAGAAAGGTGTTGTATGTTTTCATTGTACTTTTTTATTGGAATGGAATTGAATTTAACGTGTCATTGGTGCTAATGATACTATTCAAAACAAACAGCTATAAAATAAAGAAAACATTGTATGGATTACAATTTTTAACGTTCTTATTCCACTATGATATAAATGTCATTTTAAAATATCTTGAACTATATTGTTTACTTTGCTCATAGTGGGTTGCAGAGTAATAGATTAACAAATGCTCGAACATGAGTATAGTACTATTGTACCAAAGAGCTTGGTTATTAATACACTTTTCTCCTAATGTTGTAAGAAAATATAGTCTTTTATGGTTTATTTACTTAAACCGTATCTTACTGGAATGTTGTATAATAATAAAAATATTTGTTTTGATTTTGTTATGTTTCATATTTTTATACATTATCTTCATATATTTTTTAGTCTTAAAAGCACATATATAATCTGATAACAAAAAACTTCCACACTCTTTCATAAATTATTTATATTTTATATTTTTATATATTACCATTGTATAACTTTTAATTATTGACGATGAGTACTTTTATGTACTCTGAATGTGAGAAAGACGTTGGCGACCTCCACGTGGTCTTTCTTGGATGCGCTTTTCACTATGAATGTTTAGAGTGTGAAACGTAACTAACGCCAACATTTATAAATACACACCTATTATAAAGTAATCACTTACGTATGAATTTTTTTTTTCAGACAACATCAAAAAAGAACCATCTCCATTTTTATAGTATTTTGGGTGCAGACTTACGTTGTATACATATATATATTCATTAATTATTAATGAAAAAATATGTTATGGCTTATGTTTTTTTTTCTTTGAACCGACTATACTGTATTTGAATGTTTTTTTACTTTGATAATTCCATATTTCAAAAAATGTCAAGTTGTCTAGCGTTTATGAGACTTAAAAATTGTTGTATTTAACACACTTTTAATGTTTTTTAATCATAAATATATATTTCATTCTGTAATTGAAATATCAAGATTTATATGCATATTTATACATATTTATACATTTTTTTAAATTCTATGTCCGTCTTTTAAATATAATAAATAATACACATATTTAACCTTTAACTATAGTTGAGAAGACACATAAGGTTCTACAGGTATTATTATTATTTCAAATACACTGCGGTTTGCCCTCTGTTATTTGATTTTTTTTATATATAATATATATATATTGGTTTTTATATGTTTGACACCACATATCGATTGTAAGTACAGTACCGTAGTACTTTAAAAAAAAAAATTAGGTGGAGGTCTGCTAGTTAGGGAACGCTTTTAAAGCTGAAAGCGTCTTAGTTTTCGACCCGTATATTACCCCTAATTAGAGGGTATCCACACTGGTGGACCTCCCTCCTCACGTCATTTCACGTTATGTTTCAAATTATAATCAAATTTACTTATTGTATGTATATAAAAATTACAGATTGTAAATATTCTATTATAATCAAAAAAAAAAATATATATATATATATTATCAATAGTAATAGTTACCAAGAATGATAACTGTGATAGTATTACATGATAAATTATGCATAAAAATGTTTTTGATATTATAAATTCATATGATTAATATTAATTACTAATATAAAATATATTAAGCGAATTTCACCTGAAGCGAGGAACGTAGAAACTAGTCTTGTTTTAAGAAACAATAGAAATATTAATAAAGGGATCTATTGTTTTAGTTGGTATTACATATTCCGTTTGGATTCGCAAACCGTTATCAAAGAAGCGCGAGTCGTGTATCTAAATCATAGAATAATGTTACTCTTTGATCTACATTATATAGTGCAGTTGTGAGTTTAACTGAGTCGCCAACTCATGTAAAACTGATTAGACTCGTCCAATTAAGAGTCGACTAGACCATAAACTACATGTTCCTACTAAATTATAACTTAAGAAATCACTTCATAAACATTGTTTGCGCAACAATCAATCATAACACGTGCTTCAGAGAACCGTTGTGAGTTAACAGCTGTGGACAAAACCAATGATGTGTATATCTTAAACATTTTTTTGACTAATTATGTACACTTGTGATGTAGAATGTTCCAGAAAAAAAAAAAAGATGATGAGGTATTGTATACATAACTATCAAGTGTTTTTGATCATATTAAATTTATAATAATATAATTTATTTATATTATAATTGTAAACATGTTAAGCTGAGAATAATTCTTATAAATATAATTGTTATCATCTAATAGGGATTGTTCAGAAGAAAATAATAAAATCAAAAATAAAGGTACTATGAAACGAGCGTGGCGGGATGAAGATGATGAAACAGATTCAAGGTATGAAAGATAAATACCAAATATATTTTTAAAAGAAAATACTCTGTGATCATTATGAGCTGTTATTTTGAACATTATTTATTGATAACATGTATAACTTTCAAATGTTTTTTTTTCAATTATGATTTGATTATCTAGCAAACAATATAAAAAGCTCTTGCATCAGAAATATGTTGGAATTGTTGGTAAACCAAAATGGGCTAAAATTACTGCAAAAGATTCTGAAAAAGTATTATCCAATAATGACGAAGACTTAGATTTACTAAAAGTATATATTAATAAAAAATACTTTCTAAATTATTGTATTTTAACATGAACACATGTATTTTGTTTGAAATTATTCCAGTACAGTGGAAATTTGGCTCGAACAAAAAAAGGTGTCAACTTGGCTAAAGGTTTGATTGGTATAAAAAAATTACACAATTTAAATTTGTCCACGTCGACATGTGGTAAAATTGTTAAAACTGTAGAATTCCACCCTACATCAAGTTTGGCGTTAATTGCTGGAATCTCAGGAAGAGCTTCAATAGTTCAAGTATAAATTTATACACAAATTAAAATCTATATAACATTTAATTAGTGTAATTTAAAAAATACTTACAGGTTGACGGATTTAACAATGAAAAACTACAATCTATTAAGTTCCAAAAGTTTGCTATTGATTGTGCTCATTTTACTGTTGATGGTAAACAGTTTATTGCGGGTTCAAGGACTCAAAGAAATTTTTATTGTTACGATTTATTGGAAGGGAAATCAATGTTCATTCCTGTTCACCATAGTATTGGACAAACTAAAATGGATGTAAGTTCATAGTTTTCTTTTGTCACTTTGGATTTTTTTATCTAATTGAATTTTGGTAGAATTTTTGCATGTCGCCTGATGGAAAACTAATAGCTTCTAGCGGCAAGTATGGAGAAATTCATCTGTTTACTGCTAAAAGCAAAGAATGGATTACTACATTAAAGATGAATGGCACAGTTAATGCTCTAACATTTAATAGTGATGGAAAGAGAATGTATTCCTTTGGAGGTAATATTTTATATGTTGTTTGTTTTATACTTAACTTTACGAATTATTATATGCAAGAAAATGATCTTTGATAGAGAATATTCTTAACCATACCTACAAAGTATATCATGATTTGTCAGTAAAAAATGTATTTTTGTATTCTAGAAAATGGTGAAATTTATGAATGGGATATGAACAGTCGACTGTGTATAAAAAAGTTTATGGACGATGGCTGTCTCCAAGGCTCTAGTTTAGCTGTATCAGGTGATGATCAGTATCTGGCAGCTGGTTCATCGTCAGGTGTAGTCAACTTATATAAATTACCGTGTGATGTAAATCCAAAACCTGAGAAAACCATCTTGAACTTAGTGACAACAGTTACAAAATTAAGCTTCAACAAAAGTTCAGATATTCTAGCAATGGCTTCTAACCAGAAAAATGATGCTGTTAAATTGGTAAATACTTACAGCTTTCCTATGAATATATTACAATTCAATTCTATATGAATTCAAACTTTTTTTTTTCTAGTTACATGTGCCATCCAAAACAGTATTCTCTAATTTTCCTACAACATCTGATAATGTTGGAAAAGTGAATTGTATAGATTTCTCTCCAAATGGTGGATATCTAGGATTATCCAATAATAAAGCTGAAGCTCTTTTGTACAGGTAATTTAAGTTATTACAAATGTGTGCTTGTAATACATATTATGATATCCTAGAAAACTAAAAATTCCAGTATTTATATGATTTTAATTATCATTATAATATTATAGAATGAAAATCATATTAATTACTTAATATAAATTGTTATTTTATAACATTAGTCTTACCATCTAAGAATAAAAATTAAATAATTCATATCAATTTGATACTGACTGAACACATTTATTTCTGTTACAGGTTGACACATTTCCAAAACTACTAAAATTACCTAGTTTAAGCAATTATAAAAAAAAAATTTCATCGGTTATTTAATATAATAAAATGATCACAGTTACTTTTTAACGTTTGTTTCTATGCATAATACAATTATGTAAAAAAAAAAAAAAAAAATATAATAAAATGTAAAATGTTATTTAACAATATTTAATACATTTTACATAGTTAAGAAACTATGTATTAAGAAAAGAAGACAAACATGGGACGGCCAATATGAAAACAATTAATGCCAAAAATTATGTATGTTTAATCTTAGTTTGTCAATATTTTATACCTAAACTGCTGCCGAGTGCACTCTCCCATTGGGAATTGTCCCAACTAATTGAACCACAACAATTACAAATATTGAATACCCGATTTTTGTCACCAAACATATCAGCTGACAATGGTTTGATCTGAAATAATGTTTAAAAATAATTATTTTTATTTTATTTAAGATTGCATTTGGTTTATTTACATCTATTTCCACATTTTCATTAGTATAACCAGTCAATAATTTGCTGTATGGTTCTTCAAGCTGGGTTGTAGCTGTTGTAGTAGAGGTGTTGGTAAAAAATGTTGTGTCAATTGGAGCAGCTGTCCCTTCATCATCTGAGTAATCATAATCATCATAATAATCTTCATAATCTTCATCAATAGAAGGTGGTCTATATTGGCTAACAGGTGGTTTATTTTGAATAGTTTTGATGGAGTCATAAATATTTTTCATATCTGAACTGCTAACCGTCTCATACTTGTCACTGTTACAATTCTGAAGAAAACAAAAGTATACTTTTATTTTAATCTTTATGTATTTATGATTTATCTTTCAATGTAGTAATGTACCATGAATATTTTCTATCGAAAAGTATTATAAGAATCAATAGGACAATTTTAAAGTAAATAATATTAGAATTAATTAAAAATGTTAACTATACATAAATATTTTACCTTGCAACGACTATTCAGATCTTCTTTTTTTACAACAATTTTGAAGTAATTCAAAACTTCTTGTATTTGGTCATCTAAGTTATGATTTTGAACACAATAACATTGGCCGATCCGTAATTGTTTTGCTACCTACATTATTATTTTAGATAATTATTCATAAATTTTGTTTCAAAAAGTTATTTTATATATTTTACCTTTGAGAATGCATGTCCAAAGGCAATAAAATATAAATTGTTTGCTTTAATTTGGTTTATTATGTACTGGCAGTCATTGATTTTAGATCTATCAATTATGGAAGTATCAATACCACATTTTCGTAAACGTTCAGCTAACTTCTCTAATGTATTTGGTACCAACAATTTAAAATCCTTAACACTAGAAACTAGGGTATGAGGAGACTTTGATTTTATATTGGTTTTTGGCACACTCTAAAAATAAAAAATTTTATTTAATAAATTTATACAAACATTTAAAGCAAATATTTTTTGTAAATTACATGTCTGTTTTTTCTATTCCTTGGTTTAGGTTTCATTGTATCAGGATTATTATTATTTGATATTTTTTGACACACTTCATCAAATGGTATATTACTGGTCTTACATTTCTTTTTTAATATATTGTAAATTTCTAATAAACAATAAGCGTCCAATGCTGAAAATTAAATTAGAATTACAAATAAGAATATCTAAGTGAATAAAAGATAATATTAAACATAGCTAAAATAATTTCTTAATGATAATGACATATCAACTTTTTATTTAACATCTAACCCAATGCTTGTTTTTCGTTATAGTCTATATACTTGTAAAATAAGGTAATTACCAGCATATTTAATTTGATTATATCGCAATGGTATTTTTTCCCAATTTGAAAATTGTTCAATCTTATTTAATGGTTTTCCAAGACTTAATTTGACTAAATCTGAAAGACTATTATAGGCTATATCTTCATTTGGATCTATGACAATTAATTAATAATATTATTTAAGGAACACTGATATAATATTATTTTTACTCGAATATAAATATATTTAAAATTTAAAATTAATTAATACTTTGGAAAGGTAGCTGGAAATTCCACTTAGATTCTAGTTCTTTCCATAACAATTTTAAATCAACAAATCCAGGCCCATTCAGTTGTAGACAATCAATTGGTAATGTTGATCTAATCATTGATGCATCTCCTTTCCATTCAAAACCTAAAACCAATAATCTAGCTTTAGACAATAAATTAATTTTGGTTAATAAAAATTGATAAATATTTCATGCACTTGCCTAATTTTAATATATTTGTATTGCTAAATATATTCATTGAAAATTCTTCCCAGTGAAGCTTGAAATGTTCTGCTGGTTGCAATTGAGGTAAATGAAATATATAAATAGCATTTCTGGTAGCTAGTTGAATACAAGCTAAATCACTCTTATCACATGTCAACTCAGGTTTCCACTCACAGTCCAAGCCCAAAATATCAAAATTTGCATCATATAATTCAACATTGATTTTATCTAAAAATTCATCAAACTTTGATACCGAGTCAATTATATGTATTTGATGGTCAGGCAATGATAGTTCATGGTATTCCATAAACTTGTAATCTTCCATTGGTATTGATCTATCTATAGTTGCACTCCTATTAACCAACAGCATTACATACAATAACACATAATTTATAAATAAAAACCAATTTTTAACATACGCATTTTCGCTGAATAATAATTCTTGTTGTGTGTTCAGTGGCAATATTGCTGGATCAATAGAAAACAGTCGTGAAAAATAAATAGCCTCTTGAATATCACCATAGTTGTCTAGCATTTTAACAACTTCCAACATCATATCCACATTGTTACCAACGGATTCCAAAACCATTTCTCTCCAACCATCAATACCTTTAAAATATTAGTTATGATAATAATTCTGTATACCTATAAACCAATACTTGAGATTTACCAGTGACACCAGATTGATAACGATGAAACATGAACTTTAGAGCTCCTTTTTTTTTCTGTTTAGTTATGTTGGGTGCAAGTCCATTTGGGATACTATATTTCTTCATAATCCTCGTTAGATTCGTTTTAATTTGACTTTTGGTAGAAAAATTATTGTTGGCTGGAGTAACATTCAAACGTCTAAAATAACAGTTTACTATTTATTTTAAAAGAGTAAAAAAAATAGCTGAGACATTTATCAAAAGTAATACACATTAATATTTAAAAATAAAAATGTAATTAACGTAAAAGAGAAATATTAAATTTCTAAAATAATAACTACTTTAAAAATTAAAAAAAGTATTAGACTTACTTGGCTAATATGTATAAACAATCATCATTTTGGGCTAATAAATCATCAAAATATTTCACCAAAGCTTCTTGTTGAAATTTAGAAGTGACTAGATATTCTTCTGTTACAGACACCATGTTCAAGAAAAATAAGGGAAGTAAAAAATCTTCTACGGTAAATCGATCTTGTATATTTAAACTGATAGTAGCATAACATGCCTAAAAATTAAAATTAAAAAAATATTTAATGATGCTATAATATTCATAAAATATATTGATTTTATTGAGTACCAATAATTCACCTCTTTAAATTTTTTTTGTCTTATCGATTCTCTAATTAATCCTTCCATAAAGTCTAAATTTGTGTTACACTTAAAAATGTTTACAATGGTGTTAATTGTGTTTAAACACATTCTCTTCTCAAGTATCATTTTAAACGCTCGAATTTTCAACTCATCAGTTAACATTGATTCATATTCACTTTCATTCATTGTTATCCATTTGTAAAATTCTTCTGTTACTGCATTACAATTTAACATTATGATATTGCAACAGTAATACAAATAAGATCCACTTACTTGTATGAACCATGGTATTAGCTTTGCCCTTAATTCTATCTTCTGACACAACACTTACCAATTGCAATAAAGAATCATAAGGATTCAGACTGGTTTCAAAAAATTTCCTCAGTGTGTCTGTTAAGACTTTACTTTGTTTCCCTAGACAATACAAAATGATTAAATATGACGATTCAAGTAGAAATTGTTTTTGAAAAAAATTAATGCAATTAACACAAAAATAATAATAATACAAATACTGTAAACTTACAAGTAGCCCAAATATTCTGAATATGCTTGGCAATTTGTTGAACTTCTGGCTTGAATAATTGCGAAGATGACTGAAAACTTACAGAGGAAGATGTATAACTATTAATATTTCTCGATGGTTGGTCAGCAGTAACGATTGGGACGTACAATGGCTGAATTTCTGAAGACAAATAAAAATAATAATTCTTAGCTAAGGACTTAATAGTAAAATAGACTACATAAAAAACTATTTCATTGGGCAAACAAGCAAGACACAAGTGTGCTAACAATATCTATACAAGGGGTGAAATGCAATGTGTAAGTAGGATGTTACCATGAGACCGGTGATAGTGTCCACCTGGTGGCATCCCGCTGCTAGGTACTGTGCAATGCGTATCCGTAATAAGGTCTGTTTTGGCTACTCTCCTAGGCGATTGGTTCACAGAAGATGAACTACCTGCTCTATGGAAGTAACCAGATGTGGCACGGTATTGGCTGTTGTCTTCTTGACGGCCGGCCATGTTTTGTCTGGCGGATGGGAAATCGGTTGAACGTCAGCGAATGGGTCGGTCGGTGGTCATACGGCTACGTCAAGAAACAGTGGTGACAGTCAACTGGAACCAGGTCATGGCGAATTGCGAGGGTGTTCGGCGCCAACGCAAAATAGACGATCCGTATCAGAAATGGTGCAACTCTTCAGGTGACGAGTCGATGCCACAACAGAGCACGACCGACCGGGACGGTAAAAGGTCGGTGATATTTTGAGGACACGAGGAGGAATATCGCAAGTGCCGCAAGGCAAGCAAGGAATCAAATCGAACGACGACTAATATTCCTATATTTTTGTTATCGATCGTGACGAGCGGATACGAGCTATGAAGTAACGGTAATTATGACGAACGCATGATGGGTATCATCAATAATAACAAATAATACTATTATTGATATGCTATATGCTTTATGATGATATGCTATTATTATAATAGTGAATTGTGTTTGTTATCACGGGACAGCGATTCGTACGGCAGACCGCGCATAAAATATAAATACGTAACAGTGCGTTCAGACTTGTGCGTAACAATGTGCCATAAACGGCGTAAACCACTGACGGCCCCAGTTGATGTTTGCGATAAGTTTCTTTTTTTTTTTTTTCTCTCTTTCATAGATCCACTGTATTTTTCATGCTCGTTAACGGATGGTACTATCGATATAAATTATTATTCTTAATTAATAATATTAATATCATCAACAGAAACAACAGCACCAGCAGTTGACCATAGGCGCAAATAGGGTGGGGCTTGGAAGGGGGCTAAGCCCCCTAATGTGAGTTCAGCCCCTCGGATTTATTATCGTTTTATATCGTAAAAATGTATTATTTTATATAATTGGGATTTTTTTTTTTATTTAATTAAACTTTTATCTCGCAACATTACAGCTGTTAGTGATTATAACTAATAATAATATTTTAATGCTTATTTTAGATAATTGAATGCCGGCACTACACTTGCATAAGCAACGCGAGCATGGGAGTAGTTGTGTCGTCTCGCCTCACCACGCCTCGTGCGTGCTCCGTTCAGTGTCAGTTTTTTGGTCGCTAGTAAAAGAACATGAGACACGAAGCGAAGCATATCAACTACATTCTTGCGCTGTCTCGTGCTTGTCTAGTTTTTAAACAGCCGTTTGATTTTGCCTTGATTGTTTATTATTAAGTCGTTTACGTGATTAATTTTTTTTTTACGTTTAATAATTTATTAAAATGTCTGACTGGACTAACGAAAAAGCAATTTAATTTATGGAGTTTTATCAATCAAAGCTTATTTTATGGGATCCAAAAAATAGTTGGCATTAAGATAAGACCAAAGTGAATGATGCTTAGATCGCAACTAATAATCTGTTAATATACCAATTAATGAACTGAAAAATAAAAAAAATTCCATCATGCCAATGTTTCGTAAGCATTTAAGGAGAAAAAAAGCGTCGATCAACTGAATAAAACGAGAAAGTAGATGGTTGCTTTGCGTCGGTTCGGTGAGAGTATAGAGGCAAACTCTGGATAATGTAGAGGAAGCATAAAAGTATGGGGACATATCCTCAACTAATAATTGTTGGTTAAAACTTGAAGCGCTGAAGCCCCTCCCCCCCCCCAATTAAATTCCAATAATAATTATTGTTATGACTAAGGCTCGGAAATTGTAGAAGTTAAAAAGGCAAAATATACATTAAAAATTTTAAATCTGCAAAAAAATTATTTTGAAAAAATATTAATTTTAAATTAAATTTGAATTTTAATTCCAAAAAAAGTATAAATATAATAATAATGTGACGGACGACGGTGGAATATTGCGGTGGTGTTATGTCATATCTTATGTAAAACATATTACATAGAAGTAGGTACACGATTTTTAATAATGTAGTATGGTAGTAATATTTTATGATTGTTTTTATTTCAATTAATAATTATTGTTCTGAATCTGCGGAAATGGGGGGGTATGGAGGGCGAAGCCCCTCATAGTTCACATTGACTATATTTATTTATAGGGCTTCAGCCCTCCCAATATTTTAGACCTAGTTGCGCCAATGTATTTAACCCTGTCAGAGTATACAGGAAATCTTCTTACGAGTTGCTATTTTATCAATGAAATTAAATCACACTCCAATTACTATTGTAGCAACTTACTGTCCACCCAAACATAAAATCACGCCACTACAATATGAAAACTTTTTTAATTCTTTAGGTCACTATTTTATAGTGGGTGACGACCTAAATGCAAAAAACCAATCCTGGGGCTGCCACACTTCTATCCCAAAAGGACGCACTTTACTCCAAATAGTTTACCGCAAAAATTATTCCATTTTAGCTCCCCCTGACCCAACTTACTGCCTAACGTCTATAAATAAACGCCCACATATCTTAGATATATTTGTAGTTAATATCCCTACTAGATTAAAAAACGTCATAAATAATTGCTTAGATCTATGCTCAAACCATACTTCAGTCCTTTCTCTGGATGTTCAACCTCCTTCCCGGCCCCGTTAAGCTTGCCTTACGGATGGTATTACTGACTGGAATGAATTCCGCGAAATAATTGACCAAAACATCGACCTAATTTCGTGAACCAACCAGCCACCAAATACACAGACTGACTGACTGCATATCTAATTCCTTGGAAAAAAAAGAATACTGCATAGCAGCCCTCCTTGATATAGCCCAAGCGTTTGATAAAGTGTGGCATCCTAGTCTCTTGTACAAATTAAAAAAAAAACTTAACTTTACCTTACTACCTATTTTACAAATCTTGTCTTCAAGACCGTTATTTTGTGACGAAAATTGGATCAGAAATGTCGTCCTTGGTCAGAATATCTGCTGGGGTACCAAAAGGAGCCGTTTCATCTCCCATTCTTTACAACCTGTATTCAGCTGATCAACCGACAACACCTTACACCTCAGTTGCAGATTTTGCTGATGACAAAATTATCTACTCCTCGCACAAAGACCCAACAATTGTTAGCATGAATCTACAAAACCACCTAGACCTTATGTCTTCCTGGTACGATAAGTGGAAAATAAAAATAAATCACGGAAAATCTACCCATCTAACTTTTACATTAAATCGTGGAACCGTGCCACCTATAAACTTAAATAACCAAATTATTCCAAAATCCTCTAACTCCCGTTACATGGGCCTATTTCTAGATCAACGATTAATCTGGGCTGACCACATAAAAAAGAAAAAATCCTCCTAGACTCTAGACAAAAATCACTACAATTCTTACTCGGCAAACATTCTAAACTTAATATAAAAACAAAATTACTTCTATACAAAACTCTATTAATGCCCATTTGGACTTACGGGATTCAGCTATGGGGCATAGCTAAAAAATCAAATACAAATAAAATTCAAACCTTCCAATCTACAACTCTCCTTATATTCACAAATGCCCCTTTTTATGTTTCTAATCATACCCTTCATACAGATTTAAATATTAATACAATAGAAAAAACTGCCAAAATTTATTATAAACTTTATCACTCCCGACTGATGAACCACTCCAATCCACTTATCTCTGCTCTAGGTTCCGACACCATATCTAGTAATCCTAATTGAAGAGAAATGGTGTAGAGACTTAAATATTAATTAAATAAAAAAAAAAAAAAAATATGTATATATATATATATAGGCAAATTTTAATTTAACCTACTCTTAATATAAAATGTCGCCATTGGGTGGCTGCTTTTATCACTTACCTATGTCGAGCTATTATATAATTCCACATGTATACTTATTGTAATAATAACTTTCAGATTGCACGCTTTAAATAAAAGTTAAAAAAAAAATAAATAAAAATTAAAATGAAAACCAATGGTTTCCAAACTTTTTTTTGGAGGAAACAGAAATCGTACCTTTTTCGTTTTTGGCAGAAACGGGTAACTCCCATATAAACTGCTGTGGACCGTAAACGGCGAGATACCGGGCCGCGGGATGCTTAAAGTGCGGTTCTCGTGAAACCTACCTAGATGTCTCTCTTAGCTCCAGGGCTAGTGCCGTCATTAGCGGATAGACAATTTAGGCAACTGCAGGGCCGTAACTGAAAATTAATTTCGGAGATGGGTTTGACCACAGCTGTCGTTCTTATAGGCACGAGACTACGGGAGTGCATGAAGCCATAATGACTGTCCATGTACCTAGCAGTAATGTTTATAATTAACTATATTAATTACAGTTTAATTACTCCAAATATCCCACAAAAACATAATAATATTATATTTATTTAAACGTTAACTTACAGTCAAAGGTGGAACTAGGAATTTTTACGTCCGGGGAAAATGTTAAAATTATGCTCTATCACAGACTAATAATTAAATAATTCTCTAGAGAATTTTTTTCTGATAATTAATATACAACCAAATTTATTCAAATTTAATCTAATAATCGCTATTTATTTAGAATTTAGATATTAATAGTATTAAAGAATGATTTAAAATAAAATGACTACTATTTATATGGGGAGGAGCTCATTTTTGTTTATTCATCCAAAGTGTCAATGACTCTATTGTAGGCAGTGACGTAACTGAGAAAAAACCTAGGGGGGACAATATAATATATTTATTATTACCAAAACCCTGACACCCCTCCCCCTCACCAGTTAAAACATATTTTTATTGTATGTATTTTATACACTATATCTAATTGTTTGATTTTACATAAGTCTTTTAACTCATTTTATGGTTTAGATAAACATAAATTGTAGGTAGCATGTACTAGGTACCAATATTGTTAAATAATATCCGTAAGAGTTCATTAATAAAAAGTGCTATTTGTACTGTTGGATTATCTGGGGAGGGGGGAGCAAAATTATACCTCTATCAAGGGCAATTGCACCCCCCCACAATTACGCCACTGATTGTAGAGGCACCGCTTAGGAATAAGAAAATTTTATTATTTTTGGTTAGGGCCTCGAAAAAACTGCACTGCTTCTGGCAGTCTATTGTGACTTTATTTGAACCTTATAACTATTGTCGAGATGTCAATAATATTAAAAATCATTGGTCAAATTGAATATACATTCATAATTGAGTTTTATTATAATACGAATGAAGAAATTGAAAAAAAAAAAGATGTTGGTTTTTTTGTCCAAATAATCTATAATTGATTGCGATGTTAGGTATTTTATTAGTAGCTTTTGTAGCTCAACAACTGTTAAAAATTATGCTATATTATGTACAAAGCTTTTATAGTCTCGGGATAGTTAAACAACTTCCGTTTTATATACGTATTAAAACACTTCTTGGGACTGCAGTCCCCATAAATTTGATAAAAATCATACCCCACAGATTTTATCAACAAAAATGTATCCAATTCTAATGGTTGAAATTTAATTAAAAAATTTAAATTAAATTTAATATTGGTTCTAAATAAATGGAATTATTGACTGTAGTTAGACAAAATGACTATTTTTAATGTTTTGCTCACTGAATTTACAAACATAAAATGTTAATTATTTAAAATAGTAAAAAAAAATGTAATTACATATTTATTAGGTTTTTGTTTTTGATTTATACTGTAAATACACTAAGATATGAAATCAATAATTGACATTTTTAACTTGAACAATAATATAATATTCAAATACATAATTTTGTATAAATTGTCATGAAGGTGATTTATTTATTTCATTAAATTAATTGATTGAAAACAAAACAATTTAAACACATAATTATTAATGCTATATTGTACTTTATTTAGAATCAAAGCTAGGATGAGTGATAAACATAACTATTAATTATAATAACACTAAAATAATTAAAAACTATTTGAAATCGGTTTATAAATTTCTAACAAGAGTATTTAATATTAACAATAATTTATTTGTTAATTGTATTACAATCAACGGCACTCGAAATATTTTAGGAATAAAAAGTGCATTAGCTTATCTGGACAACTGGCACACAATAGTAAATTAAAAATATTTTTTAATTTCCATGTCTTATTATACACATGATAGGGAATGTAGCTACATAATTCAAATTTACATAGTTAAATACAAACAAAATATAATTACACAATGAAATTATGTCAATAGGTATGTTCCTAAAGTATGAATTATTTATTTACAAATACAATTAGGAATCTTTTAGTATTTATAATGTATTAGTATTTTAATCTTAATTGTAAGATATATAAATAAGTGCAGTCTTTAAAACATTTTGAATTTGAATAAAGAATTGCAGGATAAGTCAAAACAAACAGAAAGAATTTTCAAAATTTTAAATGACATTACACACTACATTAGTAGTTACTCATTGATCACAGATTATAGATTTAAGAATTTTATGCAATACAAATCTGTAAAATCACTTTAGTTAAGTATTTTTAAACCACTATTATTCTCCTTATTTTCACATAGTAAAAATGCAATTTATGAAAATACATAATTACATACATCTAATAATATTTTTTATAAAAGACTAATAAACAAATCAATGATTTTGAATTGACTATTAGTTTTATTAAAAATTAGTTGGTACCATAAAATGTTTTCTCGTTTTGTATTCATTAACAATTTGAATAAAAAATAAAATACATAATAGTAAAACAATAAAAAACTTTCATTGTTTTAATATTCAACAATCTAGTTTGTTAATTACTAATGACTTAGTTTAAGTATTTTCTGTAATTTGTTGCAAAATACATAAATATAATTACATTACAATTTATAGATTAATTAATATACAGCAACAAATCAAATAGCTATGATATACATTGAGGTTTAAAATTGGATACTTGTATGTACAATACAAATATTTATGATCTAAAACTACAATATATACTAAAATATGGGGCAAGTTGATCAATATATTAATACAATAACTTAATTAAGTCATGAACGATAAAAAAAAAACATAAAACTGAATACACATGTAAAATAAAAGGAATTATTAAGAATTAAAATACTTAAACAAATTATTTTAACCACCAGAATTGGTAGTTTCTTCATCATCTTCATCATCAAAACCAAAACAATTTTCAACACCATCACCACATTCTTCTTTCACATCTGATAATGATGCCGTTTTTAAAATTGTTAGATCTTTTTGACTTGGAGCTAAATAATAAATTGTTTAGTTATAACCTAATTAACTATTTTAAGTATAATTTTACTTACAAGATTGGTCAACTTGTTGTATTGATACATTATTAGAAGAATAATTATCCACCTGTTCTCGACCATCTAGTTGAATCACTTCAAGTACAACATATTGCTGCCCATCTTCACCTTCTACTGCTACAACTCCAGTTTCCCTTGTCGGAATACTTGTATCCTCTTCAGATTCATCATCATTGGGTGAATCTGTATACTGCATTAATTTTTTTTTTTACAATTTACAATAATTTATATAAATATAGGCCTGTGTATATTGTTACTTAATAAGTCAGTAATTGTTGATATCATTATTAAAAATAACTTCTTTCAAGACTTTTTTATAATTTTGAGATTTTAGACATTTGTTAATTTGTAAATTAGGATAAATGAAAATCTAAAATGTTTTAAGTATTTTCAATTTTCAACCATTTACTGTATATATATATATATATATATATATATTTTTTTTAAAAGATATCAATAATCTGTACCCATGGATACAATAAGAATATATGCTAATAGAATGTAAGTAAGAAAATGTAAAGAAAGAAGTCACCTAGTGGTGGCACTACCAGTTGAAACCATATGATATATTAGTTTTCAATATATTTAAGATATATTGATACATGTTCATAACTACATATGTATTCAGACGAGTTAAAAAAAAAAAAACAATTTAATTAATGAGTATTTATTTTCTTTATAAGAGACTGAAACATTTTAATTACATAGATGCACTAGTCTATAATATAATATACATACTTCTAGTCTTTGTTTAATTGCTATATTTCGATCATTTCCAGTTGATTCTTGCATATGAACTTCCATATGTCTCAATAAATTTCCTTTATGTCTAAAAGATCGTTGACAAGTATTACACTGATGTGGTTTTTCATGTGGTAGGGGTGGTATATATGCTGGATTATGATATAAATTATGATGTCGACGTAGTAATTGTTTTTGTCTGAATGACTATAAAATTTTTTTAAAAAATATGTTATATATTTTTTAATTAATATCTAGTATATATATATATATTATACATATAACTTTTTTTACACATGTATATACAATAATCATAATATAAGTGAGATATCATAGTTTTCATAAACATGCACATTCCAAAATCAACAACTAGTATTCTAATAAGACTCAGGTTTTCAAAAATCATACTTATAATTAAATTATATGCATACATGTTATATATATATGGTCAAGATTTATATTCTCATTTACTATTAATATTATTACGCAATTGTTGCACATTTTTTCATTTTATTAACAAAACAAAATATTTAGATATTTGATAATCAACTATGACATACACTGTACTTATCAGTATAAAACAGCTTTCAGTATTGAAAGTCAGCTACCACGTTGGTGAACATGCTTGGGGTGATAACTTAATAATACCATTCATTATATTATAGAATTAGTTATAAATCGGAAAATTTAAAAATAAACTTTTAATTTGCGTTTAATAATTTTAGCCTGTCCTTTATATTGTTTATTATAAATTATTATATTATTTATATATACTGCCCATAATTTATGAGGAAAATAATCCCAGTGGAGTAACACTTTGAATAATATCCACAATTTATGAAATTGGATAGTAAACATACATATGATATAACACTGCTCAATATTTTGCTCTATTACAAAATTGAACTGATGTATAATAATCAATAAAGTGATTACCAATTTATACTAAATATTATCAATAAATAAAATTATTTCAAATTTTATGTATTAAAATAAATTAAATTTTGAATACAGCTAACACTGACAATTACAGCCATTGTTACATATTTTATACTTTAATTTATATTAAGCTACATTAAATTAATAAATTATATATATATATATATATATATAATACATACGGTATATAATTTTTAATAAAAATAAAATTGTAATGGATATCATTCTTGCGCATTTCTCCATGTTTTTAATGTGTTTAAATCTGGACTCTAATAAATTGTACAGTACGTTTGATTTTTAATATACTATTTAGTATTACATTTTAAAACGTTTAATAATTCAAATTTAATAATAGTACTACTATGAGCTCTATTGGATGATTTTAAATTGAATATGAAATTATTTGTCTATGTGGTTATTTAAAAATGATTCATTTCATTGCTATTATTTTTCTCTACAATTTAATTAGGATAATAAAACAAATTTACCTGATCACAAAGCTTGCAATGGAATGGTTTTTCATCAGTATGAATTAACATATGAGTTTCAAGATGACGTTGAGACATGGAAGCATAAGGACACAATTCACATTTATAACATTTTTCCCCTTCGTGTGATTTGCAATGTACCTGAAGTAAATAATTATTAAGTAATATATTTAAGGATACTTGATTTATTTCAATACCTTATATTGGTAACGATCAGGAAATGCTTCACTACATCGTTTGCACTTAATTGGTTTATCTGAGGTATGAAGCTTTTGAACATGTATACGTAAATCAGTTCTTCGGCCACAAGTGGCTGGACAATGTTCACATTTAAATACAGGTTTTTCTCCTAAAATCATAATATATCATTAAAATTACCATTAATTTCACATTGTAAAATTTAAAATTTACCGCTATGTATTAATCTATGGGTTTTCAAACTATTAGACTGTGTAAATCTAGAAAAACAAATGTCACATTCATAAGGCTTTTCGCCAGTATGTATACGTAAATGACGTTTTAATTTAAATGTATCTGGACTTGCATATGTACAATGAGGACACTAGAAAAAATAAATAAATAATTAAAAAAAAAAACCAGACTACATTTATAAATTAATACTTGGTATGGTCGTTCACCAGTATGACATCTCATGTGATTTCTCATTTTACTAAGTTCTACACTAGCATAATCACATATTGTACATTTATGTGGTTTTTCATGGGTGTGCTTATATCGAACATGTCTTACAAGTTCTCCTGCAATTTAATCAATAATTAATAAAATATTTGAGAAGTATAAAAAGATATTAACTATTAAATAAAAAACATAACAAATAATATATAATAAAAAAAATAAAAATAAGTAAATACTTGTAAATTAATGCATAAATAAATAAATTCTTAGTTATAAGTATTATTATATTTGTGATGTACAACAGGTTTCAAATTAAAAATTCATTATTAGCTATATACAAAATAAATAAAATAAAGTTAGTCTTTAATAAAACATTAATATTTCATATTTCAATCATTAATAATATACAATCAATAAAATTTGTAATTAGGTACACTGAGTGTCAATGATTGAAATAAAAAATGTAAATGTATTACTAAAGACCAAAATAAAGTGTGGTAAATTTTATCATAATGCAACTAACACCAGGTTAACTTTGTATATACGCTTGATATATTAACCTATCTGATGATGAATTTTTAAATCGAAAATGGTTATACATTATAAATATAATAATACTCCAGGCAAAGTATTTATTTACTTTCTATATATTTTCTATATATAAACTATTTATTTATATATTAATAATATTTATTGTTAATTAATATTATAGTTAACAAACCTGATGTTGTAAAAGCACTAGGACAACTCCGACATTGATATGGTTTTGTTCCAGTATGGGTGTTAACATGATTTTGCAATGAAGTAAGAGTTTTAAAACCACGTTCACATACAGTACACTTATGTGGACGTTCTTTGGAATGCGATTTCATATGGCGAGAAAGTAGGTATCTAAAAAAAATAAATAAATAATGAAGAATTTTACAGTCAATTTTTAAAGAGTTCAAAAAGGATGAGAAATATAAAATAAATTTATAAGTAGAAAGATTAAAAAATATTTTTTATAGAAATATACTAGTAATTTCTTTTAAATAACATTATTACCTATTGCTTATTACACAAGTTTAATAACTATATAATAGGTATGTTTTTTATATAAGTGCGGTAGAATCAATCAATTTCTCTTTCAAATAAAGTGAATAAGGTATACATTAATTTCCTTTTAGGTTCAATATTTAGAATAAAAACTGTTTAATATTGAATTTAAAACGTTTATTTAAAAATTTGAAAAAAATGTCATTGCGAAAAAAAAATAAATATATACATATATATTACCTTTTTCCAGTTGTATAATTACAATAATTACACATATGTGCTTGAGTCACAGTTTGTGACTTTTTTGGTGCTAATTTGGGTATTTTTGATTTGTCATCTTCTTCACCAGATTCCTAAATATAACTTTTAATAGTAATAATAACTTTCAATATTTGTCAAACTTACAATAACATCTAATTTTTTGGCATTAGTTGGATCTTCACCATCATTGAAATCATATACATTGCTAACATCTGGATCATCTGGATCAGGATCATCTTGAGAAATCTCCATGCTGATATTGGAAGTTTCCTCATTTTTTTCATTAGGTTGTTTGACAACATAAAGTACATAATTGTTTGGTTCAGTTTCAGTTTGAACAAGAGTAACCGTTTGATATCCAGTACCATCTGCCAAAGCCACAATCTAAAATTATAAAATATTATTATTACAAATAACTTAATGAAAACATATAAATAAATTTACTTGTGGTATTTCTTTTTTAATTTTATCTTGTTGACTAGGAAGAACAATTTGGGTAACATTATCTATATTATTTTCATTTGTATCAGCCATCATTTGTGCATCATGTTCAGAAAGTCCTAACAAAATATATTTTTTAATTTAAAATTTACAAATAAATTAGAAGAACATTAAATTAATTCACCTCCAACCATAACCATTTGACCATCTCCTGTGGTTGTTTGATAATAATATTGGACATTTTGATCAATGAAATATGTATGCTCTACAGAATCACCATCTAAATATATTTTTATTTTTTTTGTATAAAATATAATTATTTAATAGAGAAAAAAAATGAAATGAAAATAACACATACCAGTAGTAACTTGTGTCACTTCATTACCCTCTATCTCTTTATTAAATGAATCTAAGTAATTTTGTATATCAGTAATATTTTCAGTTCCTGAGGTAGATGGCTCCAACTTAATTCCATCAATAGTCATTGTATTTTCAGATGACCCACTATCTAATACTAATAAAAATAAAAATTGTTAAACTAATAATAAAACAAAATATTATGAAAATCATTAGTACTGAAAATAATAAATACAATAAGAACTAATTTGTAAAAAATAATAACAATAAAAAAATATTTGATAAAAATCACTAGACAAAAATGATATAAAAATATCTAAATATAAAGTATAAATTATTGTTACACAATAAATTAGGCTTGTTTGATATTTTTCAACCATATTCCATAATTAAGAGTTAAAATAAAATATTTTATGTTTAAATAATCATTAAGTAAGCCATGATTTTTTAATAACAGCATAATGTAAAGCTATTAAATACTATATAAATTTACTAGAGATGAAAAATTAAATAAAAAAATCTAATACAAAAATAATACTATATTTATGTTGGAATCTAGATGGTCATCAGTTTTTATCAACAGCAAACAGATCACCCATTTAATTATACAACTTAAAACAGCAATTATACTCCATTATTAAACAGACAGTAGAAAATATGTTATACTGGCATAAAAATTTTTCACCAAATATCTTTTTAAAAAGGAAAAATTAGAAAAGTTTGGAAGCATAGATAGGTACTTGTGTACTGTAACAAAAAACTTTTAAAGTGGCATATATCATCAATTATTAATGATGCAATTAAAAATGTAAATGTAAACAATTAAATACTAAAAAAAAAATTTTTTTTAATTTAAAATACAAATTTAAAAAATACATTTAAATAGAACTGATATTATCTAGATTATTTTACTATTAATAGAAATAATTTATTGTATGATGTTAAATAAATGAAATCTTAGAGCATCAAATAAATTTACTAAGTTGTTTTTTTAAATAAAATAAATCGATTAAAACATAAAAATAATTAAATTTAATAATAATACTAAAAGACTAAATATGTACTTAATTATTTTAATTAATTTTTATCTGCATAAAAATATTTTCATAATGGTAATTTTAACTATCAACAGTACAAATTTAAAAAAATTGTAACTAAGAGTAGTGTATTACAGTAATTGAAAAATTAAATTACCTATAGTTGTTCCTTCAGGTATTGCATCATTTTCAGACATTGTTGGTTTATCGTCAATCAAATACCTATAAAAAAATTAAAAATTACTATTTGAATCATTATTCTATATCACTAGAATGTACATGGTATACTTAAAGGTTTAACTACAATTAGTTCAATTAATGTTTACAATAAAGCGCACGAGTTTAGGTGCTCAATGAACGAAATTCATCAATATCTCTACAGTAAATTTTACGTATACTTGATAAAAATATGAAATCATCACAGTTCTTTGACAAAAACTGTTACGATTTAAATGTAATATTTTACTTAATAATAAAAATAAAAAACAAGAATAAAACATGGTATATATATTATAAAATCGAAATGTACAATAAGTTTGGCTGATTGAAAATAATTAAAATAATTTGAAAAAAAATATAATCGACTTTAAGTAAATAGAAGTATAAACGTTATCCAAGTCACCAGGAGGGCATAAAAAACCAGATTAAATTATTATATCATGTACGGACAACGGGTATACGCCGCTGTGAATGACGTTAGAACAAAGGGGGAAAATGTGTACGATATTCCGTTGTTGCTGAATATTATTATTGATTAAATCCAAAACGCCGAGTTTGGGGCAGCAGTAGCAGCAGCAGCAGCCGCTGCTGATAACGATTCCACAATAAAAGAAAAAATGAAAACATCGATCGGGGCTCTGTAATGTTTATTTATTCTGCCCGTATCGTATATTGTATATATATATACATATATATATATATGTATATATTTTTTTATATAGCCTATGAACAGATTAAATTTCGAGAAAACATCCGTTCAATCCGTAAACTAATACCAACTCAAAACGCGTCGTTTGTGTAATATTATATATGTATACGTATTTTTTCTCCAATCTTAATTAGCATTAGTCTGGCAACTAATGTCTTACGGGACCACAACCATAATGATGATAATGAAAAATAATAAAATAGTAATAATAAGTATTATTATTATTGTAATAATGATAAGTATGGAGATCGACCGCCGGCCAATAGATGAGACTGACAATAATCAACGTTCGTCAAGACTGAGGAACAGCAGTGGACGGTGGTCGTAGCGACTATACAGTGGACACCTAACAGCAAGAGGCGACTGCGGCGACAATGGACGTAGCAATAACAACTATAGCAATCGCAACAGTTGTTGAAACAGTCGCAGAGATTTAATGAATAATAATAATAATAATAATATAAATCATGGACGGATATATAGATAAGACGGAAGGAAACAACCAAACGTTTGCGGAACGCTGCCTATCGGGAATTGAAAAAAAAAAAAAGACACTTTTAGTATTCTACTTACACGTTTTGTACACGGGGGGCATTAACAGCGAAATATATATAATTCTATGAAAGCGCCGCCACACGGCAACCGTACATTGCGACGTGTCGTTGGTCGCTGTCGCCACCGCCGCGCTGCTCATGAACGCGCGCCGCAATAACAACAAACGGGACACGGGAACGACGCGGCGCGCTCGAGTTTCCGTTATCACTGCGGTACACAGTCACACGACGCAGCAAGACGGATTACGTGCGACAACGGCGTTGTGGCCACTATTTGAGTAGTAGACGGCGACGGCGACGGCGACGGCAACGACGACGAACCCGCGGTGGTCGTGCGGAGACGCGACGGCTTTACACAAAAATATTGTTGCGTTCGACAGAATACTCGAACGACCGGTGGGTAATATCGTCGTTGCCGTCGTACTTACGTTATGTTCGCGGCGGTCATGCGTGCCTTGTCGATCGGCTGCGGGTGCGTATACGTCACGGCGTCGGTGGCGTCGTCGTCTTTGTCTCTATGCTTCTCCCGAGTTCGTTGGACGCGACGCGTTGTGCACTGATATTATCATCCGTTTATATCTGTCGCTAGCAATCGTGGAGTACGGTTGATCGGTTACGGCGGCCGTCCGTGCGCGCGACGGTTTCAGGGACGGCGTCACGCTGACGACGCTTGGTGACGGGGATGGTGGCGGAAGCGGATCGGTTACGAGTGTCGAAAAAAACGGTCGCCATTTTTTTCCATTCTAGTTTTTTTTATGTATATATAATCATATATAAATATATATAAAAATATACCTCGTTACGTACACTGAACGGGCTATTGTTTTGCTACACCCGATGTTGACGGGTATTACGGGTTCCCGCCTGCCAGCAGCTGCTTTCCGCCGTCCGACATTCGTGAGTCGCGGTCGCTACCGCCCGTTTCTATACCACGGTTGGCGATACCGACCGGTCGTCCAATAACTCGCTATCAAAGACGTTCTTAATATTCGCGGGTTTCCGCCTTTGTTTCTATTTCATTACAGAATAAAGTTTTATCATTACAAGTAGTCACTACCAATGGACTCCAAGAAACTGTATGAAACTGCTAGTTCATTTATAAAACACGATACATCATATATCAAATTTTAGGTATCCGCTGATGGCGCGGATACAAGGGGGGCTGAAGCCCCCTCCTTAGATATTAGGTAGAACTTTATCAGATGTAGATACTTAAAATATTTAAAAAATTAAACGTAAGAAATAATGTACAAATCGACATACCTACGCAATAAATCATGGCAGTAACTCACTTTACCAGCACCCTTTTTTTTAATTTTTAGATCCGCGCCTGTCCACCGAGACTATCGCAGATTCCTATTCCCAGTTCCAGTACCGGCCTATGCATATACTTAATTATTTTAATTTTACTTGAGCAAATTTAAACATAAATTGTATTATACAAATGGGCATTAATAGATATTATATATAGTTAGCAAATATTGAATAAATATTGTACAATAATATATAATTAATTACAGGATCAATAGAATTTATAGAATTATTTTTAGAAATTATTGGAGAATTTATCGTTAATACTTAAATATAAAAAAAATATCGAACTTTTAGGTCTTTAGTCCCAGATTATAATTTATCTTCGATTCATATCATTGAAAAACTTCATTACGTATGAAAATCGTGTGAACTATCATTAAGTATACAGGGGCGGGTCTAGGGGGGTTCAGGAGGTCAGCTGACCCACAGTTAATATTTGTTGACAAAATTGGCCTTTTAGAATTTTTTTTCTCTTTTTAGGCCTTGATTTGGACTTTTGGACAGTTGGGCCATCGGAGTTACTTGAAAAATAAATGCCATGTATATTAAAAATTTTAAATTTTTCAATTCATAATTTATATTTTAAATTATATCGTTTTAGTAGAAAGTTAAGCAAATTATATTTTATTCAGTGACATATATAGGAATTAATTTCGGGGAGGGGGGGGTAAAAAATATATACTAAATGAAGGTTATAAATTAACTTATTTTTAATAACTATGAAAATTAGAATACATAAATTTAATTACAGGACAAAGTCTAATTTTCGAGGTAGATTTGCAAAATTATTTATCACTTCTTCAGTGTTTATTGAAATACTTCGATGAATTGACATGAGATAATCCTGTTAGTCGATTTTCGCTTGTACTTTTTCTCAAGCACGATTTCAATCTTTTCAAAATCGAAAACGATCTTTCTGATGACGCTGTTGAGACTGGTAAAGTTATTAATATTGACATTAAGTACCATATATTTGGAAAAAAAATCAACGGATAGTTTATTCAAAGTATCAATAGCAGATTTGGATTTCTGACAAACCACGGAACATTTGCAATTATTCTAAGGACTTTGTATTGGACAATTTGCATTTTTTTGATGTGCGAGGATGCACAATTACCTCATACCGGGCAAGCGTAGGTAAGAATTGGGCGTATAATTTGCTTAAAAATTAGGAGAAAGCATTTTTTTCCCATACTAGACAGTTTGGTTTTAATTAATACATAGATTAAAGAAATGCACTTGTGGGTCGTACTAACCATAAATTTCGAGGGAGGTTTGAACCCCCAAACCCCCCCCTATACCTATACGCCACTGATTTTATTCCGTACGTTTGTTGCGCTGTTAAAATTAGATTATATTTATTAATCGTAAATAAGTCATTATCGGTGGTAATACTAATTCTAAAATGTAAATAAATATATATACTTATACACTTTTATGAGCATATTGTGTTTTTTTTTTTTTACAAGACATTAATTTCTAATTCAGTTTCATCCCTAATAAATGGCCTCTTGAAATGGCTTGACTCATAGTTCCCCGACTCTGGATCCGCCCCTGTAAGTTTATCGACTTATATTCATTTCAGGTGGCAATAAATATAAATATTATCGTCATCAGTGGCAGTCAACCGTGTGGGGGTTTGAGGGGGGATATATCCCCCGTGACCTTTCTTTCGATATTTATATTTCATGCATGTTATACCTGATATAATATAGGTATTCATTTTTTTTCTAAAAACAAATATTATCCTTGGTAAATAGTAGATCTTATATCTTACTACTATATTATTTAGTGTAATTTATACATTGTCACTGTATACGGTATAATAATTATTATACAACCTATCTGGGCTCATGTCTATGAATTAGGCTACTATTATTATTTGTATTTATTATTTAGTTGTCTATACAAAATATACGAGAAGTACCTCGCCGATAATCAAGAATACTTAATATCAAATAAGAATTATCACCCTCCTCTCCTTGCATACCGATATCGATACGGACGAGTTAAAATCACTGAGTTATAGATGTTATAATTATTATAGTTATAATAGTTATAACTGTCATTCAGCCACAAGTAATATTAACATCATTCGTTATAAGTGCTAAAAGAAAAGATGGCTCAATATTGAGTTTTTTCAAAAAAGTTTAACAATTAGATGATGTCAATGTTGATACCTTTGAATCAGATGTTCCTTTACCACAAAAAGACAGACGAGACAGTAGACATATTGAGACAGACATATTTTACCATAACTTATATACTGAGTGAAATAATTGTTGCATAGTAAATATTTTTTGTCGTCTAGAAGATGATATCTTTAATTACTGGACGACAATGATGTTTCGGCAAAAATTAAAATACTTTTAGTGATTTCATTAATTAATTTGGTACCTAGTTATTTGTTCATTATTATCAATATTTCAATCAATATCAATATCGATATTAAAATATCTACAATGGAAAACCGATAAAAACCATATGATATTATAATATATGTATAAATAATATAATATATATACCATTACGAATTTGGATAGTACTATTAGAGTTTCAAAAGTTTGACAAACTTTCTTACACTGAAATTTTTTTTTCTTATAGATTTTTCATACTTGGTTGTGTAAACTCCAGTTAATTTATCAATTTTGTTATTTGTTATTATATGTGTGGACATTCTTAAAATATTCACTGGACCGGTCACAAAACCTAAATTTGGTTAGTTTCTACACGAATACTTAGCCACTATGTTTGTTCATTGAGGGATTGTCAATATAACCGCAGACGAAGTACTGGACAAATTTGCAAAAAAAAACAGAAAAATAGATTTAAGAATATGATGAAACTTTGTGTTGTTAATTAATTTTATGTTTAAAAATACAAATTTTTATAAATAGTATTTGTTAAAAAATCAGCTACAACCCCTCATTACAAAATCATAAGACTGCTACTGATCGTCAATGGCGTATTTTCAAATGTTTATGGGAGAGAAGGGCATAGGCGCAACTAGGGTAAACATTCTAGGGGGGGGGGGCTACAGCCCTCCTACCAAAACATAAAATAACCTGTAGATTACCCCTACTCTTATATACTATGTTCATATATTTTAGATTCTGAGCTAAGTTAAACTTACTGCAATATGTCTTTTTTTGCATGTGACACTATTGTGAGTTAAGTATGCCATTGTAATAACATGGAATATTTATGAGGAGGATAAATCATGGTCCGGGGGGTAAGCCCCTCAAGTTGCGCCTACGGAGAAGGGGAGGGTTAAAGTTTTTCAATAAAATAAGTGGTTTTATAATATTACAAAAGAATACATATAAGGTAGGTTAGTTACTACTACATTAGTAAATATATTACTATTATTATTAAAAACTCAAATCAAGACTTATTTACAACATTATAATGTTATTTTTCTCTCTACCTTTGTAGGAAGTCATTTATGACTTTTAAACCTTTTTTTCTTATTGGAGGAGAAGGATCGGCACTCGTGAAGCTCCCTCCCCTTTCCTAAAAATACGCCAATGATTGAAGTATTTCTTAAAAACCTCGTTTTTTCTTTCTTTAATACAATTGGTAATGTTTAGATTTTAAAGTAAACAATATATTATAAATTCATATTATTTATTACTTATTTTTAAAATTTACAAATCACCAAGAAGCATAAATTTTCATCACTTGAAAATTTTAAGTAATTACATTAACATTTTCAACAAACAAAAATTATTGACACAATTTTTTTTTTTTTTTTTTGTACCGTACTGCAAGAAAAATGAGTCACAATTGATACATAGGAACTTTGTCTTTAATTTTAATATTAATTAATAAATAATATGAGAGTTAAAGCAAAAATATAATACTAATGTTTTATCGTTGAAGATATTTACCTGTATGGATACAAATGAGTACACAATAATTAACTTATCAATTCTATCAATTTGGTCAACTTTTAATACAGTAAAAAACTATAATTAAAAACGTGGTTTTTCAAACATTTTCACATTATAATCTATCATCTCTTAAACATTTATATATAAACTAATATATATTTAGATTAAATAGTTAAATTACTATTTTTAATGCTTCTAAGATTTTACATGAAATTAACACTAAACCAATAATATTATATGTATATTAATATACATATAATAAACTATATTATAAACTAAATTTTTTTTTTTTTTTAGTAATTAATTAAATATGAAGATTTGCTTAGATGTAGTTTGTGCTATTGGTGTACTATAAAATGCAAGAATTACTGATATTTTTAGTATTAAAGTTCAGTGCAAAAATATTACAATTACTAAATTATATATCAATACATTTTATTCAATTATTTAATACATATATACAATTATATTGTTTGAAATAAATAATTTGTTTTATAATATATAATAATTAATATGAACGAATACAATAATATTCAAAACTTTACTAATAAATAACAATATCAAATGGTATTTTTTAAATAATAAACAATAATCAGTCTTTTATAATTAACAGCATACACAAATAAAAACTTTTATTTTATAAATTAAATAAATATAATCATATAAGTTGGCTGTTTTTTATTTTTTATTTATAATAAAAAATAGCCCAAAAAAATCCTATAGCAAACAAACATACTAACAGTACAAAATATAATGAATATTTAATGTATTGTATTTGTTGACCAAGTATACTACTAGATTTTTCCAGATTAGCAACCTGAAAAAAATTTAAATTTTAAGTACTATCAATGTATAATTATATGTAATTTAGGATTATTTATAATTTTATTTTATAATTCAAAATAATATTTAATAATACCATTAAATTTTTATCAATACAATATGCATACAATACATAAAAAATATAAATATCCTTAGATAACTTAGTCAGAAGCACTGTTTCCAATCATAGCTAACCAATCTCACTAAGTTCCAGTATTTTACAATATTGATATATTTTTACTATTTATTTAAATTAATAATGATGAATGAATACATGAAACATTAAATAAAATTAAAACTTGCATTAACTATAATTCCACCATTTTTTTTTTTTTTTATATAATTATAAATTTGAAATTTAAAATTTAGATTTTTCTTATAACTGTTTCATACATTTTTGAATTACCATGGTGAAATATTTGAAAACTATTGAAATTTATTTATTCATCAATAAACATTATTAAAAAAAAATAATTTCAACTAAAGGACACAATACATTTAATATAAATATTATATCCTTACAAAAATAAATGGGCCATAAGGAGAAACCTAAATTTGTTATGAATAAGTTGTATGATGCAAAGAAAATCTAAAATGTTGGGTACTTAGAGAACTTATTGGTGCTAAGTGAGTGTGGCGAAGAATAAACAATGGATCACCTACATAAATGCAGTAAATGTTCATTCCATCTGCAAAGACGTCACAGAAGCAAACCAGAATGTTTTAAATATGGCTTAGTACTAGTCAAATGAGATATGACAATTTAGATAGCAAAGATTGAATCTACTCGTACCAAAGCAACGAAGAGTTACCAATATATATTTTATAAGTACTTTATTTCTATTTTATATTATTTTATTTGGATTTCATTAATTAATGTTTAATATTATTTTATTTCATATCATATATATATATATATTTCTTTATATTTCTAATTATGCTGTAGCTTAACACAGAATAATAATAGTTGCTCAATAATTATGTATTCATTTTGAAAATTTGAAATAAAAATAAATCTTAATTATTATAACTTTAAATTAATTGATTTTATAAATAATTAAGAAATAAAAATATTATACCACAAGAATTAATTTTTCAACTTTTTGTTCAAGTTCATCATTATGGTTCTGATGATCTTGATTACAAGAATCCCAAGCACCTCCTGCTTCATTTTCACTAACAATTTTGCACTTCAAAATGTGTTGTTCCTTAGATTCCCACTGCATCTATAACAAAAAATATATATTTCTTAGATTTCTAAATTGATTAATTATTTTTTGTTAATAATTAGTTATAAATGAAAGTAAATAAATGTAATATATTTAAGATTATCTTTTATCTAATTCTCCATTTAAACTCATAATTTATAAAATAAAAATATAGTTGACATAATTAGCATATAAGAAATATAAATTTAAATACCTTCCAAAATTCTGCAGTATTTTTTTCTTCTATAACAGGAATAACTAGTACTAAAAATTTATCTTTTATGACATCAGTTTGTTTTATAGAAGTTCCATTTAACACAAATGTAACTTTTATAGTCTCTTGAGGCTTAAGAGTACCTGTACTTGGACGTACTTTATATTTAACAAGACAAGTAGTTTTTATCTAAAAATAAAAATAAATAAAATATTAAATAATTAATTAATTAAACACTAAAATAGTTAATTTACTTTGAAAGCAATAGAATCTTTATAATCATTTGTAAACATAAGACTAGCAATTAATTCCTTGTTACCATTGCTATTATCTTTATTAAAGATAAGTACTTCACTAGGAACTATTTTTAATTTAAATTCTGAAATAAAATTAATAAAATTTAGTTTTCAATCAAAAATCTATCATTAAATATACCTTTAGGCATATACACTATATCTCTAATATCTCCTGAATCATTTTTTACTTCCATTGTCTCTGCAAAATGAACCTATAAAGTAAAATGTTATTTTTATATAAAACTAGTGATCAAACCCACATTATGTTAGAGTCTTATAAATAAATTATTTTTGAAACCAAATAGAATTAATATGTATAAAATGTATACCTTTTTCTTGGTTTCTTCAACTTTTTTTGTTTCTGGTTCAAAATTAAATTCATAACAGTCTTCACCACCCCAACTCACCATACATGATTCTTTTGGTACAAATTCATTTAAATTACTTTTACTTAAAAATTTAATTTTTTTCACAGCCCTAGCTGGTAACCATGTTTTGATTATTTTAAAAGCGGCTATTATTATAAAAAATATATTATTATTATGATTTCAACAGTAAATACATTTGTAATAAAAACTTACCATTTAAAACCCATGGCATTTCAAAAATTATGATATAGTTTAAAAATGCTGGATAATACATTTTTAGTAAATTAATTAAGTAGTTAGTAAATTCCATATCAAGATTACTTAAACCAGAACCCATCATATCAAAAAATATTGTAATTTGATCACCATTAGTTAATCTATAACATCACACTGTTAATTTAATACAATTTAAAAATAAAAATATCATACCTTTCCATTCTTTCAAACCAATATACTGCACACTTTTTACATTCCTCTGGATCTTTTGAATTTTTAAAATGTAATTTACATCTAATAATAAACATAAGTTTACCATCATTATCAACCCCATGAGGGAACATTATACCTTCTTCTAAATAATCGATCTTAACTGTACCATTTGACTCACTTATTTCTAAGAAGAAAATAATAATTTCATTGAAACACGAAGCTGATACAATTTGAAACAAAATACAATTTTGTTTTAAGTTACTGAAGCAAAATTAAAGAAGTATTAGTTACCATTAACACCAAATGATTTTCTCCATTCACATACATTCCATAACATTGATAACGCCTCTGCTTGGTTACCATCATTATGAATCAAAAATCGCTTGAGCCATAAATCTGTATTATTTATTTTAGCAAGGTCCATAGGATGAAATATTTCTAGTGATAAATGGAAACACAAACGTACATTATCACTTTTAATTAAAATAATACAGAAAAAAAGAATATCAGTTTTAAAAAAAAAAAAAATTTAACTAAAAAATTATATAAATTTTAAACATGATATACATATTAGCCATTTTGTTTGAAACACACAAATTATAATGAACAATGTTTGTTTACCCTTTTCCTTTTCGAGTTTATCTAAAAAAGACTGTCTTAAAGCCGAAATGATTTCTGTTGAAATATCCATATTTACTGATACTATATTTATCGTAAACGAATGATCTGGTAACTGTATTAGTGTAATATTGAATTGGTGGATTATACTTTCATTTACTTCTGAAACTAGCAAAGTAGTAAAGAAATAAAAACAAATACCCTAGGTAGTTTACTGAGTACTAAACTACAAAATTGAAATTGAAAATTCACATTTTCATCGTTAGTCCACTGATCAGTGCTTACATTTGTGTGGGTTTGTTATCACATAGCACTTATACATTCAAATAGATAGAATCACAGAGCGCAGTATACGTGAAATAGTTACCTATATCAGTGGTTACTATGGCAAAAGTAAATAAAAATGTTGTTACAGCTTTGTACATGTTCCCGGTGATGTGTATAATCATGGCATTTTATATAATGATTAGGATTTCATGAAATACCAAACATGATCGACGATCTATAAAATGATTTAAACGACCATTATTTTAGTCGATGAGGCATTATTTGAAGTGCCAAACATTGTATAGGTAATGTGTTAAATGCATTTTATTGATATTGATAATGTTATATCGAAAAATTATGATAGCTTCCGTTGATCGATAATTATTTACAGCCACATCACTCTTTATTTGTAATAATGTAAAATGTCATGCGTGGATAATCGAGAACGCAATTTAAAATATCGTTTCAATAAAGAGTTATTAAAGTAACAATATGATACAAAAAACAGTGTGTCTTTTAACTAATGAACGATATCGTCAATTATTAAAAGATGTTGCTAGTGCTAAATTGAAAACTAAAATAATGAACCACGTGACTATTGATTAACTAAAAAATATAATATTTTGGTCTTTAATAATAATAATACACTAATTTATCATCTAAATATAAAAAATTATCTTTTTGCAATAATAAAATAAATTGTCTTTGTTTTCATTTTTTAATATCATGATAAAAAATAAATGGATTTTCCTATTCTACGCATTGTCAATATTTTGTTCGTTATTTTATAAAATGCCTGGTTATTTTATAAAATATCTAAGAAATGTATGTAAAAATATAAATATTATATACCTACTTCTTTAAAAATGGCTAGGTATAACATAAAATTCCTAATCATTATACATATTGCCGCTCAAATATATATATTTTGATATTTCATTCCACCATTCCAAAAATTCAACCATCCTAATAATCATATAGGTATTCTTAATCAGTGATAAAAATAATAACAATGGTACTGCAAATTATTCAGACATATAACATGCAGAGCTGGCTCAAGGTGTAGGCAAGCTAGGCATTTGCCTAGAGCGGCACTTTTGTAGAGGCGGTATTTTCAAAATTAACTCGTACATTTTTTCTAATTCTATAGATGTTTTATAAGAAAAATATTTAAATTAATTCATTCGTGAAAACCACTTATCTATATAGTAAAATAATATTGTCTTAAGTTATTATATTATTTTATATTATGGTCGGGCGTTTTCAATTATTCCAAAAATATAAATAACCGCACAATCACTTCTGCGATTTCCGATAGTAAATAGGAGGAGGGGAAAAGTTAAAATAAGAACTCAATTTTTTTTTAGAGGCAGCAAAATTTAATTTTGCCTAATGCACTATTTTTGCTTGGGCCGGCCCTAATAATATGTCGGACAGATAGGTATGCCGTAAGCTAACGTATGCGCGTCGCAAGATACACTGAGTTTAATTTTCATTATTTTTAACGTCTGTGAATTAGAAATTTAAGTTGGTAGGTGCAGATATTTAAATATTTAATATACGTACCATTTCATAACATGACACACTGGCATTTAACTTTTTAACCCTTTTAATTTTAAATGTCAAAATAATGTAAATCACGCGCATTGAGGTACCTACCTATATACTATAGACTATATCAAAATATTTTTATACTCAGGATTTACTAATAAAGAACTATTATTTTTTTTATTACGGAAATGACTGAGACGACGTTGGACACGCAACGATCAATGATTTCCTGCAGTAATATCCGGATATTCAGAAAATTCAGATCTTTGAATTTCATACCTATACTTATACAAATCATACATTACAATTATTGATTTGTAACAAGTTTTTACAAGAAATTATAACCGATTCCATACGATGTAAATTGTTTATATTATTTTATAAGTGGATAAAAAGTTTAGGGTTTTTAAATGACCGATAAAAAATAATTTTATAGTTTTATTTCGCCATTTATGAATTCAACTTTTGTGGAGGATTTGGGGGGCGCGTAATATCTTCATATGTGTGCGTAATTTAGATAATGGCGCCAATTCTTGGTATATTGGGGTTGAAAATTTAGTATGGGCCATAGGCGTGCGCACGGGGGTGGCCGGGTGGGCCGCGGCCCCCCCCCCCTGCGGACTCTGGTTTTTTCTTTAATAAATTTATATCTATAGTATATAAGACAGCGAACATTTTTACATTTTACATGAATAAAGTAAAGCCAGTTTTAATCTTATAGTATAGAATTGATATCTGTGAATAAATGTAATAAAGTTATTAGTTATTAATCAGACTAATCAGAACTTGCATATAATATAAAAATTGAAGATGTAATTGATACATTCAAAAACCTTACTCCCGTGGACAGAAGGATGGAGCTGTAAATAGTATAATAATAAGTAAATAAGGATTTCTTAGATATAAATTGTGCAAGTTTAAATAGTATTTATTTTTATATTTGCATATTGAATTAAATAAATAATTTTTAAATTTAAAATATTTAATTATACTAGTAGCCTTTAGTACAAGAATCTTTGGTCCACTTTTTCAAGGGGCCCCCCCCTGCGGACAAAGTTTGCGCACGCCTATAAGTATGGGGGCGCTTCATATTTAAAAATATTATATCACAAAGCTAGGCTATTTCCAACTAGGACTTTATACTCAGAAAACAAAATACAATATTTTTTTTATTTTTTTTTTTGTATTTTAAATACTAATGGTAAAACAATTATATTTTAAAAAAAATTTTATATTATACATCACAGAAACAATTGATACAACTCTTTAGTACTCTCTAAATTCATACAAAACTGCTATATAAATTATTATAAACTATTATTATTAAACATGTTATATGGGGCCGAAGTTTGGCTGTCAAACCGTATGAAAGCTTCATTAAAAAATTAAAGCCTTACAATATTTTTTGTGTAAAAACCATTCTCCTACCCTCTCCTGACTCGCCATTAAGACTGATATTTAGATATCGTAGCTTTTTAAATATTTTCTGCTCGACTAAATTTTAAAGACTCCCCCCTCCCGAATTTTTAGTATTGTAGGTACTTGTACCCAAATAAAAAGGATGTAACTATGATCGTGGACTGTAATGTGTAAGTTACTTGTAGTTCACTTCATTCTGGATCAATTTATTAACTATAGTAGATACTGCTAAAACAATAACTATGTTATGAGAAATAAAAAACCAAATATTTTTAAGACTCAAGTATGCTAAGAAATAAGAACAAATAAAATACAATTTTACTTTCTTCTACACACACATATATATATAATATACTTGAGCATACATTTTAAAAAATGTAATTTGGTAAAGTAAAAATATTAATATAAGCGTAAATAGAATAATGCAATTATTAATTACAATAATTACAATTAGGTAGCTGGTAATATTAGATATTTCAATAGTAATACTGGTGCGGTATACCATAAAAAATAAATACATTTTAAACATACATATTATTTATTTGCAAAAACTGATTTGAATAAAACAAATCATGGCCAATAAAATATTGAAATTTCAAAATAAGTTTTAGAAAATAATTTTCTATAACATGTGTAAATACTCGTATTAAATTTTTTTTTTTTTTTTAGTCATTGAGAACATATTGTCAAACAATTTTTTCTCCATCCAACTTTATCTTCTGCCGTTACTCTTCATAGTGCCACTGGTTGGATCTTTAAATGCGTCACTCTCTTAAATGTGTGCCCCATAACATTCATACATTGTTCTTGTTGGTATTTTCTGTCCTGGTGACTCATTACCATGTACTCTGTTTTTTCATCATTTATATCTAGTCCTACCTTCCTTGTCATCGTAATGAGATTCATACACAGTTATTTAACTAAGAATTTTGGTTTGTAAATTGTTAAAATCAACTTGCAATCATTTGCAATTAATTTACAAAATATTGTTACTTTGAAATTATTAATTAATTTAGGTGAGCCAATTTCATGAACAATTTCTTTAGTTTCCCTAATACCATTGATTTTATTCTCTGAAACGCATATTGAAATGTTTAAATTTTCAAAGCCAAATATACAGCAAGGATTCGACTTTCATTTAGTTCAGTACAATTATTTTCTTTTACTACTATTAATTATTTATTTTCTTTCACACTTTAATATCAATTGAATTATCAGTTCCTTTATTCTTCAACAATCCACGTACGTACTTTATTATTAATTAAACCTTTTTGGTTTAGCCTACCTCAACAGATACTTGAACTTTGATCTATAGTACCTATTTGATCTGTGCAACATAAATAAAATAAACTTTAATTTTTGTAATTTTTGATCCAATTTCTATCCATAGATTCTGTTATTTTAACCAACATGAAAAATAATATTTATAAATATTGACAATTGTGTTATCTTTGGAAATTTACTATATTATATTACTTTATTATATTATTGAAAATTATAATTTTTGAACAAATAAATTTGAGCTGTTAGTTTTCCTATAATGAATACTTCATTAATATATTAATATAATATATTTTTTGGTTTCAATAATTTGATATTAAATTATTTTAATATTAGTTAAGATTAATTAGAATATGTCAATAAAATCAGTAACTAAAATATAATAATTAAAGTTTTAAAGATTATGATAGACAAATTGCCTTTGGTTACTTAGTTATAAACTGTTATCAAGATTTGCTAATTATTCTTTAAGATCTGGAGTGGCTTTAAATATAACTTCAATCAAACTTCCTTATAAGATTAATACATGTGATTCATACTGTCATTCTTATAAAGTCTTACAGTTTGGGGTTGGCATTACATTTAACCATAGTCTCATCCTGTCAGTGAAATGGAGTATTTATTTCAAGTCCTTTGCCTTACAGCAAATTGTGTAGTGTTAGTGTGATACCTTTTGGATCTTAACTAAATATTTTCTCTGAACTGATAAATAATGAAATAACAAAAAATATCATATTATACATTTTAGAAGAAAAAAGCTAGATGGATAATTTGAGTTTGAAGATCTAGTAGCCATTATTATTAATTACAATTTTAATGAAATTTCTGAAAAATCTAGGAACTTGCAAGAGTTTAAACTCTATGATAAGCTAAACTAAGATTAATTAAAACAATTCATAATTTGGTAGTAATGAGTCATAGTAAAAGTAAAATAATAAATCCTACGATTATAAATGATTATTTTCTTCATTGGTTACGATTTTTGAGATAAAATTCAGAATAGTATATTTTAGTATTAAATCAATACTATTTTTAATTAAATAATTTATATTTGTGCAAATTATAGGAATCAACAAATATTATTCACTTATATATATGAGCTAAAATATGAAACAAAAATAAATCACAATTTATACTAATACAATACTCTAAACTGTTCCAAAGATAAGGTTCTTAATATTAAGTCCTAGAATATACATATAAATAGAAATGAAGAAAAAGAACTGAAATAATTAAGTATAAGTTTTAAAAACGAATAATTAAAAATATAATATATTGGTGATGGTAATTTTACTAAAAAGTTAAATTTTCTAAGTATATCCTTGATACTTAAATTACATAATTATTTATTACTTGACTTAAACAAATAATAAAAATATTAAAACAATAAAGCTAACACAGGAACACCAGTAAAATATCATAATCCTAAATATATTATTACTTTTTTTGTTCTTCAATGTCAATAGTTTGCTCATCCATACTATAACCAGTAATACTATCAGGACTTTGTAATGAAGCATTATAAAGTGGATTTGCTATTTGTCTATCACTCACAGAAAAGCGAGTATTATTGTAAATATTATCCGTCTGTAAAAAAAAAAAGTAAAATTTAAGTTATTTACAATCAAATTAAAAACTACTCAATTTTAACTATCATATAAGCACACATTTTTTAAATATTTTAAAAATTCTATATAATTATAGTTATCAAAACAATTTTAAAAATATTTATTTACCTGATAAATATAGTCAGAGTCAGTTTTTAAAGATGAAAACGATGGCTGATGAGGTAATGATACAGTATCATCATCAACACGATCATCATTTTGTGCTTTATAAGAAAACATAATGCTTGATTGTGAAACACTAAAATAGAATAAATTATAATTAATAGAATGAATACGGATTTTTGTTTTTAAATTTTTACCTAAAGAATGTGCTTAAGAATGTTATGTAGACTAGAGGTGTGAATAATGTAAAATACAGGAATGTTGTTACATCAACGATACAAAGACCTTCTGTAATTTTTACAAGCAAAAATGTACAACCAATTGAACCAATACCATTTAAGAGTGCAAGAAGAGATACATATACATAAAATGACCGATTCACTGAAAATAAAAAACATAATAACAGAAGTTAATTTATTTTTCAATTACTTAGTAAGAGATACATAAATAATGGAGTGATATTTCATAATAACTAATACAATTAAAAATGTTATGTTTAGTTAAATTAATAATAAATTATAAATATAAGTTATATTAAAAATTTTAAATATTTATATTGTTTCGTTCACTAACTCAAATTAATATAAACGTATTACTTTTTAAATATTGAAATTATTAAACAGATTTAGTTGACTTATGTTTTAAATATGTTAATTTATATTTTTGACATAATTATCATATAATTAAAATAATGTTATGTTATTATTTAATGCTATAATTATAATAATCAATAGCAAATAAATAAAACATTTGTATTTTAATTTAAATAATTAAATTAAAATTAAATACTAATTAAGTTAGAACAGTACTATATATTACACATCAAAAATAAATTAAAATTTCAAATTAAATTAAATATGAAAAACAAATAGATTTTGTTCAAAATTAGTTAAAATTCTAAAAATTACAATCTAAAAAATCATTTCTCTTCAATTTTTATTAAATATTAAAACTGTATTAAGTTTATTGAATTATTTTTAATTAAAAATAACCATAAAAAAAAGATATAATAAAGAAATAAGTTTCTATTTATATGATCTTATATTGAGTAGTACAAGTTGATTGTTTACCCCATTTAGTTTTAAAAATTAAATCAAAATTTACCTGGTAATGCAAGTTTTTCTCGAAGTCTGGTCAAAGGCAATACCAATATGAGCAAGTACAGCTGCAATTAAAAACAAATGCATTTATATTTTATAAAGAATTAATCTTTTAAGATTCATATTAAAAATATTACCATAGTAAAAATAACAGAACTTATTAACCAAAATAAAACACCACCATGACCAAATAAATTTAAATCTTTTGAGTGAATTCTAAAAATGGAATCTGGCATATATATTTCTAAAGCTCCTTGACTAACTGAATAAGCTAATGATATAAATGAAGTTGTAATTAGTACATATCTTATGCTGCTTCTACTTTCCATATGACCTGAAATAAATAAAAAGTTATGACTACTCTAAATATTATTTAATATTTACATTGATAATTACTTATTAGTAATAATAAACAATTATTAAATACATTTATTTATTAGAAAACATTGAAAACACTACAATGTAATAGAGATAGGATATTTGTGTCAAGAGTAATTGCACTGGTCTATTTTAATTTAAAATTAAAAAAGTCATTCCATTTGAAAAATAATCCAAGTTTTTTTAAATAGATTTTATTATTTTGTAAGCTTTGTATAACTAAAGATCTAATGAACCAATCCAAAGTTTAATTTTTGTAGAGTAATTTATCGATCATCAAGATACTTTTATAATAAGTCATTAGATATACTTCACCGCCAATTTCTGAGAGGTTAATTTATGTTTTTAAGTAGAATTATTAAATTAAACTATTTTATTTATAAAACTTTAAAAATATTTGTGTTATTATATTACCAACCAAAAGCTAAAGCGAAGACTACTACACTCATTTCAGTGGCCAAGAAAAAACATTTGACCAAAATCCAAAGAAATATATTGATAGAATCAGCAGCCAGATTACTAAAATTGAGTGTCATTGAAATCAGGCATCTCATTATACTTGTAAATACATTGAACAAAACCTAGACAAATAATATTAATAATTAATGGTAAAATAAAAAATTGAACGAAAAACATAAAAATAATGTTTATACAAGTAAGAAATATTATTACATAGTTCTATAAGTAAAATATTAAGATTTACCAAACAGTAGAATGTAAAAAATATTGGGCTATTAGCAGCTCTGAGTTTTAATCTAGCACGGCTAAACTTTGAAACTAGATAAATCATGAATATCAAGTTAGGAATAAGAATAGCAACATCCCAAACACGAACACTAAAATAAATAATTAAATATATTAATTGTGTGTTACATATATTACAAAAAATGTATGTTAATTAAGATTCAAGGGTTATTCATTTAATATAATTATTTATAAAGAAAAACTAGTTTCGTTTATACACCTGATGCATTTCATATACATTTTTAGTTTCTACATAACAATTTTAAACGAGAAGTATAAACGATAATTATGTCATTCTTATATCAAATTCATTTTTTTAAAAAGTAGGTACTAAATTACATTATGATGTTTTTATGAATTTATATTTTGATTTAGCATGCAAGTATTTTTATATAAATATTGCGAAAATTATACGTCTTGCCAACATATCTAATACATCTCCAAATATTAAAGAATACAGAAATCTAAGAATTTTATCAAATACAAGTAGTAATTAACTTTTATAGACTGGTGTACATAAATACCAACAATAATACTAGATTATAGTACTAGATCAACTTTACATTAAAAACAAATTTAAACAATTAATTTAGGTTGATTTTTATCACTTAATTTTTATTGAAACTAAATTATAATAGCTTTTTTTATATTTGTAAAACAAAATAAAATAAAATTTTCAATTTATAATCAATAAAATATGATTTATATATATCCTAAAATGATTTTTAAAAATATTCTTACTTAATCCTTGGTATTTCCATGTAAAGAACCAGTTTACATACATGTTCTTCATTTGCAAGAGTATTGTTATCCATTATATAGATTGGAACTATTGGCAATCTATTTGTTTCTAAACTCTGATCTTCCATATTTATTAAATTTTTCATATGTTACATCAGTAACATAATTACACAATCACACATTTTAATAAAGTAAAACTGAAACAGTCTAGTAAATAATACTTAGGGTATAATTAAACACTGAAGAAGACTGATGTAGAGAAAACCTAACATTTTCTATTTAATTAACATGAGACCTAATATGACTTCATTCAATATTTTTTTATATCTTATTTCATTTCAACATGAGTACTTATTAAGATTATAATTATAATTTATAAAACAAAGATAATTATTTAATTTATTATTGGTTTTTCGTCACTTAAACCACCTACATTCAGAGCCTAAACAAATCATTAAATTATTTTTTTTAATTATTCACATCTTTCACTGTTCACAATTTCACATTCACAATGTAATCTATGCACATAAATACATTACAGAAGAGAAAAGAAATGTTATCTCTCTTTGATAAGAATTAGGAAGATACATTTTTTATTGTTATTAAAAAGTTGATAAGGAAATTATGAGTAGTATTGTAAAAAGCTTAAATTAAATTGATATATATGATCTATGGGCAAAATTTTAATCAAAATAAATGCATTTTTATTTTAAATTTTATTTATTTAATCTATTTTATTGGAAAATTCCGTAATTATTTATTGGATATTGAGCGTTTGAAATGATTGAACTATTCATATGATGTAGAGATCAAATTATTTGAATTTGAAGTGTTTAGACATCCATTATTTTCAATCGATTCATGTTTTGTTGTTAAATGTGCAGATGGAATGAACTACATATTTTCAATAACAAATGATTTAGAGTTAATTTTAATTCAAAGAAATCTCAATTTTATGTTGTATCATATGATGCGAGAATGCTATAGAAAAAAATAAATAGTGTTATATTTTTAGGTATAGAACTTGATCAAACCGGGTTTTGAAATCAAATATGTAATATATGATTTAAATATCAAATTTTTAATTTCCGTTCTACTACCAACCACCATGTAGTCTTTCGCGTACCATAGTTTGAGAACCGCTGGTCTAATGTATATTCATGTATTGTAATATTGTTAAAAAAAAGAAAAATTGAACGTTAGATTGACATACTTACAACCAATGGAGTACTTATGGGTGGGGGTTGGGGGTTCCATCCCCCCACAGAGAATTTCCAAACCTAAATTTTTAAATTTCGATCAATTTGAAGTTTGTTAATTTTGTAAATTCGTATAAAGGAAAAATATTAAAAATCCAGGTACGATAATATTGATGTTTTCGACTGTGCTAGTTACATACACTTACACACTTCACAGACTAATGCTTATTGCTGTAGTCTGTAGTTCGCAAAAAATTGTTGTCTACTAATTGTGGTGATAGTTGGATAAAGATTGCATTTTGTTTCAGGAAAGCCTTACCATGTTATTGATTCATCCGAATTTAAATGTTACTAATAATGATGTTATTGAAAAATTGGCTAATAAAAGAAGGAAGCTAGAATTTATCATATAGTTCATGATTAATGAAATTCCATTTTTCAATAAGAACAGTTGCTACTCGTGGCTTGAACGACGGGATGATCGCATTCCTTACTATTATTTATGAAAATAAGAAAACTAATTATGATTGTAATAGTATATCTCTTAATAATTTATTATTCATTATTTAAAATACTAATAAAGGGCGGTTTTTCAAATAATCAAAATAATAATTACATAAATGTTGTTGAACGCGATCACCATATGCCTAAGCGGATCAATCCATCACTGCTGACCGATAGCCGCCGCCCGCCGCTTTCGGACGAAAATCGTCTTTGCCTAGGCTACTTTATACAATATTGTATATGTCATGTTAGGCCTCGCAAATGTGTGCGTGCGGATACGATTAAGCTGTGATATCCCACAAGTAAAGGTTAAGCTAGGGCTAACATATTTTCCGATCTTATGGAAATTTTCCGTAATTGTCATGTTACCTAAGCCAAATAAACCTCCCGATTCTCCTGAGTCATACAGACCCATTAGCCTTCTTCCGCTATTTTCCAAAATTTTCGAAAAACTCGTTCTAAAACGCGTCCTGCCAGTAATTGAAGCAAACCTGCCAAACACCCAATTTGAATTTCGCCAAAATCATTCCACTATACACCAGGTTCATCGGTTAGTGGATCAAATTTCTTATTCGTTAGAAAAAAACTCATATGCACAGGTGCTTTCTTTGATCTAGCTCAAGCTTTCGATAGAGTTTGGCGCAAAGGCCTCCTCTATAAACTTAAGTCTATATTTCCCTCTTATTATTATCTAATATTTAAATCGTATTTAGAAAACAGGCATTGTACGCTCCGGATTTTCAATGTCTGACATATCTCCGATCTGTGCAGGGGTACCTCAAGGGGCTGTTGCGGCGCCAATACTATTTAATCTATTTATTGCAGATCAACCCACTACTCCTAACACTATCACCGACGACTTTGCAGACGATAAAGCTCTATTAGCTCACCAATCTAACCCTGAACTGGCTTCCCATTTCATTCAACAACACCTAAACCTCCTATCAATCTGGTACAAAGAATAGGAAATAAAAATAAATGAATTAAAATCCATACACTGTACGTTCACTCTCAAATTCAAAGACTGTCCCAACTATCCACCTCAATAATCTCCCTCTACCGCCTTCCCAAAGTGTTCACTACCTAGGTCTCCATCTTGATCGACGCCTAATCTGGGAAACCCATATCCAAACCAAGTGCCGCGCCCTAAATAGTCGTGCTCACCAGATACATCCTCTTCTCACATCTAAACATGTTAATGTCAAAAATAAATTACTTATATACAAACTTCTGCTTAAACCGATATGGACCTACGGTATACAACTTTGGGGAACATCTAAACCCTCCAACACTCATATAAAATTCAAACATTTCAGTCAAAATGCCTCCGCCAAATAGTTAAAGCTCCTTTTTATGTTTCTAATGACACTCTCCATAGAGATCTTAATATTCCAACCATCCAAAACGTAGCCATAATATTCTATAAACGCCTCCACTCCAACCTCTCCAATCACCAAAACCTTCTCATATCTGATTTATCAACTCACACAATTCCAGGTGATCCCGGAAGGCACCTAAAACGAAAATGATGTCGTGACCTCTTGGAGGACTAAACTTCAAACTCCATACCCGCCATGAAGTTCCATCAATGGATGGATCTTTCTCCTAAAACATAAACTGCCTTGATGCAATAGATATTGAATTGTTTACTTAATTTAATATTATTGTATTACTTGCTTAAATATCATTTGTGATTATTGTAAAAATAAAATATTTATAGATTATACAATTCAAAAAAAAAAAATTTGAACATTTTACCCGCGGATTACGGTTTCCGATTATGAGATAAGGAATTTTATCATTGTCGATTATGTGAGTATCATTTGTCGCGTGCGTTTTAAACCGCGAATGTATGCTACAATATAATAATAAAAAACATAGGCGGATGTTTGGTTTCATCTGTGAGGGAACTTAACATTTTTGTCTTATTCATTAGCGGAAACAAATATTTTTGGTCGTTTCCGACGCTTCAACCTACTAACTGCAGAGGCTACTCCTACTTGATTCTAGCTGAGGCACTAAATATATATATGCTTATAGGTAATAGGAACATAACAAAATAAAATATTGTATGGCTACTAAATTATTTTTATTTTAATTGTATGTATCTATTTTTTCGTGCAAATATATTAACAATTGTTTCAGTATTAATAGATTTAGAAATTTCTTTTTCAATACATAATATAGAGATGTTGTTGAACATTTACTGCAGCATATAACTTCGCAGCCAAGTTTTTATTCTACGCATGGGCGAAAAACTCCTTTCACAAGTGGAGGAACTTATAGGATTTGTTAAAGCAACATGAAATAGTTTATATAAATTAGGGAGTCTGTTTTGTTATAACCTTTTTCACATCGTTTAAAGTTATATAGTTTTTATCAATAGACTGCAATATACAATTCTTCGCCACTTCTATCTCTAGCTGTAATACATCTTTAGATACATTCATCAAATCCTGAAAAATATACAAAATACAGGTTCATTTTTAATAAAACTAGAAAACTAGAGCATAGGTAAAGTAAGTAAAAGTAAGTAGTAAGTAAAAATTAATTTTCAGAAATCGATACGATACTTATTTTATAACGATCTACAAAGAAGAGACTTTCCTCAAAGTTTAATTGAAAAAATTGATCAACAGCTGTAGCCATTTGGAGGCTTTCAGTAGAAAATCTATTTTTCAGATGTATCAAGATAACATCAAATACAGGAAAGAAAGCATTTTTTCTAAAATAATCTTCAACGGTTTCAATTGTGTCATTAATATTTTGTTCAGCACTTGTGGTTGCAGTAGTATCAAAATGTTTAAGATTGTCTGGCTCTTGTCTTTTTATTTTGCATCCTAGTTAAATAAATATTAATTTAAAATATTATTATTATAAATAAATATGTTTATTAAGTCTTACCTTTAGATGGCGTTTGTATTGATATTTCATTGTCTTTAGCAAAGATTTCTATTTCACACCAAAGCTTAGAAAAATACTCTTGTTCTAGAATTTTTAAGTCATCACCACCTTCAATAATTTTTAGATTCCCCTAAGTTTGCATTTTTTTCTTGAAATTTGTTAGAAACAATATTAATATTAATTAATACTTTATGTAAGATAAATAAATAAATTATAAATCGTCTACTTTTTAAATTTGTTAATATACCTAAAATCAGGGCTGGGAAAGTTAACGATTTTTTTTAACTCCTTAAGTTATTTTAAAATAATAAAGTTAAGTTAAATTAAAAGTTACTTATATTTTTTTCGTTAAGTTAACTTTGAAGAAAAGTAACTGAACTTAGTTTAAAGTTAAAATTTTATAATTTGCAAAAATAAAAAATTGCACACATAATATTAGTTTTTTACGCCCAAGAAAATTACTGGGGAAATTGAAAATAATACATAAAAGTATTAACTAGCTATCAAAAAACCAGAAATCAAAAAAAATGAACTTTTATAGAAATATAATAAGTTAATAAAGTAATAAACTAATAATAATATATTATAAACTTTAACGAGATGTGAACAAAACACATGCTAGTTGAATAATGAAATTAAATTGGAAATTATACCACAGTTGTTTTGTGATTAATCCCCCATCGACACTCGCTCTCATGGTATTTACTATTTTCAGAGAATATTCTTAAGATTTCCATGGATTTATAGTGTTTATACAATAACAATGTTATAAAAATATAATAATAAATATAACCCATATAATGACTATTAAAGTTATTTTTCATATTATTTTCGTCTACAGGAAATTCATACTAAAATAGTAAATTATAAATATACTAAAAACCTCATTTAATAATTTGCATCATTCTTTACACTAAAATTAACTTAATCTTAAATTAAGATAAAATAACTTAATTTAACTACTTTTAAATAAAATTAACTTAAAGTTAACACGTCAATCTTTAAAAAAAAGTAACTTATTAAGTTAAAAGTTAATTTGTAAAAAAAGTAACGAATTAATTAACTTAACGTTTTAACTTTTAACTCGTTAATGCTCAGCCTTGCCTAAAACAAAGTTATTGGAATTTAAATACTTTGAATCATTAATTATTACTTATTAGGTATATTATACCAATTGCTTCATTTACTCCTCTATCATCTTCATTTTTAATTTCTTCTAAAGCCTGAATAATTGCTTTAGAACTGTTTTTAGTAGATTCTATATTTCGATAACGGCAATTCCATCTAGTTATTATACAAGTACTAAGTCTAATCATTGTCGTTTGTCTTATTCCTAGTTTAGTTTGAATATCAGTTAATTTTTGATTTTTTGACAGATGAGAAAAATGTCCGTACAGGGATTCTAAAATCTTGAACACATGCCTTGTTTCCTAATATTAATATAAGTAATAAATAAAATCATGAAGATTTAAGATGTATATAAATATTCATTACCTTTACATATTTACACATACCGATTACAATGAGGTTCATTTTATGAGCCATACAATGGATATAAATAGCGTAAGGATTTTTTATTTTATTTTGTAGTCCGCTAAATTTCCCAGGCAGAAAATTTGCACCGTCATATGACTGAGCAACTATTTGTGGTTTAGAACTAAGTTTACACTTTTTCAGGTATCATAATATGTAATGATATACAATTTCAGCATCTTCATTCTTAGAACTATCTATAAAACCGAGAAATCTCTCAACAACATCTAGATTTTTAACATAGCTTACACATAATGTCATTTGTTCTTGTTTGTAACACCTATAAATTAACTTAATAAAAATAAATTAAGAAGTCCATATATAAAACATAATTTATATTTCCCCTTGATTATCACACATAATTCCAAACACTTCAATGTCTTCAATATCTTTCACAACAAAAGTTCATCTTGAATTATATGACTTAAGTAATTGGTTATAAGATTAATTTTGTTTTCAAATTCCTCATTACTTTTTGCTAACAATTTACATAACAATTTTTGTGTATTTACATAATTTGTGTGTGACTTGAGCAATCTATCTTTGTAGAAATTCTTTTTTGTCTAGTTACAAAAATATCAATGTTTTGATCACAAAATTTAACAGAATTTTTTTAAATAATATCATAATGTGAATCATTGTTTCTCAATGAATTTAGTGAATTTATTATTATTTGTTTATTATAATTGAATGATAAGTATCAATGTTATTTTTAACTTTTTCATGTTTTGATTTAAAAAATCAAAAACTTGAGACGCTCAAAGGGTGGGCCTCGACCCATCTGCCTCCTTTGTGTAAAGAGTGTATGTGTGTAAAGAGAAGGGTAAATTATATCTAAAAAATAAGTGATTTTATAGTATTACAAAAAAATACATAAAAGGTATGAATTAATAATTACATTATGCTATTATTATTATAAATACAAATACAAAGTTATTTACAACCACATAATATAAATTATTATTCCTCTGTACCTTTGTAGTAAGTAATATATGACTATTGAACTTATTTTCTTCTGGAAGATTTAAACCTGGGAACTCTTCTTGAAAATATGCTACTCAATATAGAGGTTCCCTGTGAAGCTCAAGGCATATATTTATTCCTTACAATAATTTAACATACATAGTTTATAATAATTTATGTTTTTAATTATAAGTAAATTATTTAGTATTTTTAAGTTTGCATACACTTAAATTGCTACTTTTAGAATTATATCTATGTTTATTTTAATTATTACACTGTACTTGAGCCTTTCAGTATTTATATTAAAAAATAAAGAAATAAATTTATATTGTATATACTACAATATATTAATTTTTAGGTCAAAAATAGTTTGCTTATATTTAAATAATAAAACATGTTAATTTTGCTATTCATAGGAGGTGTGATTCATTTTTTTTGTTTTGGGAATGCATGATCCAAAAAAATTTGGGAACCATTGGTATAATAATCAAATATGTTAGTTTCAGAATTTTTTAGAAGGAAAAAGTGTATTATATAAAATTAAAAACAAAGGTTTTCCAAACATTTTAATATTTACTATGACAAGTAGCCAAATTATTTTTTTTTATACGTTTATATATTATTGTATAAATAATATAACTTTCTCTACATTTATACTTCAATGAAATAATTAATAAAATGATAAAACAAAATCAACTGTTTCATTATTAAATTGGTGAGCTACTAAAACCTCGATCTGCATAATGTTTTGGTAAATGGCGGTCTGAAGTTCTTGGAAAATCTGGATCTCCTGGTACACACTGAGAACGAGATTCATGTACTCTCCATCCTGATTTTCTTTCCCAAGTCTTCATACAACAAATTATGAATATTAATTAATTTTAGAAAAGTGTTCATACAAAAACTAATATATTGATAAAGTGAAAACTTACATTAGTATTGTAAAGGAAATAGTACGTTATAACATAAGTAGCAACAATTCCCATCATCACTTTGCCTGTTACAAATCGCACATTAAAAGCAGTTCTTTCACCCTAAATAAAAAGTAAAGAATAATTAATTAAAATGTATATCATTAACAACGTAGAACAGTAAAATTGACAACAATTAAAATATCAAACAACTGCAAGATAAGTAACAGCCAATTTAGGTAACATCAATTAGTTAAGTTAAAAAACTTACAAATTTTTTTTTATAATTAAATATAATAAATTAGTCAATACTTTATGAGTAGGTAATTGAATAACTTACTATAATTTAAAGTATAAATAAATAATATTATTTTACAGTAATATTAGTTTCTAATATAATGATTCGAATCAAGTTGGTTTTTCTAATAACATTATTGTTTATGAATATTGAGCAAGTAATAATCAAGTATATTTTCAACAATCATTAATTTTCTATAATACCATATAATTAATAATACATGAATATTTTTGGATATTATCTTTCCTTATATAAATGTATTTAGATTATATGACAAAATCATAAATTATAAAAGTTATAATGTAGTATAAATTTTAGTTTTTTAGTTTTAATGTTATTTTTGTAAGATAAAACTATAAAGAAATTTCTTTTAGGTCTCTCTAACTATAACTAAATTAATGACATTTATACTTCATATATATTATATATAAATTTTTTAGTATTAATTATTTTATTAAAATAAAATCCCAAAAACTAATACCTACCTATAGTTAAATATAACATTTTTAAAATTAAAATTAATGAACATTGCAATTTATATTATCTCATTTTTATTGGGATATTAAAAATGGTTCAATAATTAATAAATGTATAGGATATACATATATTTTTATCTCTAGTTGAGAATTATTTGGATGTACCTGAATAAATACTTACAATTCTTGGAGCTAAAAATTCTTGAAATGCATCCATAGGCATTCTGTATGCTCGTCTAATAGGGTTATACAATTCTTGATATATTTCCGGAACTACCACTGGTTCATCTTCATGAATATGTTGGTCGTGCAAGAATTTCCTACGAAAAGCTCTTTCTTCATCGGTCATATTTGTAAGTCGCTGTCTTACAAATCGATGTCTTCCTTCCAAATCAATTGGTAAAACACCACCAGTTTCACTGGCCGGGCCACTAGAAGTAGTCACCTCAGATTTTTTACTATAGAATCTTCGAATGATATCCATTTTTCTTTAATTTGTACGATTACCGAATGAAACTTAATAAAATACAAGTGTTCGGAAATATATGTATTTCTTCAAATAGATAAGGATATGGAAAATAACGCAAAAAGGTTATCACAATAAATTTATCATGTGTTACCAATGTGACCAACATCGGATGATATTTAAATTTATTTTCAAGACATCCATCCGATTAATTATTCGAGTTTGCGACCGTTATGGTTAGTTATTTGTAAAAAGCGGATTTTTAGGTTCTTAAAAGTTTCAAATATGATGCTCATATGCTTTAAAAACCCCTAAAATTATTTCTAAATATTCCTTGAACTTGTAAATATGCGATAATATGACTTTTTTTTTCTTAAATAGTTCAATAAAAATATTAAATTACTGTTATGGGCCATTCCTTTGGTACCAGGTAAATTATTTAAATATAAAAATTTAAAACAGTTCATATGTAGGAGTATCAATATAATAAAATTATATATAAAAACAATGTAGTTAAATAAAAACAATGAACAACTTATATGCACTATTCCTTGATATATGATAAATTATTTAAATGGAAAAAATGGATAAATTCCATATATAGGAATATAAATATAACAAAGAAATTTTTTTTTCCTAGAAAAATCACAACTTGAGAAATTAATAAAACATGCTTCTTAATGAATAATAATTGAATATATTAAAAAATATGCAAAATAAATGTTTTCCTATGAACTCTATGATGGATAAATTGTCTACATTTTTTTTGGGTGAAATTAGAATTTCGCGCAAGAATTTAGTTTTGAAGTTATGGTTAATTAAAGTTTATTATTTTATACAAGGCCCTTAAATGCTTTTTATGCATCACTTATCATTTATTATTAGATTTGACATGCTGAATCAATGTCTTTTTTAGAATCAAAATGATGACATATATACAAGTTATGGTTAACAATTTAAGCTTTTTTTTATGTCCTATGTTTATTTATTAAATGTTTGTTGAAACCTGAAATAGAAGAAGCCGTTGTCACCCAAACTTGACAGAAAAAAATAATGAAATAAACATAAAAATTTAAAACACCAAAATTGATTTTAAATTCAAATTAAAAAAAAAAAAAAAAAACAATAAAACATTAATATCTTTGTCATCTCGTTGTCATGGTGTTATGGAGTATTATATCATGGATTCTACGAACAATTTTCCCTGCTAAGAGCCATTTTCGTCCCAATGTTACCTATGTAAAATCTTAACAATGACCATTCTGATTTAATATATTCTATAATGTAATTATTACAGATACGTTTCATAGACCAATGAGACCATCACTGCCATAAAAGCTTTATATATAACTTTTAACTTTCAAAAATAGGTATAACATTTAACTTAAATTTATACCTTAAAAATAAATTCAAGTTGAAAATAAAAAATATTTATTTTACAACAACTTTGATGAATGTGGAGCCATACAATTGGTAGTATAATATAAAAACTGTGTATTTGTCTTTAATGTAGTCAATCGTCTATAGTGTCGTTCACTGTATGCCATTAGCCCTTGTAACTTTTCTTGAGTAACAGTTAATTTTCCCGTCATAATATCTTCCAAAAGAATATTTAAAATAAGCTAAAATAAATCATTTATTAAAGAAAAAATCAAGTGGAAATAAATTAAATAAATAATTCTATAATATTGATAAAAACCTGGGCTGCAAGACAATGTTTTCCATTGGTATTCCAATCAGTTGTATAATCCAATAGTTTTTCTTTTTGTTCTAGGTTAATATTTTGAAATACCAATTTCAAATCATCTGCTTGGCCCTGTTTTGATAAAGCTGTAAAATATTTTTGAGATTTATTTTTAAAAATATATAATATATATTGTAACTACTAACTTTGTATTATTTTAAGTGCTGTGTGCGGTCTTTCTAATGTAATAGACATTTTGAGTGCAGGTAACAATTGTTCCTTTTGTAACAAATTTTTTAACTGTTGGTCTTGCAATTCTTTAGTTTGACGAGCAGCTGCTTCAGAAATTTTCACTTCTTCAGTACGATCATGCCAAACTACTAATCTTGAATCGGCACCACCAGTTATTAAGATAGAACCATCATCCACAACTTATAAATAATTATTAGATTAAAAATACTTATTAAAACTTATTAAAATGTGACTCTCACTTGATAAAGCCCACACTTTTGATGAATGTTTGTCAAGTGTGATAATACATTCACTTGTTTTTAAACACCAAATTTTAACAAGACCATCACCTCCACAACTAGCCACTTGAGTACCATGGTTAAAGAATCCACATTTTAATACGGATGATTCATGACTCTCTAATGTCTAAAATTTATTGTTAAATAAAAAATAAATAAATATAATTTTTAGCTTACTTACTTTAAGACAAGAGTAATCACTCATAGACCATATTTTTAAAGTGGTGTCTGCTGATGATGAAACCAATACTTGATCTATGGGTGAAAAACGCACACACCATACACTTCGTTTATGACCTCGACATACCCCAAGAACTGCTAAATCATTAGCTGACCATATCTATTACAATAAAAATAAATTAAATTTTAATCAAAACAGCATAGTGTAAAACATTGATTAATAAATACAAACAATAATTGAAAATAAAATTATTATTTTTTATAGCACTTAAATATTTACAGTGCTTAGATATTCAATATCAGTTACCTAATTTAAATGTTTATTATGTATATAATGTATAAGTTGTGCACAATATATGCTGATTTATAATAGTAGATTATTTATGATTATTATTTTTATTTTATGATTACATTTAATATTTAGTTCTATTAAATTTTTGAATACTCGATTTAAGAACTATATGGTTAATGATTAAAAAAATAAATACCTGATAGCTGAATTGATTTCAATAATTTTTATTTGTTATGACTTTAAAAAAAGTATTTATATTTTTAAAAACTGTTGATTAATAGGCTTATCATACATAGGTTCAATAAACTTATAAATTTTATTTTAAAATAATATTAACTATGATCAATTTTTTTATTTTTAAGCTTATTTATTTTCTCTATTGTCAGTAGATTTTTTATAACAAGATGTTTTAATGTATAATAATTATTTAAAAATCAATTACCTTGATTAACTTATCTTGTGATCCAGTGGCAATTGTCTGATAATTAGGTGCTATACAAATACTATTTATATCTTTTTCATGTCCAACTTCGGTTAATTTAACATTTAAGATATCATATCCACCTAAAATTTTAATTTAATAATTAAAGATTTGATTTTTACTATAGTTAATTCAGATTGTAACATTAATTCTTACTGGATTTAAAAGTTTTAGGAAGTTTCCAAAGTTTTAATGTAGTATCTGTACTAGCAGATACAATAAAATCTAAACTTTTAGAAATGGCCACTGCGTTTACTACACCAGTATGTCGGGATCCAATAGCAATGCAATTAGCTGTCCTGGTAGTATTACAATAGGACCATACTCTTATGCTGTGGTCCTAAGTATAAACATCGTATATAATAATCAAATTTAAATGGAATAACATAATCTAAATTTATTATCTTACTTTACTGCTAGATATTAGCAAGTTTTTTTGAGAAGCCAAACATAAAACTGTATCAGTATGGCCTCTTAATCGTTTACAACAAACTCCAAGCTCAATTTTATTAAGTTCTCCATTAACATTACATTCAATTTTCTTTTTCAGCCACGGAAATAAATAAATATCACAACTATTAATGGCTACTGCTAAACTAAGACTACTTTCATTACCTAAAAGTGTGATATCAAGAATTTCATCATTCGAACCTATTAACTAAAGAAAGATAAAAATTAATAATTTAAAATTATCAATTTGTTATTTAATTGTATAAACAAACCGTTTGTTCAGAAAAATGTTGACCAAAACTTTGTAAAGTAACTGTATTATCAGTATAACAAACAGCTAATGTTAACCGAGTTTCATTATAAATTAAATTGGTTATACTTTTAGTAGACTTTAGTGACTGATTATCAGCATCACATTCCTTATAAATGGGAATATTATTTTGAACATCCCAAATTTGTAATTTGCCTATTTTTTTCAATTAACTTAATTTTATTATCATAATTAATATTAGTAATTTTTATAGAGATTAAATAGTTACCATTTTCTCCACCAACAACAACACTAACTCCACTAGGTGTCATATAAGCACCAGTTTTATGTTCGGAAAATTGAAGATAAAAACCTTTTTTAGGTAATACTACCATTGATTCAATACAGTCATATAGTGCCACAGTTTTCAATTGTTTTCTTGTTTCTAAATCCCATAAAATGACAACTTTGTCTCGACCACAACTGTATTTTAGAGAAAACAAATATATGAAATTAAAATTTATTAATCAGTATATAAGCAATGAAATATAATTAATAGAGCTTGGATTAATAGCCATACAAACTACAAAAAAATCTTCTAGAAATAGCCAAAATGAAATAAAAAGCCAGATATTTATGAAATTGGTTTTAATGCTGATTGAATGAAATAATAAATTAAAAAAATATCGTTAGATAATATTACAAATAAGATAAATTTAAACTATTAAGCCGTAAAATGTACATTAAAATAAACAAAATACAAAATTACATAAAATTGATAAAATACTTTAAAAATGAAAAAAAAAAACACAAAATTTTAGTCTTGTCTTAGAAGTATTTGTTACATGAAACAAATTATGTATTTGAAAAGCATTGCCTAAAATACCTCCAAATACCTTTATATACCCTTTTTTTATATTGAAATCCAGACTCTAGAAATAACAATGAAAATAATTTATTTTCTAAATAACCTTATAAGATACTGATTTTCATAGAATGCTAATTCTGTAATAGTACTGAAATGTCCTTGCAATGCAAATAAATGATTGCCTTCTTCACAATTCCATACATGAATTTCACTTTTACTATCAGCAGCAAACAACCAATTTTTTGATTCGGATATTTCCAAAAATTTTAAAGAACTTATAACACCTTGTGACCCGTGCAGTGCATATAAACAATGCGCTTTGTCTGATTGCCACAACTTTATAATCGAATCAGTTCCTCCAGATGCAATGATTTGATTTTTATTAATAGCTAGTTGAACTACTGGACCTTTATGAAGATGACGCCATGATTTAATTAATTTCCTTTCTATAAATCAATATGTAATTATATGTATATGTATATATATATATATATATATATATATATTAATTAAATGAGTGATATATCTTACCATTCCAATCCCAAGAACACAACAATCCACTTTTATGCGATGTTATCAGACTTTTACTATTTTTATCTAAAGTAAATGTTAATACATTATCAGCAGTTTCATCTTCTTCATCTTCTTCTTCACCGGTTTTAGCTGTGTCAATGCGCCTAGGTATTGAATCAACTAACGTTGTTGTTTCAATATCTAATATAGATATTCGTGGGCCGCATTGACACAGTAAATAATTACCATCTGGGGTCCACTAAATAAAGATTTCAAAACTAGTTATTGAAATGAGATATTTATTAATTTTTCAATATTATTGGAATATTTGAAGTTGAAGCGAATAGTTTTAATATTCAAAAATGTTTAAGCTATCGAATAATTAAAAAATATTTGAAACATAGAATGTGTAAGATCATTACTATACAGCTAATTACACAGTGTTTATAATAGCTTATTTTCATTTACATAGATTTAGCCAATAATAAATTTAAAATTCTACTAACTTCAATATGACCTCCTGAATAAAATTCTTTTTGAACATACTCTGGTTTAAATCTGTAAAAAAAAAAGGTTATCAGAAAATTTTAAAAACATCAGTTTTTGATTGCATTTTTAATAAATTATTATACTTAAAGGATTTTAATAAAGTGCAACACTATAAAAAAATTAGGTACTGGCATATGCAAAATTAAATGCTATTTTAAAATTTTAGATTTTATTAAAATTTATAACTATCCAAAAAATAAGTTTTTTCTTATACATATAAGATATATATATATATTTATTTAAAAGAAATATTGAAATATTGGACAAACAAATTAGTTTTGAAATGTATTATTAGAAATATTAACAAATCTATCTTTATGATTATGATAACAAAGAATGTTGAAAATAGGAATAAAAGAATTAGATAGTTATGGTTCAGTTATAATATACCCTAGCAAACTGATTTATTGTAAGTAGGACAATAATACTTATCAAATGCAAAGATTTCTGACCAATTTCAAATTCCTTGGACATTAATTAAATTAATACTATTGAAAAAAAATTCTTAATTTTAACGATTATATACCAGAATACAGTGCATCAATATTAGTAACTGACATAATTTCATAAATATAACTTCAATATGATTAAAATAATACAAAGAAACAATTGATAATCATAAGTGAGTTAAAATATTTAAGTATTGACGGACAGTCAGAAATACAAGTTTGTTCTACAGACATGCTTTAAAATAACACAATATCATTACTGCCATAGTAGTAATGTCATAATAATATACCTAAAACTTGATGTTAATATCCTAAAATCATTAAATTACTGCTATAGCAGTATTAAAATTATTTATTAATATTTTCGGTTTTTGCTTTTTATTTTTGTTATAACATGCCAAGGTTATTAGAGTACTGCTATAGTAGTAATATTTTAAACTGCCATTATAGACACAAATAGACGATTACTGCTATAGCAGTAAAATTAATCGAGTGTCCATCAACGTGTTAAAAGTGGAAAAAAATGTACTTACATTTCTCTTATTTTAACAGACATTTTCGACGACATTAGACTTATAATTATTTTTTTTAAAGTACTAGGTAAATTTCTCTTCAATTGCATTCAGCTTACATATTGTAGTTTGTGAATCATTTTTTAAATTTTAGCACGTGTTTAAAAGTTGTTGACAATAAATGTATACTCTTATAAATATTATCATTAATCACGGAATGATTGCGTTTGGGCGGTTGCGGTATATGGTTACCGGTTCGTTGTATGTTTGTACTCTTTGGATGTACCAACGTACTGAACTACTTACAAAATGGCATTATGGCGTGTATACAGTATAATTATTATTGAATATTCAATATCGCGTACGGCTTGCTGAGACTACCGTCCCGTGAATTGTTATTTTTATTTATTAATTGTTACACTTACAAGTCATTTAGTATTGTAAATATATAATGGGCGAAGACAAAGGTTAGTTGATTCTGCAATATTATATTTAAATTTGATAAGATTTATACACTTTTATTTGCTTGTTGTATTATTTGTGAATGTTGTATAAAGAAAGAGAACGAGACAGGGACCGTGGAGAAAGAGACAGAGAGCGTGGTGAAAGAAGACGACGTTCTAGATCTAGGGATCGGGAACGTCATCGTCGACATAGATCAAGAAGTCGTGAAGGACGCAAACGTAGTCGATCTAAGTCACCTAAAAATAAGTCCAGACGTAGAAAGCCATCTCTTTATTGGGATGTTCCGCCACCGGGTTTTGAACATATTGCACCTCTTCAATATAAAGCCATGCAAGGTAAAATGTGTAATGTTATAATTAAAATTTTTTTTTTCTTTTCAATGTACTTTATTTTTTTTATTCTCTATGACTCAAATCTTAAGTATAATTTTGCTCATTTGGGATATTTACATTAATTATTAAATCAAAATATCTTAATGTTTTAAGGATTTTAACAACAATTATGCTTAAGGATTTATTAAGTTATAAAAATATTATTTGTAGATATATTTTAAAAATATTTAGTTCCTTATAAAAAAAAAAAAAATACAGTCGGTACATATTTAATTAAATTCATATTTTTTTTTCTTATAATTGATCTATTTGTAATTAATTTTTAATAGTTTTTGAAAGTAAATGAACCTTTCTCAAATTGTTATTTATTTGTAAAAATAATGTATTTGTATTATTAATACAAGCTCTTAAATTTTTAAAATTAAAGTTAATTTTTTTTACAATTTTTATTTAATTTTAGTTTTAAATTTAGAATATTATTAAAATATTGATTAAAATTATTATAATAATACAGATAAGACTTTCTAATGTAATTATAATATAAAGAAAAAAAAAATGTAATTATCAAATTCTGCAGTTTAGTAAATATTTCATTTAAATATTATTTGTGTTATCAAGTTGATTGATAAATATAACTTACATTTTAAAAATATATTTTTTAAAGTAATTTTTTTCAATACATTTTATAAGTATCAGATTTTTTTAATCTATTATAAATGATTTTATTTATTAATTTTAACTATCTTAACAGTCAAGTTTCTATTTACTTACTGACTGTATTTACTAAGCCCTAGTACATACAGTCAAATAAGTCATAAATTAGTAGCATTTGTCTTAAATTAAATATTTTAGAATTGTTCTCTTTTATGGTTTTTAACAAATATTTGTTTGAATTAAATAATAATATTAATGTATGTTTTAAATTATGGTTGAAGCATTTTATTTTAGATCAATATTAAATAATTTATATACATTTTGAATAAATTACTAATATAAAATATATTCTACCTACAATATTTTTGCAATTTTTGTTATATTAATAAGTATCTATAAAAAAAGTGTGTAGAATCAATGAAAATATTGAATAATTAATTAACTAAATTAACTGATTAAATTTTTTTTTTTAAATTTTCTATTGAATATATTTTAAATTAATAAAATTGAAATTATTATTCATGAATGCATTAAATATTTTCAATTATTGCTTATGTTTTAAAGATATAATTATTATTACAGATTTTTAGCTGTAGTAAAATATATATTATTTTTTTTGATTAGTTTTAATTTTTCTTTAAGTATATCATAAAATAGTAATTTTTTCTATATTTAAGTAAAGATATTATCACAAAACCATTAAAATGTTTTGTAGTATCAAAATTGAAAATATTTTAATAATAAGTTGTGTTCTTTCCATATGTCATAATTGGTTCCTTGATCATATGTGAATATCAATTACAGTTTTATTCATAAAGCTTGTTATTTTACTATTTTTAGTATTTTATTATTAGAGTTAAAAGTTCATACATTTAATGTTTTTCAATGCCTTTAATTTTTATCTTATATTTTATAGCTGCTGGACAAATACCGGCTAATACAATGCCAGACACCCCACAAACTGCTGTTCCTGTTGTTGGGTCCACAATAACACGCCAAGCTAGACGATTGTATGTTGGAAACATACCATTTGGTGTAACTGAGGTAATTTATTTTGTTCTAAATCAATACAAATAAAAAAATTGTTAATTTTTTTTTAGGATGAAATGATGGAGTTTTTCAATCAACAAATGCATCTCTCTGGATTGGCCCAAGCTGCTGGTAATCCTGTACTTGCTTGTCAAATTAATTTAGATAAAAATTTTGCATTTTTGGAGGTATTTTTTTTATAACTAAAATTAATATTATTCATTAAATTGTAATTCGCTATCTTTATTACTATAGTTTAGGTCTATAGATGAAACTACACAAGCAATGGCTTTTGATGGTATTAATTTCAAAGGCCAAAGTTTAAAAATAAGACGACCACATGATTATCAACCAACGCCAGGAATGACTGAGAGTAATCCAGTGACAAACTTTAATTCTGGAATGACATTAGACATGAGTATGAGAATAAAATTATTATTATTATTATTATTATTTATTTATTTGTTGACACAATTTAATTGTTTTTGTTATATTTTTTGTTTCAGTGAAATATGATTCTAGTTCTTTTGGCCTTGGGACAGTTCCAGGTTTGTATTATTTAGTAAATAGTGAAAAATTATGTTAAAATACACTAAAGATACATAATAAGGAAATATTTGAAGTAATATTGATCTTATAGCAGCTACTGCAATTATATTAAATATTTTTTTCTCTCAAAAATTACATAAATTCTACTGATGCAATAAAATATTTGATATAATGATACTTTTACCAAGCTTATATTTATAGGAAATAAAATTTTTATATATAACACTATTATATCTCAAACTTCCATAATACTAAATAAAAAAATCACTTAAACTGAATCAATAGAAATTGTTTTTAAAAAAATAAGTTTAATTTGAAAAATAAAAAATAAAAATATATTTATAATCAATAATTTTTCATTCCTTTGATTTTCAGATTCACCTCATAAAATATTTATTGGAGGATTACCAGCATACCTTAATGATGAACAGGTAAGATATTGGAATAGTAAAATATCTAGCCCTTTATTTTTAGCATTATGGTCCATCATTAGCATAGGTACATTAGGTCAATACAAAAACATGGAACGAGAAGAAGTCGAGCTAATATAGTGCTAATTTTTATTGATTTTCAGCACATAAATTTCAGGTTTTATTTTTTGTTTTTTTCAGAAAATATATTCTTGTTTTGTGTATTAAAATATAGCAGTTTAGATTTGCAGGGACCTGGGGTTTTTATTTAGGGTCGCCGTATGAACATGGACATGGCACTCCTTGCCAGCCTTTTATTGACTTTTCATTATGCTTGCGATACATTTACTTTTCTTTCTGTCTGAAAACAAATGTAAGTAAAAGTATTCAAAACAAAACAAAATAAAAAAAATCAAATTTATGAAATTCAACAAATCATTCAAAAGATAATAATTGTTCCTCTGCTATACCCCTTGCCCCTAGCTAGGATACTTGGTTGAAAATGAAACTCTGATACAACTGCTTCCTCGGTCGCCTTGTCCAATTCGACATACAGGCAAGTGGAGTTTCGGAATACTACATTGGTTAAATTGTTTATATTTCTTAGGAACTACTAAACCGTTCTATATGTTTTCTTGATTAAATAAATTCCTACTATGAATAAATAATAATCATCTATTTACTATTTATTTTATATATATAAACACTGAAAATATGCAACAACTTTGTACTAAATAATACTTTTACTATAAAAATATTAACATAAATAATTTTCTAGTTTTCACACTTGTGTGTTAAAACTAACACATGGTTTAAATAATATACTAATATTATCTTCATTGTGTATTAAATATAATTATTATAACTAAAACAATTTGTTTATACATTTTGAAGAAATATTTATCTATAATTTTTTTTATTGAAAATGAGTTAACGTTTTAAATTACATTTTTATTTATAAATAATATATTATTTCTATTTTTAGTAAATGAAATGTGGTAATCATGGTTAGTAAATTTTAGATTATCATTTTTTATATGTAATAATAATTTTTACTTAATTAAAGATTTTGTACGCATAACAAAGTATATAAATTAAAACTATACATTTAAATTGTTTTTTATTTTTAATATTTTACAATATTATTAATTAATCAATCATTTTTACATTACTATTAATCTATAAATTATTAATTTTATTACTGTACTTAAATAATTAAAAATTAATTAAATTAAAATTATTGAAATAGATTTTAAATTTGTTGACTATTGAAGATATTGTAAGTTTTGACGACATCATATAATTTATGTGATATTTACTAAATATAGTTAGTAAGTTATCTTTTTTTGTTGTGCAGGAAATATTGTTGATTAATTTTTTAAGAGATTGAATTTAAATCATAATTAAAAGTGAAATAAATAAATATACTATTAATTCGCAAGTTAAATATGTTTTGAGTAATTTTTCATATATATATATTATTTTGTTTAATTCAAAATATTGAAATTATATGATTAAACATAAAGAACGGTTAAAAGACAGGTAACATAAAAATTACTTAAAACCTAATATAATAATATATAATGTAAGTACCCATCTGTTTTTCAGATAAATTGTATAAATTTACTTTTATTTTACGGTAAAATTCAATATTAATTGTATGTACATGTTATAAAATGTCTAATGTAATTTAATAACATTCATTATAAGACTTAGATAATTTTGATTTACTGATGTGTCATATTATATATGTAATATGAGTAGGGATGAAAGTAGGAAATAGGCTATTGTAAAAAATGCTTTTATACATGTGTCATGTGAGCACTTTCTTACTGATCATTAAGAAAATATAATAGGGAAATAATCCTTTTCAACTTGTTCACCACAATATAAAATCAATGATAAATTAAATTCAATATCTTAATAATCATATGGAAGTGAAATTAAACTTGTATGTTAATATATTTTAAATAAATTAATACATTTTTAACAAAATATTTTTGTTAAAAATTAAATATAAGATTTATCATTAAAGACGTATAGCTCAATAAACAATGGCGATCTGCCAAATAAATCGATGTGTATATTGCCACTTTTTTCGAAAAAAAAAAAGGGTTTATCTTTAATAACTATTATAAACTTATAGAATTTAATAAACTATAATTAAAATATATAAATAAACTATTGATTAGTTTATTTGAAGTTATTCAGTTTTACTATAACTATGAAAGGAGGCATATTATTCTTGAATTCAATTTATATTAAAATATTTGATATACCCTATTTCTAGAATATTATATAATTGGTTAATTTTTACATTGAAAATTTCTGCTTATTTCTTAATGTTAAAATATTATTAATAATAATAATTAATTAATATTTTTATAATTATAGGTTCTTAATTACAATAGACATTTTTTTAATTTTAGAAATATTAACTCCTCATGGGTTGCTTTTTTTATTTTTAATTATATAATCCTTTGATTTATATTTTTAAATTACATTGAATTTTTCTATTGATTATAAAGTACATAAAATTTTTTATTTAAGTGAATGTCATTTCCACATGTCTTTTCTTAGTCTTATTAACCTACAATGTAGTAAATCTGCATTTAATAGGGTGTAGTTAAATTTAATATTAGAGCCAATGGTAAATATAACATTTTGAAAATTAAAATAATTAAAATATAAAAAGTGACTCACAATCATTAATATTTATTTTCATTTTGTTAATAGTAAGTTTTCTTTAATATTAAAGCTAATTAAACAATATTGGAATTACTAAACACAGATTTACTATGTTGTATGTTCATATTATAGACAATATATGCAGGTAAGACATTCACTAATAGTATATAACAAAGTTTGGGATCCAAAAACAAAGCATGGGAATATTATCAAATGCTATGTGAATTAGTATTCCATACAAAAAAAATAATTTTTTTATTAATTCTTCATATGGTAATAGGTGAAGGAATTACTTACATCATTTGGTCAGCTAAAAGCATTCAATTTGGTTAAAGATGCTGCTACTGGTTTAAGTAAAGGTTATGCTTTCTGCGAATATGCTGATGTTGTAATGACTGATCAGGTAAAATACATAACTGTTTAAATAATTTGTTTTTTGAATTTTTTTACCTTTTTTTAGTATAATAAAAATAATTTTAGTATTTTAATTGTAGGCCATTGCTGGTTTGAATGGTATGCAATTAGGAGAAAAGAAATTAATTGTACAAAGGGCAAGTATTGGAGCTAAAAATCCAGGGCTTGGACAAGTACCTGTTACAATTCAGGTTCCTGGACTTACAGTTGTTGGAACTGCAGGACCTCCAACTGAGGTATACATATATTTTAAAAATTTACTGTGAACTTAGAAATTTAATATACAATTTTTCCAGGTTTTATGTTTATTAAATATGGTTACACCTGATGAACTTAAAGATGAAGAAGAATATGAAGATATTTTAGAAGATATTCGTGAAGAGTGTAATAAATATGGTGTAGTTCGATCATTAGAAATTCCACGACCAATTGAAGGGATTGATGTGCCTGGTTGCGGAAAAGTATTTATTTTAAATTGTTTTATAAGAAAATAAATAACTATCAATCTTGTTTCTCAGGTATTCATTGAGTTTAATACTATTGTTGACTGTCAAAAAGCTCAACAAGCTTTAGCTGGGCGAAAGTTTAACAACAGAGTGGTAGTTACCTCATTCATGGATCCAGACAAATATCACAGAAGAGAATTTTAATTGCAATAAAATAATCAACCTATGAAATTATTTAAATTTTTTTCTAATTTTTTATGTTTTTTCCTCAACTCTTAATTGTGACTAAAATTAGATACATGCCTAAGATGTAATATGCCCTTAATTAAGCTTGAATTTATTTTATTTACATTGAATTATGTAGATAGTTAAATCTACCTGACCGAAATGTTTTTAAAAAGAGATTATAGATAATAATAAAGATACTCATAATTTGGTTTTAATTTGTTTAGTATGCTATCTTATTCAACGAGTTATACTAATTTTTCCTAATGTAATATGTTAAAAATATAATACATTATATATATTATGTCAGTAAATAGGATATTTTTTTACCATGTACAAATGTATATATTCTTTTATGTTCTTTTAGGTCCTGCTAAAGTACCTATATGCATTAATGCTTCTTACAATGTTATTTCATACATTTAATTATTTATGAAAAATAATTGAATATATTCAAAAATATGAAAAATAGGCTAAACATTCTCTAATGTCTAAAATATGCAAAATAAATGTTTTCTTACGAATTCTATAATGGATAAATCGTCCACATTTTTCATCCTCATATATCTGCATAAAGCCAATCAAAATATGTAAAAACCTAAAGATCTGCTTTCTAGTAATGACCATACTGAGTGTTTAAGGGCGTATTTGAAGGGGGCATTCGCTCTCCACATAGCTTCAATTTTTTATTTTTGAATAAAAAAGGGGGGCTTGGACCCCCAAATATCTTAATAGCCCCCCTAAAATCGAAACTTTGTTAGAAATATTATTCATTGCTTTTATAATTATTTGTTTGTTTTTTTAAAAATCGTAAAATAAGAAATAATAATACTAATTACATAGTTTGGCTACTTGCGAAAGAAGATTCAGTGCAATGAAAAAAATAAAAACTTGATTAAGGACATTGTTGGTTCAAGATAGGTTAGAAAAATATAAAAAGCGATGATATTTTGAATATATTTTTTAATACAAATAGATATTTTTCATTAAAATAAAATATTAACTATTTTTAAATATACATTATTTAGTGTTTTTTTAATACAATTTAAACATATCTATATTTTTAATGGTAATAGTTTTTACTTGTGCATGGGAAGAGGTTGTGGAGGCGAATCCGTTGCGGGTTATCTTACGTTGAATTATTATAGCCCCCCCCCCCCAAAAAAAAAAAAAATTCAACCAAATGTCCGCTTATGGATCAGCATACATTTTTTATGATTATGATTAAAAAATATAAACACCTATAAATCATAAAGGTACCTATTTATTAATTATAGTAGTATATTTATGTTAATATTAAATTCAATAAAAGTAAAAACGATAAAATAAGCAGAAATAATAAGATAAGATGAATAAAAGTTAAAGTTCCCCAACATCCAAATATACCAACAAATACTATATGAAGATATCATCCAAGTTCTTAAAAATAAGCTCCATTCCCTGTGGTAATCCCAATGGGAAAAACAAACATCAAACAAACTTTTCCAAATAAAACCCTCCATCAACACATGGCCGGAGCCGCAAACCAATAACTTCAACAGACAAGATGAAGTAATGATTACCAGAGTGCGCATAGGCTACACTAGGCTAACTCACTTTTACCTATTAAGTAAATACCCTGCAACCACTATGTGATACATGCCAATGTACTCTCTCGGTTAACTACATATATCTCGAGTGCCCAAATTTTAACTCCGCTAGATCATTGTCAAAACTCATAACAGCATCATCTAAAGAAGCCTTTGGCCACGGATAGGAAACCAATATCACCCACTTCGTTAAAACAGCAGAGCTATCCTCACTGGTTTAAGTCTGTAACTGTGATATATTAGATTTACCCCTTCAAAGAATAACCTTAAACACCATTATGCTATTACATCATATAATCATAAACACCACCTTTATAATCCCTATATTATAATTAATCTGTCTTTTTTTCTACTTTTTATTTACCATAGGCTAATGAACGTTTTTTTCATTCTGATAGTTGAAAACAATTAATTTTATACATGAGGGCCACGCGTAATGAGTACCCAGCAGTGCCGCAATTACAAAATAGGAGGCCCGTGTGCGATAGTTATATTAGGCCCCTTCCTAAGATTTAATTTTGTTCAAGTATAAACTTTTTTAAGTTTTAAAACACGTTTCACATCTATAAGTGTATGATTATATATATATATATGTGTGTGTGTGTGTATATCAAACTAAATACCTATAACTGTTGTTTATTATACTTCACTACAATATTTATGTAGTAAATTTATTTAAGTAGTTTAGGTAGGTATGTTGTATGCTTACTCAATGGACTCATTGTTAAATAAATATTATATTATTCTAAAATATTATAGCAACCTTACCTGAATTTTAAAAAATTTTCTTTTCATTATTAAATAATTGAGTGTTTGTAAATTGTAGTTTATTTCAGGCTGGGACTAGGGGGTTTCCATATTTATGTAAGCCTTGGGGCCCGTGTGCGCGGCACACTCTGCACGCACGGTTTTTGCGGCACTGGTACCCAGCTGGTTCAGGGGAAATGTGTAACCGAAGCCTTAGAATTACCACCATCCCAATGGCCCAGTACGATTATTACCCTATCACGTAGCATGCGGGTCAGGTCTACCACAGTGAAATAGAGTGCAGACATTTGTAATTTAGTTATCTATGAACGAGAATACACGAGAAAGTAAATTTCAATATAGCAGGTTAAGTTTGTATAAAACGAGAAAAAAATATTATCAAACCAACAACTGGAATGTGGGTGATTCCGTTTCGTGTCATATCAATCTGATTCGACGATTCAGAACCAAATCGTATGAATTTGGAAGTTGGAATACTTACGATCAGCAAATAAAACGTACAATATAACAATATAACTAAAAATATCGCCGTAACCATGGCTATCACATTAACATTTGTTTGCTCAAGCGCTGTTTCTTTTTACGATGTTTAAAGTTTATGGGTGCTGCGCGCTCCTAAACCACCGACCAATAGCATATATTATTTGGTTATGATTGTCTAGTTGTATAAAAAATGTACATAATCCACTGTACTTGACGTGTGTACACATTTCTAAATGCGTAAAACGATTAAAAAAAAGGCGACTGGTACTTTTCGCTCACAAGTCTATTTATTTCTACAAATATTTTTATTATTTACTCGATTATTTATCGCCGTAATAATCGAGAGACCCTTATAGATATATTATTTCATAGTCGGTTGATATTTCTAACAATTCTTTTGAAAATTATACGATCACTACTACCACTTGTCTCATATCTGTCAAAACTGCGCTCAGAAAAGTTTACGTCCACTGCGGATACTGTAAAAGTATCGAGTTACTAGCATTCGTAAAAAATATTCAACTCGTATTAATTTTCCTCTGGTGTTTTCTTTTATGAAATAATGTAGCATAAGATAAAAATTATAATAAAAATACTGATGAGAAAATTGGGGAAGTCTTTTCATAATAAATTTAAAATATGTTGTTTCTTTATAAAAAAAATAAATAAAATAAAAAACATTTCACAAGATTATGTACACCATCACGAGTGTATCTTTTATAAGAAATTCTTGGCGTTCAAATGAAAGCTAAGTTAGAGTTAAGCTCCGTTTTCATCTCCTATGTGTTTCACCATTTATATCGATGCAATGACGCCTGTTTATCTTGGATATATATATATTACATTTATACATATTTAAATTGTAGGTGTATATAATATAACGTACATAATTTAAGGTATTTATTGATGTTTATAAATAAAACGAATACTGTTAATAATTAATTTGTTACAATCAACAGAAAACATTTTTGTTTTTGGGGAACTTGTCATACATTTGTACTACGCGAGAAAACTCTTGAAATTGTAATTTTGTTCGGAAGTTTACGTAACAGCGTTGTGACTTAATGTACAACGATGTGTTTTATAATGTGATTACATTAAATTACATTGTTATTGAATTTTAGTCCACAAAATGTCCATAATCTATCGTTTTAATTTTATAACTTGTTGATTTATGATAAAAGTTTCAACAATGTTTTACAAGTGTTGTCTGCCACATCATTTTTGGTGTAGTAATGTAAAATCCATTGATTTAGTATACAACCGATATTTAATCATTAGTTTCACAAATAATTCAATAAGTAGTTCCACTATACACACCGCATGTGTATCATTTGAACATATTGCGTATTAGTTTACTTAGTTTTTTATCTCTATCTCAGTAGGTAATTTAATGCTCTGAGAAAATTACATAGCTGACGCCAGACAGTATTACGTCTTTACGTGATTATTGGTTTAAAATAATATTTTATGTCGAAACAAAACATTAAACCAGACCATTGACATATTTCAAAGATTGATAGATAAAAATATTAATAAACAATAATAATACAGTGGAATCAAGGATACATGCCTTGTATAGTATTTTATAATCTAAGAATCTTTGAATTTCGTAACTGCAGCGGGAAAACTAGGTGTATAAATAGACAAAACATTGATTTTCACTAATTACACTGTTTCCTCCTTCGGCAGATACAAATTTAAAAAAATAGTATTTTAACATTTCCCCTAGACCCATATGGATCTAAATATATATTCTGAGGTAGTATAGTTTTAAAAAAAACTTAAACGTTGTGATTTTCAATAATTCTTTACCAATTTCTTGCTAAATATTGAACTGTAAATTTTTTTTCTTGTTTGTATTTTATGAAATTGTCTACTTAAAATTTTAACTCTAAGACAGGAAAGTTTAAAATTAGAAAAACTATTAAACACAATAATTTAATTCAACTATAGAACTATGAAATCTAAAAAAATTATAAATCATTGTTGGATGTGTTAGTACCATATACGTATATTAACACATCATATACAAATACTATAACTATACAATGTCTACAGTATTCAGTAAATTAACTAAGCCGTAACATATATTTTTATAGTTTCGTTTGTCACACCCTTATGATACATGAAATATAACACTGATTGATCACGTTGTAACCATATAAATTTTATTCAAGAAACGAAAAAAAAAACAAAATAAATATATAAATAAACGTAAAGAATGTATTAGAATTGTTATTTTTACTATTTTTCATAATTTTTATCCATTATACTAAAAAAATTGATGGTATAATTATGTATTTATGTTCAGTCTAGTTACTAGTAAATTATAACAATAAATTGTGTCTATATTAATGTTTGGTTTCCGACAATAAGATGTATAAACGATATAATCTGTAATTTCTGTTTTTTTATACTAATTGTTATCAGCTGTGTATGGTGATGATCTAGGAAATTCGATTAATTGTATATTTATGATACATTATTAAATTGTGATCAATAAATCGATAATTGATAAAATATGAGTATATTAAAATAATAATACATGTTAAGTTTCCCAACATTTTTTTTTACTACTAAAAATAACCTATGAAAAATCTTGTATTCAATTTTCAAACCTTTATAATAAATATTAAAAGTTATATGAGTTTTAATTACAAACATTTTGCAAATTTTTTTGATCTTTATCGTTTTGTCAAAATTTAATATTCAAATACATGTATATATAAATTCAATTTTGAATTCAATTTTAAAGACTTTTTTTTAAAATAAATTTATTTTGTCGATCTTTTCGAAAAAAAGCTAAGAAAAAATGAAATTTTCAACTATCTATAAATAGTTCTAATTTTTTTTTTAAAAAATCTTATATATATATATATAGGAAATGGTTTAATAATATAAAATATAATATAATATATACATATTATGTATTCAGTGTAAATATCATGTCTGGAATTGTTATTTTATGAGTTATAATAAAAACAAAAATTCGATTATGTGAAAAACCAGTACGCAATTTTTAAAAACTTTTCCTCGTCAGTTTTTTACAATTATTATGAAAACTATTGGGGAATTCGTAAAATTGCTCAAGTACTTTCAAAGTACTAACTAAACCACATTTCCCATCAGATATATCTTATAATTGTGATGATCAGAGCAGTTTTTTTGGTCAAAATTGAGTACCATGACACACACGGAAAAAAAACACACATCATAGAAATAAACCAAATGCATTTTTCATGACACTCAAAATCTAAAATTGCAGTATTCAAAAAAAAGCATTTCATCAATAGCAGGTGTATTTAATGTACTTAACAGGTTTTCAATATTTTACTTGAAATATTACTTGTTTCTAAATTAGTATCATTGAAATGAGCATTTGTAGGTAATAAGATTCTTATAAGTGAGTTCAAATGTTCAACATAAGTTGAAGGAGTGGACGATTTTTGTTACAGATAAAATTTGTTACAAAAAAAATGCGAACAAAGATTATGGAAGGTTAACATCACGATTCCCTTACACAAGATTCATCCTTGATCTACAAACTGCAAGCTTTGTTATTCAGGTGATATTTTTTATTACGAGGGTGTGGGGAATAACCTATAGTAGCCTATAGTAACTAACCACTTTTGGAACAAATGTCTACATAATTGTGCCAGGGAAATAAACACGAATAGGCGTGTCGACGGGTCAACTATATACATACGACGTCATTAAAGCCTTTATTTTAAAGCGTGGCTCTTGGCGAATCGATACGTAAACGGGAACAGCCATAACGCGGTACCGACGCCAACGACTACTTTCATACATTGTACGGTAAATGTTTGCTAGTTTTTTGTTCCGGTTGGTTCGGGTTGGTATAACATATTCACGTGACGGGATTCACGAGAGCCTGTTCGAGATGACGCAACCGAGCGACGAAGACTGGAGAGTGTTCAACATTCTTTGCGGCCAAAAAGTAAACGACATTATTACGATTATTATTTTAGATTCTATATAGAACGAAGTACCTTCCCTTTATTATCCTTACTCTGATGCAGGGCTGAGGTGTTACAGTAATGACGTGTTCGTTCGCTAAAACGGAAAACGCTATTTTTTGATCTATTCGAAAACTCTCCGAATTTTAGTTTTTCGCGTAAGGGTTATCGATTGTTGAATAATGACATAAGACGTATGTCGGACGTGTCGAGCAGAATTTGATACAAAATATTTCGAAATATTTTTAATTAAGAAATAGTTGCTACACGTTTTAAACAATGTTGAATTAACATAATTATACGAAGAGAGTGAAGCGAAAATAATTTAATTTTTAGAAATTCAATTAATTAACCCTTAAAATATTACTTTCTAAAAATATTTTGTTGTGGCATTGGTAATCCGACACCAAAACGTAACTATATACATATTATTATGTTCACGCATCGATTTCTTCGTGTTTGTTGGTTGTATCTTCCATATTTTACACTGCAAGTCCAATTTATTCGTACGAATATTAGATTCTTAGAACAATAGGTACCCATGTATATTACTTATATAATATGACTTGAACTTTTATGTGTACAAATATATAAATCGTTGTTCCTATATTTTACACTAAAAAAATTATACAATTCAACGCGACGGTAAAATTCGATTAAATTATAACCGCGCATACATAATACGGGAAGCGGTATCATAGTTCGTGTCATGCAAAAAAAAAGTTGACATCATGTCACGTTGATTGATTTTCTTTTAAGTACGTTGAGGACATGTTCGCGAAACATAATGAGAGACACACGTATAACAATGCGCTGGCCCGAGGTGATCCACTGCTGGGTACCAGGCAAACAGTAGCGCCTGAATATACAATATATTTGCAATGTTGCCTATTCAAATAAATCATATTTTCGGTAGAACGTCACAGGGTTTTTGTGCAACACGCTAATATATACATACCTATACCATTATTGTTATTCCGGTAACTTGATTAAAATAAAACAATAATTGTATCCAATAATGTTGGTAGGTATATATCATGTGTTTGGAGAAACGTACTCCTCTAGTGGTATTAACCACTACTGTACATGTTAGAAAACGATCGTTATTTTTTATACATCGAAAAATAAACTCCAAATAAACGGAGTTAACCTACTTAACTGTACGATTCCACTACGAAAATGTTTCTGTACATAGTATATCGTGTGACACGCTAATCGATAAATTCCACTAGGTCTTGACACACGCACTATTGTTACTACGCACCCAATGTCATGTTGAATTCAGTGTTCGGTTGATCGACAAACATATCAGTAGGCACCAAGTCGTCATTTTAGTGATTACCCATTTGTTCTGTTTTTTTTTTTTTTTATATAAATATTTAGAAAATAAAAACATAATAACACAGTAGTGAATCATTAATACGAACAAATACAGATGGGCATTAATAGATAAAATAAATAAAGAAAAAACGCTGTACATTCCGATGTTGACGGGAAAAGAGGTAGTTCATTCTAACTGGGAAATAATGTGCGTGACTCTTGATAATCTATATGAGAGTCCTAAAACTCGTACGTGGTACCAGTGAAAAACGTTCGGGGTTTTTTTTCTATAAACAGTCCACCTTTCGCTTTTACGTTAACGCAAAATTCAACTGTTTCGCATTTAATTTTACACTCGTTTTTTGGTTTTTGCAGATGGATACCGAGGACACGATAAACAACCACGAAATGATATCAACGTTGAAAAGTGAATTAGCTGCGTTGCAGTTCAAAAGAGATCGACTCATGTCTGAGGTAAAGTAAATTTGGCGTAACACTATAATTTTTACAGTTACGTACTTAAATTAAAATACTCAACAATTCTGTACTATGCAGTTACAAGATACGAAAGGACAGTTACGGTCCAGGGATCAAAGAACGGTAGAACTAGAAGCTGAAACAGAAATGTTGAAAGAACAGCAAGTTCGACAGAATTCTATCATTGCAAGTCTAAGAAATAGAATAAAGGTATTGGTGGTAACATTTAGGAATGCGATTGTTTAATTCGGTTTATATTTAAATTATATTGTTCTAATAGACAGTATTTCAATAATTTGACGTGGTTTTTTAATATTAAGTTTCTCTTAATTTTTCTTTAGGAGTTAGAAGACCAAGAAAGATCGCTAACTACTTCGTTAGGAAGAGCAGACATGTCTTCCGAGTCGTTAGCAAGAGAAAATCGCCACCAGGCAGAAAAATGCTCTGAATTAGAGCGAAGAATCGATCAATTGGAATTGAATTGTACAAAAGCCGAAAATGCGAGAGACTCAGCAAGAAGATCAATGGCAGAGTTCGTGAGTAGAGCTTCGGTGGCATTGGGTTACGAATCTTTGAATTCAGATTCCCCTGCCGCCGTCGATGTGGTCTTATCGAAAGCGTCAGAAATGCACCAAGTAAATATAATAATAAATTATTATGTTATGGATAATACATTTCTGGAGAGCTAAGACGGACGAAATATTAAGTAGTATAATCAACATGAAATTTAATTTAACTATATTTTACTGAAAAAATTTGACAAAACCCACTCAAATTTCAATATTTTATAAAAATTAATTAATTAATAGTTTTACGTATAAGTATTTAGAAAATTGTTATACTTAAATACGATTCAATTCATAAATAACAATACCAATAAATAATAAATAATAATAAAATAATTTTACCAATAAAACAGTACACATTTTGCACAATGTATCCTCACCTTTAACTTAATTATTACTATGAAATGTATAGGAATTAAATAGATTACGACGTAAGAACATTTCGGCCAATGAAAATTTGTCCTCAATAGAAATTGAACTGAGAAATTGCAGAGAACAATTAGAAAGAGCTTTAGTAGATAAAGAAAATCTTCAAAGACAAGCCGCTGGTCACATTCTCGAAATAGATAAGTTGAAACAAGTATGATAATATTTCTCATACACTCATCTAATCACGTGCACGTATTAAACATTTAAAACATTTTATGTGATAAATATCATGACACGTATTTACACTTAATGTAATATATGTATATATTATATTTTTATGAAGCATATTATAAATAAACCATATACATTTTTAGGAAAAAGAACATTTAGAAATGCAACAAAGAGTTATGGAACGCGAACTATCCGAACTTAGAGATAAGCTAATGGCTACCAATAGGAGTTTAGGTCTTGCTTCCAGTAACATAGCCAGTCAAGAAGCCACTATATCCACCCTCCGAAGTAAATGTGGAACCGCAGATTCGATCGAAATTCTAACTAAATTGTTTGCCCGCCGTAGACGATCTGAGAGGGCATGACGAGAGGTGCCAAAAAATGCAGACCGATATGCAACACTTTCTGGAGTCTTTGGCCGTGTGCCTGACGTCAGCCGATGGGTACGTTCAGTCCACCGAGTGCGGTGTCAAAGACGCGGTCAAGAAGCTCGTACACGAGTTGGGCAACAAGAACACAGTAAATCGATGGTGTCCTCGAGATCAGACTCATTGAAAATCGTCTTTTATAAAAATTCTTAGTTGCACCAGGAGTCCAAAGACAGGATAATAAATTTGACGGACAAGATCGAACGGTTGCAAATCGATCAGGACAGGATGGCAACGGAAAATCGCGTGTTAGCGGACGAAAAACGTAACTTGGAGGCTCGACTGAACCATACAGAGAGTGAACTCAACGTGTGCGAGATGACAAAAGAACATTTACGTAACGATAAAACTATTGTGAGTATTGTATTCGAGAATGGCGATATAAAACTCGTTCTTTTTTTTTTTAAGCGTTTCAACGTTGTCGTAAAATATAATTTGTACATATGTAATTTTTACATATTTACGTTTCCAAACAACTACTTTTTGTTAGGCGATGAAAAATATTATGAAAGTTTCATTTCATTTGAACACCATATATAATTATTATGGTGGCTGATAACGCGGAAGACCAATAGTTATGTTTTAGTTTCCATTACTTGCTACGAGTACTCGATGTGCAGATTTAACATCGAAAAGAATACGATAGTACAATTCAATTAGTTTTTGAGGGAAACGGTTAGGAGTACTGAGTCACAAAGATGACATTTTTACGCGAATAAACGTCTTTCCAACCATATTTCTGTAGTTCGTCACGTTTCTCGACAAATTGTCAAGAGCAATGCACATGGACCAAATAGCCAAAGACGTCGGCGTCGACTTACACACGGAATCGCTACTGCTGCGTGCCGAACAGCTTGCCAAACTTGAATACGATAAGAACATCGACAAGGTAAGGGAATTTTTTCGTTTTCTAACGTCGTCGTTGCAATTATTTTTTTCTCATATTTTTTTATTTTCCGTGATGATAGTTACTGCTCGGTTATCCTACTTATTCGCCACCGTTATCCAGGCATCGTTTATATTGCGATTTTCCTTACAGAGAAGTATTTGATAAGCATCGTTTTATCTCTATAATTTTATTTTTATTTTTTTTACTTGTCGTTCACATTTTTACTACCGTAGTCTTGGCGATTATGATAAATTGTTATAATATTTTGATATTATACGTAGTAGGTGGTATTGTATGAATATTGATATATTGAGCTTTAAAACGTAGGTACATCATATTTTAATATTATACATAATTGTAGATATACCAGTGAGCGCTTCTAAATCTTTAATGCTGCGTAATTATTCTTCATGTTTACTATATTTTTTCTTTGGTGCAATTATATTAGGTATACTTTGTCCTATGATACATGTGTATATTTATGTACAACTTATAATATTAAATGTATAATTATTATTATTTTGTCCATCACAGTAACACTAAGGTACTTATGAATACTTATATAAAAAAAAACTTAGGAATATATTGTGTTTTTATACATTATACTATTGCGTAGTACGTAAAAATTTATCGTTAATTTTTAAGATACATTTATCATTACTTTGTTTCATTTTTGCAATTGCTTTGTTACTTGATGATCATATTTTATGTTCATGTATGTTTCATATATTTGAATCTGGTACAAAATATTTCGTTTTCGTTTTATATACTTCTGATTTTGAATTTTTTTCCTTTAGAGCGCCCTAGTTTATCAATTACAAAGACGTGTACGTACGCTGAGAGATCAGCTGCAAAGACGCGATCTTCATCTCGATTTGTTACGCCGCAAAATCAGCGTCCAAGATGAAAGTACAAAAATACGTTCGCTTTTGGAAACCGAAAGAGACGAAGCTAATTTACGGTAATATAATAGAAACTTTAAATTCAGAAAAATATTCAAACATAAATAACTTAAATACGTCTAAATAATAATAATTATTAATATTTTTATAATATGTACTGTAGAGCGAAAAAATTACAAAAACAATTGGACAAATCACAGCAACAGCTGACCGAGAGTAGAGCACAAATCCGGGACTTGAAGCTTCAACTCTCTGATGCCGGAGACTGTAAAGTTAGTACTTCACACCATATTTGTTTAGTTAAATTTAATTTTGTTTAAAATGTACCCGTACACACAGTTGACTTCGTTGGAAAGAGCGAAGAAAATTGATGATCTCGAGAAGCGTCTAGTTGAATCAGAGATGTTGCGAATGCGTTTCTCGCGAAAAGTCACAGTGCTCAAAGAACAAGTACGATTGCATACGAGGAGAAATGTTTTTACGTTATATCAATAGAAATATTCGTAAAACGTTTGATTCTCCTCGGAAAAGCCCATAAAGACTCTGGATTTATATATTTTCATTTTGATATTTAACACGCGTCATTTTATCTTAGTTAAAGTCGACTGCGGACTGCCATAATCAAGACAAAAACCTTAACGAGCACACCATACGAGTGCTACAGGACGATGTGTCGTCGTTGAAATTTCAACTGAGCGAAGTGAAACGCCGAGAGTCTTCTGTAAGTGTCCGTTTTACCAACTTAATATGGGAAAGGTATGGGGAAAGCAGCACGTGGATCTTCAAATGACGATTTATATAACTTTTTTTTTTAGTTTTTTTTCTTTTTTTCATTTAATCTGGTGTTTCAGCTCGAAGACCTACGTCGAACGGTGATCAGTCTGCTAGGACTGGATTCTTCATGTACCGATTATGAGATCACGTCAAAAATCACCAAATTGGTAGCTGCCCACCGAGAATTTTCTATTCTGTCGAAAAGGTACGACGACCCGTTACCGTCGTACGTTCACCATGTGCCACCACCCTCCGAGTCATCGGATCCGACAACCGTGGACGACTTTGAAATCCTGAACAACGCGTATAATAAACGGCCACACAGGAAGACATAAACGATCATCAACAACTCGAACTAAAAGTTCCATAATATGCAACATAATATAAAGAACGAAGATCGTGAAATTTTTCGTTCGCACATTGCATACGCCTATGTACATAAATCGTATAATCATTTTCGATATAATATGCACTCGTTACACGTCCTATGCGCTCCCAGGTACATATCGAATGTACATGTAACATATACATATATTGTTATTGTACATACGACATTTGATATTATTATTATAATACGCGTCCGGTTCGATTGTCTATACACGATGACGGCCACGCATGTTATACTTCCGAAACCGTGATCCGTCGACGCCTCCTTAATTTAAATCTATCGTACCCGAACTCCCGGTCACTTCCCGCCGTTCGTGTTATCGTTGTTCGTATGATTTAAATTGTCTTGTAAACCGGATGGATTACGCTTTATATTTTTGACCGTTTAATATTAAATATTATATACATACAGGTATGTTAGGCGTGTGAATTTTTTTTTTTCGTTTTTACTTGATTAAAATTAAATCAACATAAGTCATAATATACACACACGTACCATGTAAATGACGTTCAAAATAAATATAAAAATACACGTGGGTTCAAAGACGTTCAGATGTCTGTTCTACACAAAAGAAATTAATTTCCAAAGCCTGTTTAATTTTCGTTGGAACGAAACAATGGTGAATTTTTTCATAAACTAATTCCTATATGTTTACGTGTAATTATTCTCAATGTTTCGGATTATTTAGCGCGCATTGGTGAACGAAGTGTAATTAAGTAGTAATTAAACTAATCAAATCCCCGTGTATACCATGTACCAAAATATTTTAAACATATTGGTAGAAACTACCACTACGTATTACATTACATCACTTTTATAATTTATATCGTGTTCATCTAAGTCAATCGTTTCTATTTGTTTCATTTGTAGCCAATTAATTTATTATTTTAATGCATATCGTTGAAACCATGTGTTCATAGTTTATAATATTATAAGCAATATACTAAAGGTATAATTATTATAACTTGTAAATTATAATTTATTTTAACATATAAGTTGTTGAAATATATATATATATATATATATCAGAATCAAGAGAATCAACATTCGTTTTATTATTATTTCCAAACATTCATTATTTTGAAGAATATCAATAAGTAGTTAAAAAAAATAAAATTAACATTATGTATACATAAACTATTGTTTATGTGGTATTTTTTGTGAATTCAAATGATTCCCTGATACTTTCTTTCATAGCATTGTTTCACAGGCCGATATTATTAGTTGAACTAGGGATTTCTTCTTATCGTGTCCGGGCTATGATATAGATACTTTATTCATCATACTCCTTTTCTACTCCATTGATTGGCTACTTACTACTACACAACTAGGGATATGTGTGTATATCATATATGTATAACTAAAACTCGTACACATATATATATATGTTATATGTTTTGTATGGTTATAGTACCACGTTTTTGACCACATTGGGCCAAATCGAATCATTTTATACTATTACTTATTTTGCCAATGGCACTGTGACTAATACGGTGGTCTGAGAACAAATGAGGATAATGTCCGAGTACGTGAAATTAATAATAATTTTGTTTTCGTCAAGTAACATCCCTATTTCCTTATATTCGCGTATACGCGTATATATGTCCAAATATGTATGCGTATAAATCATATACTTTCTTCTACAACAACATCTTCCGTCGCCATTGTTGATTTGTTGACGAAATAGCAAGGATAATAAACGCGTGTTCCACTTTCTACATCATGATCGTGTGTGTTTTTACGGTACATCGTCTTCGTTCAGCAGAGGTGCGAATGGTTTAAACGGTCCCATCCACAAACACAACGTAAATAGACAATAGATCTCGACTCCCGAATAATCGCGTTTAGGTTTCTGCCGTCAAGACTTGTATCATATTGTTATGTCAAAATACTTCCGACACTGAGATCAATTCACGAGAGAGTAAACGCGTGCATGTAATGACGTTTTATATTAATATAATTTATGAATTACTACTGTGGCTATTAGACGACCGAATGAAACACATAACCGATAGAAAATCCTCACGCCGCAAATGAAGCATGTCAAAAACTGTCCTAACAACAAACAACTACTGCACTATAATACTAGTATATGCGTACAATCGAATATCTCAGTATTCCCTTTTCCCAAGTAAATACACGTTGCGTGTAATATCGTCGAATTACAATTTATATCATTATTTATAATGTTCAGTCTGTCGGCTGCAGACACAGTATCGTAACAATTGGATATAGATACATCATGGATAATAGTGCTTGATTCTCAATCAGTAAAAATGTATAACAGTATGTCTACCGGTTGGCTATTTTCGTTTGATAATGAATTTTTTTCTTCTATTAAACCATTGAGCCTATGTATAAATATTAAACATAAATAATTATATTTTATCCGTTCGATTTACAGTTCAGGAACTATAACTATGCCGATACATGTTATATGACTTATATTTTAATGAAAAAAATCACATAATCATTCATCAAAATTAATAGTTGTTATATTAGTATTTGATCCATTGATATTGAACATGATATGCAGTAAAATGTATTTTAACAGTACAACAATTTTTATGATCCTATAAACTTGTAAAACGTACAACATTCAAATAAAAATTCATTTTTAATAATACGTATCTACCTAAAATAATTTTAAGTTAATAATATCTCTGTTTTAATTCATTATACTCTAATACGTCGATAAAAATAAGACAGTTATTATGATATGAATTAGGTTAGGAGCTAACTAGCAGCTAATTTTATCTAATATTTTTTACATTTTATTAAAAAATAATTTAAATACAAATACTAAACTTGTAAATTCGAATACTATTACAAAATTTGTTAGTAGGTACACAGTTATATTTAAATATTCATCGAATTAAAAAAAAAAAGTTCGTTTTTAAATTCCAACAAAAACATTTATTTTAATAAATGTATTCGAATAATTTTAAATACTAAAAAAAGTTGTATGCATGATTTTTTCCCATTTTTAGTATATTATATATACTTTAATTTAATCGAAATGTATAATATACAAAATACATAAGATAAGATATACAATATATATTTTGTAATGATATGTTCCAAAACCATCATAAATATAATTTTAACGTAGTAATTATTAATAAATATAATCTCACGATAGAGAGTAACTAAAATATATTTATAAACGTTAATGGTAACCTTAACGAATTTTCGCTCATAGAAAACTATTGGTAAATAGGCCACACGAATGAGTTGTTTTCTTTTCAAATTTGAAAAATAATCATCTCATCATTCTTTACACTTCCTATAGAAAAATTGTTTTATCGAGTTCATAATAATTTGAAATTTTTAAGGTACGTAAAACGATATTTTATAAATAAACTAATAAGATATTTATTAATAATTCACGTTAAAATGTTCGAAGCATAAAACGTTTGGCAATAGAAAATAGAAACAAGCTAATTTAAAGCTTAATTAAATAACTAGATTAAACACAATACATGCACGATTGCTATTGTTGTAATAATTACCCGCTCATGAGTCATTACGGAAAGACGCAAACGACAGGAAAATATTTTGTCTATAAGATAATTATTGCAAATTTCAGTGTTTGAATGTAGATTATACACACACATTTGATACATTATATTTAAAATATTGTTTACGAACGTACGAACTGTATGGCTTCACTGTCCCGTATTAAATCACATCAACAACAATATTATTACACTCTGTAATATCACAATAATACGATTGTACACAATTTTTTAACGATGCATTTTCTGGACCTAACACTAGATTGATTTGAGACGCGAGACGATCATCAATACACATTCCAAGAATCGCATTTCAATATCGTACCTTCATAAATGACGAACGAATGAAATGCACACTTTCGACGTAAGGGAAGACTACCATACGTGTTGAAATGCAAAATCGGTTACGTTATGAAAAACGAATTACTTTTGCACGAGTACATGGGAAATAAACAATATATATTGGGAAGTACATGTTCTTCCGTAAGCGTGAAAAGGAGCGCCTACCATTATACGCGCGATAATAAATTACGCCGAACACGCGGTGACTGCAGCTCAGTAGCTCGTGAACGACAGTACTCGATTTTGATGTTATTTTGCGTTCACAGAACTGACACTTTTGGTTTCTCTTCTATTGTTACGCGTTTTGGTACCTATTTCAAATCAATTCCTTTACATTATACCGTTTCTAAATACTACATTATCGTTCTGTGCCGATACACGAGGCCGTACATGAAATTCGGTTATTGCCGGTCGTTCTCTCCAAACGAACGTACCATGTACAATACATGTGCACGCGTAGGCGACGATCCATGTGACCAAAATTTCCGCTGGAAAAGTTTAACCGTCACAACATTAGGTGCACTACGACTTAGGGGTAGATTTATGAAGAGGAGGAAGACGCATCGATCTGTCGTTCTTATTTTTTATTACAGATATTATTCGATATTTTCTATATACGTGTACAGTCATACGGATACACATAATACATTTTTATAAATATTTATTATCGAATACTTTATATATCTTTGAATAGGTAGCATGTTTATTGGTAGTAAATAATAGTATAATATATACGCCTATACGCCTCCCTCCTCCTACTCCTCTTAAACAAGCTTTGGATCTGTATCTTTGCTACGAGCACGATGACATGTATGCTGCAGATGTGAGCACAAAAATAAAATTCGAAAAACATATTAATGTATGCAACGTATATTTACGCGTGCGTATACATCTCGAGGTTAGAGTGAACCTCTCGACTTTGAATCGAAATAAAATATATTATAATATATGACACACGTGTGTAAACACGTTTAATGTCGTGCACACGAATATAATAATTCGGGTCGAACAATAAATCGGGCGAAGGCTTTTAAAATGTTTGCATTGAACGTGAAATGTATTGAGCGGGAGAGGGGAAATTATGAAAATAAAATATTATGCATGCCGCACAAAGATGACACAGTAACTCGAAAGAAAATTACATCACATTGCATTCTCGTTGATTACATTGTTACTATGCTGCAGTCGTTTGTCATCACGAAGAAAATTACTTGCGAATACCAAAAATAAACTGTTATATGATTGTATAAACCAGGGATTCCCAACCTTTTTTACTTAACGGCACACTTGATCATTTTAAAAATTTCCACAGCACACTTAAATAAATAATAATGAATATACATAATACAAATTGAATTTGACATTTAAGACTGGTGTTTTTTACATAATTCCTCTATTACGGGTGAAACAGTTAAAACGATACAAACTGTTAAAGGATAATCAATGTCACCATTCCACGTAAATCCAAAACATAAATAATTATCAACATATTTACGTTTAATTTTTAAATTTAAATTTTTATCACTTATTAAAGCTGATTGTTTAATATTAATT